TTTTTAAGAATTATGCTATGATTTACAGTTACCGATCCATCATTCATATATTTTAATTTGACAAACCAGATCTTTTCCATGTTGTTTTTCCTGTTTGGTGCGATTGCAATTGTGGATCTTGAGCTGGCCAGACCGCAGTGGAACAAAAAATAGCTCAGCTCTGTATATTGACGATGAAGGACAGAGAAGACATACGTGGATGTGGAAAAGTTCTCATTGATTAACATGACAGACAAGTACTCCACACGACATATATGAGCGGGGCGGAGCGGAGCACTGACGGAGTATGTGGAATCTGGGGGTAAATGCCAAACAGAACAAAGAATGGAGCAATCAACTGATTGGGGGCAGGTGTGGACAGAAAGATTGAGAAGGGAGACTAGGGGAAAGGAGACTGGCACAAGGGGGCAACAGAGGTTAAACAAGAAATTCATAAGAACTCAAATACAACCAGAAAAACAACTAAAATTACACAAAATGGAAATGAAACCAATTACCTAGAAGCACACAATTATATAAATCAAAGTGTAACTGAAAAATCAAAAAGAAAAATCAAAAAGAAAACTACAACCGAACCAAAAAGTGCAGAATTATGACATCTTGTTTATTATGATGATTTAGAATCTCAACTAATGAAGGCCAGTTACCGTTGCTACAGATTTTTTTTTTCTAAATTAAACCAGTAAATAAGTATTGTGCTGAAATGTTACATAATTGCTCATACCATTGAGGAAAACTGTTAGCTTAAGTGTTGTTGAGTGGAAAGACACTGACAAAAAAGGCAATAGTTAAATAAGCTGGCTGCTCACATAATACTCCTTTTAAGTATATACAGTAAATGTTGAGTTGAATAAAAGGACAATGTAATGCAATTTAACAGCCTTGATATGATTGTGAGGTAAAATTCATTTAAAAATTTGGTGAGAGATTCACAAGCCTACTCATGCTCTTCCTCAACACTGAAGTCCTCAGACATTTTTCTTTCGTTGTTTCTTTCTTTGCACAGGTAAACAGAACATTTCTTCTTCTACGCTTGCATTATCGGCAGAGCAGACGCTGAATGCGCACTTTCGTCTGGTTTGGTCTGCCGCGGTTTCCGTAGATTCGTGAACGCGCTTTTAGGAAATCCTATACACTACTGTTTATGCTCTAAAAACATTCTAAATGACTTCGTTTCGAGTAAATTATGGACGCTACCCACTCAGGACACTTGGAATACATTGGACGAGCAGTATGGAGGAATATTGACACATTTTTTGTGGACTTTTATGGACCTTTCTGCCTCGGGCACCATAGACCTCCATTATTTGAATGTCAGCAGACAGCAAGAAGCCTTCCAGATCTCCAGATGCATTTGAGATATCAAAAAAGTACTCCAGAGTGTTGTTCAGCATGGGGGTGAGTAGAAAATGAAGGCTAATCATGTTTTGGGTGTACTATTCCTTTAAGAAAAATTAATAATGAAAGTTTAGAGTCTTTAAAAACAAAAAAGTTTCTTTTATGCTAAAACACTATTTTTATTAACTTTTTTTTATACAAGTAGTCTCCTAAAATCAAAATGTTCTTAGGGGTTTAAAGCAGGGTTTCCCCAGTCCAGTCACTGTGAGCTGATATCCTGTAACTGATGCAGCTCTTTTCCAACACACTTGAATTTAAGATTCAATAAACAGAATGTCATTACAGGTCTGCAGATGACTGATAAGAAGTCATTCGAATTATTCAGGAAGGTTTTAAAGTGATTCATAACACAATGTGGCAGAATAGCACCCCCACATGACTGGACTCTTTGGTTTAGACCTGTGGTTTTCAATCCTGGTACCCAGGGACCTTTATCTTATTTTTGTTGTTTCTGCTTTAACACACCTTATTCAAATAATAAGGTCATTGTTGGGATTCTGGAGAAACCAACTGCAAATAAAGTAGATAATTTAGCCATTTGATTCAGCTGTGTTGAGATTTTTCTAAAGGTTGCAGGATATCGGCCCTCAAGGACTTGTTTGAAACCATTGGACAAACCTGCATTTCATTTGGTAGGTTTATAAGTACTACAGGGACATCTACTGGCTGCTTCTTGCATTCTCTATAGAAAGTCCAGATAAAACAAAATTACTTGTCAATAAAGCTTCGATTACTACTTCAGATGGGTCTATTTTGTTGTTTTTGTTACTCTCTTTTAAAATATAACAAATATAGCATTAAAGTTGATTAAATATTTAGAAATATCTCAGCGTTTCCTGCCTCTCTCATAAAACACATGGGTTAAAGCTCACAACAGTTGTCTTTTGTTCCTCCAAAGGCTAATCATTAACAAGCTTATCAAAACATGATTATAAAGAATGCAAATTGTCTGTGTAATGGAGCAAAAATAAGTTAAAGTGCTTTTTGTTTGTTTTACATTTCAGACATAGTTAGTATATATTAAAAACGCAGACCTCTCTAAGATACAAATGTTCATTTATGTTTTACAGTTCATCAATTTCCCCAGTCTTACGGATGAACAGATACTAAACTGAATGGCTAATATAAAAAAAATGTTTAGATAAAATACAGCAGCATGCACTTTATGTGTTCCTGCATCTTATTTGTTCAGTTCAGATCAAAAGAATCCGATTCAGCAGAATTTACTTGGCTTTTCCTCAGAAGATGCGAGAACTCCACTTCAGATGAAACATGCTCATGGAAGTAATTGATTAAAAAAAGAAAAATATAGAAAATATAAAAAGAAATAGAAAAAAAAGTAAATATATATATTCTTAAACTGTAAAATATTGTGTTTATTAAAAACAAAGCCTATGTAAACATGTTTTAGTAGAATGGGATCTTCCAGGCTTGAAGATATTGATAATGACAGTCTTAAGTTGAGGATATGATTTTGCTAAATTTGTTTTATTTATATGCGCAAAAATATTTAACTCTGCCTCCATTCATTTTTAATATTTGTTTTAACCTTCTATGGCATAAATATAAATATTGTTATGTTGATAAAACTTAGAATCATAATCAGCTTTATGGCATTTTAGGGATTTTACCTGGTTTCCATTGTTTATATAACAATATTAGTTAAATATGTGGAAACATCGTGGAAAAAAGAGCAATATGTACTTTTATTTGTATAGCATCCTACTTTTTTTTTTTTTTTTAACAAAATCTTCGTATAAGTAAAGCATGCATCTATTTCCAAGTAGAGTACATGATGTACAAGATGTAATATGTTTATTGTTTTCACTAAAGAGAGAGTCTGGGTAAATAACCTGTTTTGTCATGGCTTGTTTTTTCATGTATCACGCTGCAGCATGGTTCCTACGAGTTTTCACAGAATGTAAGGCATTTTCAGAGATGTGACTTTACAAATCCTGGATGGAGGAAAAGTTATCTCTGCTGATCCATCATCTGACCAAACCATATAGAGATGCATGTGCAATGAGATAGACTGAATCACTGCTGTGTAGAAAATTATTAGAAGCTTACTGTGGAAGATTTTACTTATTGAATTGCTGCAGGAAGTACATCACCTGTTGATCCCTTATCCAAATTGTGTTTCTGTGCACATACCCATTATTGAGCTGCCTCAAATCAATAAACGTGTGATCTGCAGAGTTTGAGAGTTTTTTCTGATAGTTCTGTTGGAATATATTAATTTGTATACAAAGGGGATGTAAAGTATGGATAAAACACACCACTAGGGGCCATCAGAAGCATATCTTTCCTTTTAACCTGATTCTGGAATGCATTTTTCCCTCCCCATCAGTCTGCTTAAGATCACTGTCCTCACTGCCATAAGGATGACCATAAATGCAGGTCCCGTAAAATCTTCATGCATGAAATTTGTGTTGGTAAAAAATTCAAGTACCATTACTGGCCTGTACCTATTTAAACAAAAGTGGCCAAAATACACAATGTTGCCCAGAGGCAATGATCCACCATTCCTGTATTTAAATGAAGGTAAAATGTGTTTTTACTGAATCAGTTATTATTATTATTATCATTACATACTAATGCACGTTCAGACAATTGCATAAAAAAAAAAATTGAAATAATAAAACCAACTTAATGAAGAAAAAGAAAAGATGAGTATTAAGATAGGGAATGAAGAAGTGGGGAAATTAATAAATTGTATACATGGATTTCTAACAGCGCTGTTTATCAGCGTATTTATAGCACAAACTCATAGTTCTATCTGTCTGACAAGCTTACGCTGTCAAGCCAGCATAAACTATATCAGGTGTACGACATTCTTATTTATGAATGTACCTGTTAGACGAGTGTTCTCTCATTTTTACCAGCTGTATGAAATGAAACAGTAATCTTTGCAATTTCTCTCTATGTTTGAGTCATTGTTAATCCAACTCTCAAGCCTCGAGAATTCCTATGGGCAGAAGTGTGCGTCCACTACAGGGTGAGTTGTTCTTTAATTAGAAAATACCAGAGGTACAGTAGAATTAAATAATCAAATCACAAACATAGATAGTTCAAAGACCAATAATAATTGTAATAAAAAGATAAGCTACCACAGCTGTAAATACATAGTGTGGTTCGAAAAAAAAAACTATCCCAGCCCGGGGTCTCTCTGCATGGAGTTTGCATGTTCTCCCTGAGCATGTGATGGTTATCTCCAGGTACCCCAGCTTCCCCCCACAGTCCAAAAACATGACTGTTTGGTTGATTGGCTTCTCTAGACCTTACTGAATAGATCAAATATATGTTTGTGGATTTTCACTATATTTATACAATTGTATATTTATACAATAGTTAACATCATCAAACAAAACAAAAAAATGAAAGATAAGAAATAAAAACAAAAATCTTATTGTAATAGATTTAATATTAGCTTTGTTCTTCACTGAAGAGAGTAATTTTCACTGAGTTTCTTCAAACTTATCCTTATAAAAAATGATCTGTAGAAGTAAAGCTCCTTGTGCAGAGCAGAACTCACGTTGATATCAACTCATGCTCACATTTTCCCTCCCTCTTTCCCTCACACACACACACACAAACAGTAAAGATATAAAGGTAAGTGTTATGCACGTGTAATAGACACTGAGGAGAGACTCTTGCGGCACTCTTTAACTGCACATATATTCTGAGCAAAATGTCTCGGGATTACTTTGGGTTTTCCCACATCACAAGAAACAAGGGAAATGAATCTTCTCAAAATGTTATCAACAATCCAGCAGACATCTCCGTTATTGTTGTCTATTTTGTCGTTGTATTGGCAGTGGGAGTATGGGTAAGTATTTGTGGAATTTTTTTTTAAATCACTTCTCTTTCTCTACTACAATTTCAAATTTTATGTTTATGTATGCAGATTCTTTTTGCCTACAAATGAACCTTATACAATATTGATTTAAAAAAAGAAAATGTCTATCCATTTTATGGAGAGTTGCATGCAGATGACACTACAAAGAAGTGGACAGATGTTAAGCAAACCTGATATCTTAGCATCCTGGTGCACAAATTTATGTTTCACTGATAAGATGTAAAGAATTAGTGACATCTTGAACTTTGTGCATTGAAATTGAGGATGAGTTTTGTACACATTCAAGGATTTCCTAAGATGCTTCTTGTCTTGCTGCAGGCTATGGTCCGCTCTAATCGATCCACTGTGGGTGGCTTCTTCCTTGCTGGAAGGAATATGGTGTGGTGGCCGGTAGGTAGTTTACAACAGAAAATAAAAAAAAAGAGCTGAACAAAGTCTGCTCTTTTTTGTTATGCCTTTATAGAATGCTGTAGATAGAACAAGTTCCTTCAGGGTGACAAGTGTAGTTTTTCATTATTGGAAACCTGTGATAAACAGCAACCTTAAACATGCTCTTTATTTATTTATTTAGTTTTGATATAATCTCTCTTTTTAAACTTTTTAAATTGCTTTACTGTGCAGTAAAAACAGACTAAAATACAGATATGATGCAAAAGTTAGTTTTAATGGCTGAATATTGAGAGAGTAGGTAATTGCATAGTCTGTGAGTCTTTGCAGAGACTGCTGGTCACACAATCTGGGCCCTTATAAATGAAAGATGACAAATACAAGTATGAGCTAAATTTTGATGTAATTGAGGACACACCTATTCTCAGTCAATTAAGGAAAATATTCTAAGCTCTTCACAATGAGATTCACAGAGGCCCCGTTTGTGAGATTTTTTCCCACATCCCATTGGCTGTTTGGGTGAGCATCATCCTTTCATGTTATGAACTTTGTTGCATCCTCCAACACACAACAGTTTATATGTCCATAGTCAACACCCCTCTTTGGACTGACAGCCTCTCCATCAAAAATAGGAAGTCCCAAACTGAAAGTGATGAAAGAGCGCTGCTCATATGAAACTCAGAAGACATGCAGCTAAATTTTTGCCTGTTCCGTTGCATTTGGAACAGATGAATTATTCGAGGTATAAAATTCACTAAAGAGCAATATTCCTAAACAATTAGATTCGGATAATGCCATACAGCAGCAGGAATATCAGCTTTAATGGCTGGAATAAAAATGATGCAATATCACCTATTTGTCAATTTTACCTTGACCAGGTTTTACTCCAGCCTTAATGCCTGTGATGTTACTGACTGTAAGTAGGAAAAGTAGGTTTTTTTTGTTTTACATACTACTGCAGACAAATCACTTTTCACGAGGCATATAAGTAATGCAATTAGATGTTATATAATTCCAACCTAACAGAGAAAAAAGGTTTTCATTCGATTATTTTTATTTCATGTTTCGTGTTTTATAAATATTTAACAGGTCACATAGTTTGACTATAAGAAAAGCCCAGGGCGCTTCGATAAGCACCCCCTGAAATGAGTTTTTGGAACTTGGGATGTCTGTAATATGTGGTGGTGCGCTGTCACCAATGGTTCCATTCAAGGTGCACAGTCACTATGTTTCCGACTGTGATGTGTGATCATATACTACTGGGAATTGCATAATTGTGTCTTCTTGGCCGATTTATGAAACTGTTACTGTATCCTGAACATTAATCATGTGTTGCACTTCATATGGGGCCCACCCAGATAATGTTGCTTACAGGCCTATTGTTGTGTCGTTAAGCCATTGCAATTCTCATGTTTATTTCATGGGCAAACTATATATATATATATATATATATATATATATATATATATATATATATATATATATATATATATATATATATATATATATATATATATATATATATATATATATATATATATGGTAATGTCAGCATACAGTGCTTTATTTAACAAATTGAGAAAAACTGAGTGTAAGACAAAGGGGGAAAAAAGTCAAGCCAACCGGGCTTGATAATCTATTCAGGAGACTACTGGCATGAAACATGACTAAGTCCCTTTTAGTAGTTATCACTTAGTCATTTTATAAAAATCTAGGTTTGTCGGTGCATAGTAAATCTTTTTCCCTTGTTTACGTAACACCTATTGCTTTCTGGTTCAACAGATTGGAGCATCACTTTTTGCAAGCAACATTGGCAGCGTCCACTTTGTAGGGCTTGCTGGTACTGCTGCAGCATCTGGAATAGCCATTTGTGGATTTGAATGGAATGTGAGAGATCTTCTACTGTATATCATAAACATAGAGGTTATTCCTTTGAGCACAGCTTAAAGCTTAAAGGTCAACATTATTTTTGGTTTGGAAAATAAATAAATAAATTTTTCCGAATATTGTTCTAACTTAAACTTTGTTTCTGACGATGTTTGTGTATTACAGGCTCTTGTTCTTATGGTCATTTTGGGATGGATCTTTGTGCCAATCTACATCAAAGCAGGGGTAAACTAGACACAAACTGTTAGAAGCTTTCACCATCTCTTCATTTGGTACACCTCGATAACTTTGACCCATATTTTCCTTCAAAATTATTTCTAAATGGCATAAATCTAAATAGTGTACAGAGCATTGCTCCAAAGTTCCAGTCCATATGGTTTTATCACGTAGTTGCGGCTCACTTAACTATGTGAGTCTTCCATTCCAATTGAGGTCTTGTAACAGTGAAAATCACCTAAGTTAAAATTAAGTCATGGTCTTGTTTAATAAACCAGATGCATTTGGTTTGAGGTTTGTGACAGCGATTTACTTTCGTTGAAGTAGCCTTTAAGACATCAGTGTTTATTATAGTAAACATGGCAGCAATACTTAGTTAGTCTGTAGCACTTCTACAGTTTTTAAATTAGATGTCTCGAAACTCATATTCTCGAGGGCCGGTGTTCTGCTACTAGATATATAACCACAGCTGAATCAAATAAGTTAACTAGTGCACCAGCAGCAGTCGAGCTTTGCTAATGAGCTCATATTGCAGTCAGGTGTGTTGAAGCAGACACACATCTCTGACTGATTAGTTGCAATGTGATTTGCACATTAACCATTTCTATTAAAACCTATCAGACAGGTGTACCTAATGAAGTGGCTAGTGAGTCTGCTTTCTGTTTACTACAAAAGGCATCCATTACTACACTTCGAGCCTTTAAAAAGTATCATAACTGTCTATATCCAGGTAGTCACCATGCCGGAGTACCTAAAGAAGAGGTTTGGGGGACAGCGCATTCGTATTTATCTCTCCGTACTCTCCCTCTTCCTCTATGCTTTCACTAAGATTTCTGTAAGTTTTTTCTTATCTGTTACCCAAAATTGTCCTGTTTTTCAACAATACATGTAGTCTAAGTCAAACGCTATATCTGTCCCCCGCAGGCCGACATGTTCTCTGGAGCCATTTTCATCCAGCAGGCCCTTGGGCTGAATATCTATGTTGCTGTAATCGCTCTACTGGCAGTTACTGCCCTTTACACCGTAACAGGTCCATCCTCAGGAGGAGATTCACTTTCTTTTTATGGATCATAATTTTCCTGATAAAGAAGTCTTATCTATACAAATGACAAAAGAAGGCGAGGGAAGGCCAACTGTACGACAGAGATCTAGAAACATACTCAAATTAAGAGAATTACTCCATCCAGCTTATCCATGTTGCATTACATAGGCGATACACCAATAGACTAAAGTAAGTCTGAGCTGGTACTCAGTTGCTGCTTTGAAATACTGACAACACAACTAAACGTGACTTTTACGACTGTAAAAGAACAGCTACAAGAGATAAGATAATATTCTCTCTAGTAGATAAATTGCTCTCTATGATTTTCAATACAAAAACTTTGCTAACATCATGTTTTTTCTCAGGTGGACTGGCTGCAGTAATATACACAGATGCCCTACAGACCATCATTATGATTATTGGATCCTTTATTCTCATGGGTTTTGGTAATATTAAATAATTCTATCATATAATATTCTACCTTGCAGATGCAATTGGTTTCACTGCCACCTTATTAAAAAATGAAAATGAAAAGCTAAGTCTAACTTTTATATCCTTAGCTTTCAATGAAGTGGGGGGCTATGACAATCTAATGGAAAGGTACATGACAGCAGTTCCCTCAATCACTGGTAACATCAGTGCAGAGTGCTACCTGCCTCGGCCAGATGCCTTTCACCTGTTCAGGCATCCCATTAATGGAGACTTGCCATGGCCTGCCCTGGTGTTTGGACTGACTGCTCAGACAATTTGGTACTGGTGCACCGATCAGGTAGGTAATGATCATCAGCTTTGGTTGTATAAGTGTTTTATTTCTAGTGACTAAGTAACTAGTTTTATCTGCATATCACAAATGATTTAAAGTCATAAAATCATCTTCATGATTTCTTCATTTTTTTTCATTCTTGTCTGTTTTTTGTAGAACAACTAAGCTAGTTAAAGGTTAACAGCTGAGAGTGAACATTGGACAGGTTTTTAGAGTAAAAATATTGTTTGCAATTTGAATAAAATCCTCCACGCATGTTTTACTATCTTTATGCAAGTTCAATAGTGCTTAGGTTTGGATATTGTCTTTACTTTGATAAGATTGCATATACTATAGTGAGGGATAATGCTTTATAGCTGCTGACTGGTTGGTCCATCCCCTCATCCAACTATGATACAAGCCATTAAATAACTATTATTACATAAAATGTATAACAAAAAATTTGTTTTGATAACAAGGTTCAGCAAGGGGAATCTTAATAGCAGGTGATTTGTCAGATGCAGCACTTGCAAAAAGCCACCTGTTTCAATACTTTGAGCTATAATCTTCTTTGCAGTGTCAAGTCTTTTAGGGTTAATACTTTTTTCCTGTTTAACAAACAGAGATGGAATATTAACATAACATAAAAAAAATTTCAACTTTAGTTAAAAACAGGTAGATTGGTGGTAAGCTACTCAGTCAGCAGTTAATTTGGTCTTTGCAAAAATGAAAACAAGAAAATCATAAAACAGGCCTAAACCGCAAGCAACTGGCAACTTTTGCTTTGTTTTTCTGTGCAACATTTAACACCCATTTAGGAGTCTGTCAATTCAAATTACTTTTCCTAAAGCAATCTGTAGTTGGAGCACATGGATGTATTTAAGCAACATGGAGGTGAATCTCCTGAGCATATTTCAATTTAAATGCAAATCAAAGACCCATCTGTCATTTTACTAGGTTGTTGAAGTCTTTTATTGTGAAGGGGTTATGTGTTTGGCAATTTCAATCATGATAAGTGTGCTTATGCAATTTCCAAGTTACAGATGTTTGGAGGCCAATCTTCCCCTTGTGTTAAGTGATGGATTTTCCCTTTTAACAAAGATGGCATCCTAAAACCCCTTTTTCAAATAATCTGTCCTGTCTCTATATGTGAACATTTTGGTCTTCAAAGACGTGTTCTTTGTTCTTGAAGTGTGAATGTATCAGTGCTGATTTCTCATTGAACACTTGAGTGGCTTTAATTGTGGCACAATTATTGGTAAAAATACCCCTTCTTAAATTTCATATGAGTAGTCATTAAATGGCATTAAATGTGCCCTAATATGCTTCTGATTTCATGAGTGTGTTGTGCCATCTTGTTTATTCCGATCTCCCCTCTGCTTTGGAACAGCAGGATACTACCTGTTGGCCTTTAATGAGTTTATTATTCCAGAGTCCTTCACAACAGCTATTTTTACCCATCGTAGTGATGTGTTTAATGTTTTTCAACATATGTTAAGTCCACTCTTCCTAAAACCCCTTACGGCAGCTTTAAGGGTATCACATCAAATGAGTTAAAATATTAATACATGGCCCACTGCCCTCTTAACAGTTACAATCTTGTGCTGGTCTAGCTTATAGAGTCATCAGTAACATGCCATGTAAAGGTATTAAATGTGTGGGGTATTTTGCATTTCACCAGAGCTAGATCTTTGTCTACAGGTGATTGTCCAGCGTTGCCTCTCAGCTAAGAATCTCTCTCATGTTAAAGGAGGATGCATTTTGTGTGCCTACCTAAAGCTGTTGCCCATGTTTCTCATGGTTTTTCCTGGGATGATAAGCAGAATCCTCTATCCAGGTCTGTACTTTTCTTTTGAAGACAATGTATTTTGACTTTTATATAAAAATATATATTCTGCTGTGATTAATTGCCTTTATATCCTGTAAATATATTAATATTTGTAAAATACTATGTGTTATATCCAGATGTGGTGGCATGCGTTGACCCAGATGAATGTCAGCATTACTGTGAGTCAAGTGTGGCATGCACCAACATTGCTTATCCCAAACTGGTCGTGGACCTGATGCCCAATGGTAGGGAGATTTAAATCTTGATTTACCTTCAAACTTTTTCTTTCACTTTTTTATTTTCATACTCACTCTCTTTGTTGCAGGTCTGAGGGGTCTTATGCTATCAGTAATGCTGGCCTCTCTAATGAGCTCCCTTACCTCAATATTTAATAGTGCTAGTACTCTTTTCACCATGGACATTTATACTAAGATCCGTCCAAATGCCAGAGAAAGGGAACTGATGATTGCTGGAAGGTAAAACACAAGTTTTTCTCATCTTGAGTATGATTGCTTTACAATTTTGTGATATTTATTTTTGCTGCATATCTTTTTAACTACAACAGGGTGTTTATTGTGTTCCTTATTGGTGTGAGCATTGCATGGATCCCTGTGGTGCAATCAGCCCAGAGTGGTCAGCTCTTTGACTATATCCAGTCTATCATCAGCTACCTTGCTCCACCTATTTCAGCTGTCTTCCTTCTCGCTATTTTTTACAAGCGTGTCAATGAGCCTGTGAGTTTACTTTTGACCTAGAAATTACATTTCGTTTAAGTCATGACATGGGGAGAGATATGAATAGCAAATCTCCTGTACATCAAACCATCCATATATATATATATATATATATATATATATATATATATATATATATATATATATATATATATATATATAATATACACAAAATTTATCTTATTTCATGTCATCTCCTCTACAGCTACAACCTATCAATCCTAAAAGCTTGGGTTGTTGATTTTAAAGACAAACCTAGAAAAGAAGATTTTTTTTTTTAAACTGTGCTATCTTTCTAATTCTGTTTTTGTTTCCTTGTAAGGGTGCATTTTATGGACTTATCATCGGTCTGATTGTTGGCCTGGCCAGGATGATCGCAGAGTTTGCCTATGGGACAGGAAACTGTGCTAATCCGAGTAATTGTCCTACTATTATATGTGGAATACACTACCTATACTTTGGCCTGATCCTGTTTATTGTCTCATGCATCGCCATAATTGGGGTCTCCTTATTAACCAAACCTATCGACGACAAGCATGTAAGTTAAAGCTGTGTAAAGTAAAGCAGGTTTTAATCAAAGATTGTTACGTGTTGACTAATACTGCAAAAATTTTGAATAGCTTCTTTTCCTTGAAGAAAATGTATCTGTTATGAAACCAGAGGGTGTCACACTTTACTGCAGGTGAACCTGATATTCAGCCAGAGTTAAGTTTAAAGGTTTTATTGAAGGGGTGAATAATGGCAGATGAAACAGGCAAACAGTCTTGGCAGAAGAATCCTTGTTGAAAGTGCTGGTTTGCAGGGATGAGCACAGAACCAGGAGACGTAGGCAGTAACAGAACCAGCACGTCGTGTGGAAGGGAGAACCACTAGCTGATGGAACATGGAGACTTAGGCAACCACAACTTGGAGAGTTCAGCTGACAGAACCTACAGGGTCCAGTAGAGAAGGAAACAGGCTGGACTGCAGCATGCAAACACAGGCAACCTTAGCAGGAGAGTCCAGCTGACAGAGCACACATGAGCTAGTAAAGCAGAGGCAAATCAACTAATTAGTGGGAACAGGTGGAGATAATCTAGAGTGGGGTCGTGGCTGGAGTCAGACTGAGCTGGTAGGATAACTACTAGTGGTTGAATAGTGACAGGGTGAACTGAAAAAGTCCTCATAAGTCCAAAACCAAACTAAACAGAACCATAAATATGACAGAATGACTCTGATTTGATTTCCCTAATCACAACCTGTTCCAAATTTTATGTCTTTTTTTTTTATGTATTTCTAGCAACAGATTTCTGTATTTGTGGATTCTGGTATTTGTCAAAGCTATATTTCTAATGAAATGCTATGTCACAAGGATCCACTCTGCAGGAGTGGGTAAAAATCAGAAATGCACTCATCTTATCAAGGGACTTGCATATGTTAAAAGCCTTACCAGGAACAACCTGAGATGTAGTCATTTTGTTTTTGAAACCAGCAAGTCTCTTAACATTTAAAAATAAAGCGTCACACCCTGAAAGTAAAGATTATAAATTTGCAAAATAGTAAAAATCACTTTTGAGAGCAGATTCATAACATTTCCAGTAAATAATGCTGTTTCAAAGCAAAAAGTTAATTGTTAGTGATGAATTTACATGGAGGAACGTAAGTAAACAATACACTTATACTATGTAGAACCGAATTTAGAACTGAGTTGATTTAAGATTTGTTTTACTTGGGATCAAATTAATCAGCTTCATCTAGCATCTTGATAAAGTATTTTGTTTTATTTCATTGGTTAATACTGACATCTTAGTTAATTTACATATTTATCTGTTGCAGTATTTCGCAAAAACTATTACCTAATTTTTAAAGCAATAATATCACCTATATAACCTTTACAAGTTGGTTTAAATGGATGGCATCTCATTATATATATATATATATATATATATATATATATATATATATATATATATATACATATATATATATATATATATACACATAATTTTAAATTTCTATCAAATGTGTCTCTTTCAGTTGCACAGATTATGTTGGACTCTGAGAAATAGTACTGAGGAAAGAGTGGAGATTGAATTGGATGATTGGGTTGACGAAGGGGATGAAATGGATACAGAAGGTAAATGACCAATTACACAGTTCAATATTTAAGAGAATAGGTCCCAAAAAATGTGAATTCCTTATTAATTTGACTTTTTCTTTCAGACCAAGAGGAAAAACCAGGATTCTTCAAGAAAACAATAATGTGCTTCTGTGGACTCGAGAAGACGACAAAGACACCAAAACTGACTCCAGAGGAGCAGGCAGAACTGAAAAAGAAGCTCACAGATACAACGGAAGAACCTCTCTGGAGAAACGTAGTCAATGTTAATGCAATCATTCTATTGTGTGTGGCTGTGTTCTTTCACGGATACTTTGGTTAGTTGGATACTCCTGGATATTTATATATATATTTTATTAACAGTTTTTATTATATATATAAACGATCTTTGTCCTACCTCAGCAAAATTCAAGTATACATTTTTTGCCCACAACATTACAATAGTTTGGTCAGGGAAAGGTCTAAAGCTCCCAATGACGGAAATCTCAACAAAATTAAATAAGATAAAAACAATAGTTTGATAAAAAAAAAATTTATCAATAAACTTTTTTTAAATTAAAATGATTATTTTTGGCAAGCGATATAAAGATACTTAAGTAAATAGTCGGGGAGTGGTGGCCTAGTGGTTAGAGCAGGGATGCTCAAGTCCTCTCCTCAAGAGCTACAGTCCTGTAACTTTTAGATGCATCTCTTCTCTAACATACCAGAATCAAAAGGCTCAATCTCCTCATTTAGCCCAGCTGAGGCATGTTAACGAGCCACTCATCTGATTTAGGTGTGTTAAAAATGGTTGCATCAAAAGTTACTCTATGCCTTAACCCCTGGTTAAGGCATAGAGCAACTTTTTGATGCAATAGAACTTGGAATCCTGAGGTTTTTCGTTCGAAACCCACCCCCACAGACTGCCACTCTGGCTCCCAAAGACCCTTAACCTCACACTGCTCCCCGGGCACCGCAAATAGCAGCCCACTGCTCCCCAAGGGGATGGGTTAAATGCAGAGAGTTCATTTATACGCACTGTACTTGTGACAGTGTAATGACAATAGAATTTGATAAAAAAAATAAAAAAATAAATATTGAAATAAACAACCTTAATACTGAGAACGTTTATGAACACACATTTCTTGGTGTGGTCTTACAGTGTTGACGATGCCATACTGATTTCATATAATTCTGCATTAAAATCACTCAGCAGGAAATACTGTACAAAGTGCTTCTGAGTCATTAGCAATAAAACGGGTTTATCTTTAACACAATTATCCTACATTTAGCAGCCCCACAGCGGTGTTCTGATTAATAGCTAATAAAAACCCATGCGGTAACGTCAGATGGAGAACACTTCTGGATCTAGCTCAACATTCGATAACGCAGATGGATGAAAACATTGATCATTGTTTCAGAATATCTCGTTTGGAATTGGTTTAGGTTTTTATTCAATTTTAAGGAGAAAATTGTACCAGGAGAGGCTAGCGTATTTATTCTGAGTAATATCGAGGCATCACACCTTACAGCTCAGAAGCATCCAGAGTGAACCTTAAACCTACAGAGTCAGACTCTGAGCCATAGGGTGAGGGCTAATATAACGGCAGCATCCCCGCTAGAAGACGCACAGTGAGAAAACATGGCTTGAAAAGTCTCTTGCACAACTAGTTATTTGTTTTTAAATGTAAATTGGTACATACATCCTCTAAATGAATAAAAAATTTAGATAAATCCTCCACCGCTGTTACAAGAAATTATTTACTATATTCCTAAAAGTATATCTAGCAACGCTACCCATCCTTTCATGCCAGGATTGTCGGATCTGTTTCCAGCCTAAAAACAATGTGAAACCCCACCACCTTAGAATAAAAAAAAATCACAGCATAAATTCCTCTGAACCTTCTGTTAAAACATTGACCCATAAAACACCTATTACAGAACACAGAGCCAAGTTATTACCAGGAAGTTAGGCTCTACTTCGGTATTACAGAAGCTAAAATCAATTAGCTCTGGATAATCATGTGACACTGGTATGTCAGAAGCTGATAACCTTTATCTTTAGGTCATCCTGTGGGACAGCAGCAATCTACTATTTAAGCTCCACGTCAGCCTCCTGTCCTTTGCTTTATAATTTTTTTTCTCTCATCTCAACATCATCTTGCCTCTGATGTGGAGCTGGAAGTGAAGCGTTGGGAGTGATATTAGCAGGTTTTAATAACAATTGATCCTTATCTGGCTCATATACTGGCAAATTTTTTTCACTTTCTCCCAGGTCGGGACACGGTAGGTACGGCTGTTTGAAAACTGCTAACTTTAGTGTTTTACTGAAGAACCAAGCCAGTCTTTAAATGAGGGAACAAAATAAAAAACAGATCCTTCTCAGACAGTTTAATTAGTTGTTCCTTATATTAGCTACTCTGTATAAAATTTATCTAGATCAATTTATCAAACCTTCAGCCATACAAATATTCATAATTTTGGGTTCAGAGATCACATAAATGCCCTTTTCTTAAAATCTCACATTTTGATAATCAAAGACTCTTGTTGTGATGTATAAAGCAAGCCTTGTTCTTCTCCATGTCAATATACAAACAATGATCAACAGCAGAGAAGAGAATTACAATTTGAGAGGGGAATTTGTAATGAGACGATGTTGTGTTTGCACTACTTTTAAAAGTCTGGGGCCTAACCAAGACGGTGCTATGTTGTGAAATGGCTTAGATATAGAAATTAAAAAGACCAGAAGGAACCACTTTTAAAAAGTTCAACAGTACGTATAAATATGTTAACTTTCAAAAATGTGCTTGCAACATGACAATCGTCAATAATTTGATGTATCCTTTCCCCCAAAATAGGATATTAGATATTAATGATATTGTGCTTTGAATTGTGATGCCCTTTTTTCAAAAGCGCTCACATGTCAAATGTGATATGAATATTGGGGGGTAGGTTTGTAAGAGTTATCAAAATTTCTAGTTAATACTTTTGAGCTTTCTTTTTTAACGTCTTACCTTTCATGGTTTTGGTTCTGTTGTGCTTTACTTTGCTCCTTGTTTTTTAGTTTTATTGGTTTAATTCCTATTTTGTAGTAGTTTCTAGATTTATGTTCTCAGGTTTTTCTGTGGTTTTCCTTTGTTGCCCTCTTGTGTGTGTTCCTTTCCCCTTGGCTCCCTTGTTGTCTCCTCTCACACCTGCTCCTTGTCAGCTCGTTAGCCCTGTCTTTGTCTCAGTCAGCTGTCTTTGCTCTCTTCTCATGCAGTTGTCTACCCACCCCGTCTCTCCCTGGCTCCTCGTGTTTGGTTTCCCCAGTTGTCTCCATAGTTCTGGTTAGATTTACATTATTAGTTGGATTTTTTTTGGATTCCTACCCTTTTGTTACTGTTCCTCACCATTAAACTGCAGGAAGTCTCCTCAGCCTCTCTACCTCTGCATTTGGGTCCTCCAAACCACAATGTAACCTTGATATCATCTCTATGTAAACCTTGCTTTAAACTGCTACTCAAAGATGAATTTAATTTAATTCAATTCAATTTAATGATAGGAAAAAGGGCTTAACCTTGGATAAGCATGGATATAAATTATGGCTAAGCTCTTACCTTATTAACACAACATGAGGCTCTTTTTGTATTTTTATTTTTGCATTGTGCACAAAAACTGGTACTGCACACAAAGCATATTTCTATCCAAAGGTTTACCTTTATCCATTCCTTCCTCCATACATCTGTTTTATATTTAACTCAGAACATACACAACAGAGGTCATGGCTTGAACACTGAAAACAAATCCCATTATCTGCAAAAAAGGAAGCTAAAAACCTGAGGTTCTCAAAACAGACAAATTGACTCATGGCCCAAACTGTTAGCTGAAATATAGGTATTTTAAAAATATATTAGAATATTTGGAAATCCAGTAATAAAAACAGTATGTACAACAAAAACATTTGGTTCTGTTTATTTCTGGGTGATGTCTTTAAACTTTATACACATAGGTATGTTTTATCAATATCATTTTAAATGTTTAGTTTAATCTCTAGAGCACAGGTGTCCCATTCTGGTCCCTAAGATCTACTATACTACAGTTTCTTGATCAGGCCTACCCAAAGTCAGCCCCCAAGGGCCACTTTTCTGCAGGTATTAGAGGTTTCCCAAGTATAGCACAGCTGATTCTCATTTTTGCTGCTGATTTCCATTAATCAGCAATTATTAATGGAAATCAGCTGTGCTGAAGCAGGGAGACCTCACGCGTTGACTTTAGGCAGGCCTGTTCTGGATGCATCCTTGCTCCAACACAGCTGAATCACATAAGGGGCTCATTACCAGGCCTTTACAAAATTTGATGGCATGCTGAAGAAGTAATTCAGTCATTTGAATTAGCTTTGTTTGACCAGGAATGCATCTAAAACCAGCAGGGCAATAGATCATGAGGACCAGGGTTGGAGAGCTCTGCTATACAAGATCTCAAAACCCCATACTTCTAGATCATTCTGCTTATAAGTAAGAACAGGGCAGCCCTTAAAAAGATGCAACCTTATGCTCCAGTTGTAAAAATATATATTTGTTTGGAGGATATGGCTGTAATCCTTTATTAGGATTAAAACACACATAGACTGGACAGCAAAACTCTATGACCCCCTTCAGCAGTTCCTCCTGAATTTAAGATTGTGGCTTTCTACCCAAACCTTTTTCTAAGATCTGAGAATAAACTTCCCCAGGTCTTTGTCCTGTCCTACCTTGAGAAACTTTGAGACCAGTATAAAATCTTTCTCTCGGTCATAAGAAATATTTATGCATTTGTAGACATTCATTGATAACTGGACATTTTAATCTTCACTTTTGACAGTGTTTTATTAAAAAGAGAAGAGCACTGTAATTAAGAGCGGCTCATAAATATTATGTTTCTGATTGGCATCTTTCTATCTTTACATGAAGATAGCACATTTACACTGCAATGGCTAAAATTCACAATTCGTTAAGAATTAAAGTAAGATTACAATTTTATTAAAAATGCACAATCTTTTTTATTTGTCCTCAAAGTCAACAATGCTTAAAGCATTAATCAATGAATATTTAAATGTATTTTTATCTTGCCAATAACTTTCAAGTTTACTTATCATTTTTGTATTAAACACAGGACATGGAATGAAGGTTTAATGAAAGACAAACAACATAACAAAAAATATATATCCGGAAAGGTCCTGTAATATTTAACCAGTGAAGGACAAACCAAATGGTTGTAAATGTCCTCAGGATACATGCATGTGCAACTTCAATAAATCTCAGCTGTTCTGCCATTTTATTTGTTCAAAGTCCATGTGCTCACTTCTTATGTATTCACTCAGATGTGTGTGTTGTTATGGAATAAGGAAAAATAATATTCAGGGAAAGAGGGGTAGAATTACACAGACCAATGAAACTGCTGCTTTGCCTCCACCTAGTGGTGTGAAATATGTACAAAAGTTTTTGGTAACATTTGGGGCATTCCAATTTTATTTTGTTTAAACCTGGTAATAATCGGGAAAGACACCCTTTGTATACCCTTTTTAGATAACAGCCTAAGAAAAAATCATTTATTTTTTTGTTTTGTTTGTTTTCTTGAAAAACCTTTTTACTGTAACTTTCAGATTCACATTATTATCTTGGTTTTATAACTTAGTCTGGTTAACTGCATGACACGAGTACAAGACGTGTACTGTTTTATCATAGATAAAGACTTTCATTACATTATATGATGTACAACAAAACTTTGATAGAACAAACCAGTTTCAGCTTATAAAGTATATTAAATGCAAACATTTGGTCATATATGCTGCTTATGCACACAAACAAAACTGCCTTAATAACTTTCTTCCAGGTAGTTTTATCTCCTGATTCTACATAAGCTACAAATTCATTTCAAAGATGATATGTTTGCTATCTGTTGTGCTGATCTTTGATATAATGTCATATTAAAAGGTTAAAGATCAACATGCAGGCTTATGTTGATTCAAACACTAAGATAAGATATCGAATGTACTGTTCATTTCCAAATAACTAAAGTTTGAATAGAAAAAAAGAATGAATCAAATTTTATTTATTGTCAAATCTTAGTGTTCATTACCAGCCCAATGTGGCTGAAATCAAACAGCTCTGCAAAGACGATTGTGCTGAAATTCCTCTGCAGTGTTTTGCACATTAACTGTGTCTAATCCTTGATCCGCAATTTATAGGCTTCACCCAAATAGGCATGCGCGGTTAAAGTATTATTCAGGGTTTGTTTGATGCAAAAGGACTTGATTTTATATCACATAAAATACATCACAGATACATGCACAGAATCATAAAACTCTGGTTTAACTGCGCCTATAGTAACAATTAGATATAGTTTACTTTGTCTAAACTCTGTGGAAGACCAAGGTCCTGTCCGAGGTGTACCTACTGTAGTCTCTGTGTGAATAAGTAAACCTACAGATGGATGTATGGGCAATCAAATGAAATCTGTATAATTATTTTAAGAGTAAAGAGATGTAATATATTGTGAAAATCAACTTCAAAAACCTCTTTTAATTTATTGTTGATGCCTGAAAAACAACGTTATTAATGACAGCTATAAATTGCAGAAGTCACTTTAAGCTCTGCAAGTACGTCATCTGTTTTGTAATAAATGTGTTTTCTAACTGAAAAATAGCAATTTTCCTTGATTTTAAGTGTCTTGACAAGCAGTGGAAGTGTCTAAACTATTTTAACTTTTCTGGTTCTGTTTATTTTCAAATATTAATGTTTGTGTTAATTACAAAGGGACCAGTTTTTGTATAATTTCAAAGAAAATTAAGATAGATACATTTAGTTGAGGATCATTGTATTAAAAGTACTATTGAAATGAAATTATAACTGGATCTATCTATTAAAATAAACAATTGATTTATCTATGTTCACAAAAATATATTTTAATAATTAACTAATGAGATAAACAGAAGCATAACAAAGCTCCTGGGAAGACAGAACTTGGAGTGAAATTATCTTCACAGCTAAGATTGTTTGTAGTTTTAAATACCACAGCTAAACCACTGAAAAAATATTAACTTGATGCACATGAGGATAGCTTTATTCCTTATTCTATCCAAGTTTACAAACTTTGAAATACTCTAATTTTCTTTATCTAGTTTGTTCCTTCTGGTGTTTATGTTTACGCAATTCTTTAAATTATTCCTGTAGAATTTTTCATAAGTTTTTACTTAGCTCCCAATTTACTGTAAAATCTATCATTCCTTCAGGTTGGTGTTATTCTTAGTTGATCTAAAAAATGTTTTTGTCTTTCCTTTTTACCTTTTGGGTTGGTTCCTAGTGATTTTTATGCTGGAATGTGTTCTGTTTTAGTTTTGTTGCTGTCTTTTTTTCTGAGTTCACCTGCATTATTGCTATCCAGCTGTTTCCTCTGTAACTTCCTTCACAGCTGCAAACTGTTAACAATCAACCACCTGCTCCTTGTATACTAATTACCACTCCAACAATTATCTACGTTGCTCTCAGTCAGCTGTTTTTGTAGCTGTACAAATTTATCTGTCTCTTCTTCTGAGCATTTTGTGTTGAATTTTGATTTTCATTGTAATAAATCCATCTGTCTCCATCCTGCATTTGGGTCCTCAACAACAACCAGTTACGAAAACCGGTGGAGAAATTTTCGGATTGATTTGTCATGGTCCGCAGCTTTCACCTAATGCAAAATAGGTTGGTTCTGCAGAAAATGTATACCCCATGTATTGCTGAATGAATGATTCAGTTTCTGCAGAGTGTAATTTTGTAAGCATCTTATGATTATATCACATGGATTAGGAGCTGTAAATGACTTGCATCTTTTTTACGACCCTACCCCAATCATACCAAAAGCTAATTATTAACATGTAGCTAAAAATAAATCATTATCAAGAGCATTAAATGTCATTATAATAGGGTGAAGTCAGGGTTAAGAGCTATTTACCTGTTTTATACCTACATGAAAATCCTTTTAGGCAATGTTCAGATTAAAACTCTACTGATATAAGCATTTTTTTTATCTCTGTGACACTGCCATTTTAAACATAGGTTTTCCGGGACATACAGGAACTAAGATTAGTAAAGCTAATGAACAATAATATGGATACTGATACTGTTTCCCTAAAATCCAAATATAAAATATTGTGTTTGCGAATTTATTGGGAAGCAGTAGTATACTCTGCCCCTTTAACTACTCTGCCCCCTTAAATACTAATAATATAGAACAAATAAAGCCTTGTTTTATATAAATACCCATCACTGATAGAATATGTTTCCTACAAAATGAATGAAAATGTTTAAGGGTTAAAAAAATAAAAAGTGCTAACAAATCCTGCAGCTGGAGCCGGCAACAGTGGCGTTATTGTAGACTGATGGATATCCATATTGTTTTCATTCTTTTGTTTGTTTTAGTGGTGGTAGCAGTGATGACAATGATCTGGACACAAACTTTATTACAGCAGAATAACACGCGTATAACACGCACACAACATGACCGTCCCTCCCTCTATCATGTTCTGTCACACATGCAAATAATAAAGATAGAGAGGTGTTGCGCTTTTATTGTAGTCATAGTGAATTGACTCCAGCACGCAGCATCATCCTTTCTTGATCTTCCAACTCCTGGAAAAATGACCTGGGATTATTTTGGATTTAACAGCATCACAAGAAATGCAAGAAATGGAACTGATAAGATTGCAATTAACAATCCAGCAGACATATCTGTTATTGTTATTTACTTTTTGGTTGTCCTGGCTGTGGGATTAGGGGTAAGTTTTGCAAACATTTTTTAGAGATTTTTTGGTTTGTTTTTTGTTTTTTTACAATCATACATTGCTTTATGAAATTTAATTGAACTGATTTCTCTTCAAAGAAAAAGGCAGATAAATCTCACAGCAGAACAGGAATCAGGCATGCATAGGTCTACTAATGTATGTACTCACTGTCTACAAATCTAAAACAGTTTTTTAGAAGCTGCGAGAAAATTTTTTATCTTTTTCTTTTAATATTTACTGTCAATCCATCAGCAGAATGATTCGCAAAAATTTGCCCACAAAGTAATGGATGAGAAGATCTGGGGAATATTTAGCAATGTTTTTGTTTTCTTGACATGTGCCCTTGTCTTAATGTAGGCTATGGTCCGCACCAACCGAGCCACAGTGGGTGGATTTTTCCTTGCAGGAAGGAGTATGGTATGGTTGCCGGTGGGTATCTATCTAACCTGCATAAAACAATCAGCTCTTGTCCAAAATTGCACCTCACTCTGACTCTATATATTTACAGCTGAAAGTAGATATTTACATACATGATTTTCAATATCAGATATTAAATCAGATTACTCTTTTTTTTTTTCTCGATTCTAGGGTTAATAGGATTAACTACCTTGCAAACTCTAATGATTTATCCCTAATAATCTGTTTGAAACGGTTTTTCAATAAGCTAGAAAAGCCAAGAGGATGATGACATGGTTTGTAAACTTCTGAGAGACTCATGCAAAATATGAAGTTAGATTCAGACACACCTTTGGATGTGTATTAAGTTAGCTCCTCAAACACACTGTCTCTTAATGTGCATTATAGAGAGAGCTATGAAATAAGGAAAAATAAACAGAAGGAAAGCTGTGGACCCTCATTAACCTGACTCATCCATGTGAACAACTTTCAGACGCCTGAAGTTACAATATGCATTTATACAAAACACTTTATTAAAGGGGAAACACCAGGGGGAGGTCCATGGCTATCATACTGTAGCATTAACCCCAAACAGGGCAAAATATATTTTGAAGCTGCTACCTAGAGTTGGTGCATCATTCTCCACTATAGATTGAGTCTTTACTTTTACCAAAACAGATCTTAATTTACATTGCAGCCTTTAAAGCCATTTTACCTTTTGTAAATGCAGTTACTGTAGGTTACGGAAAAAAAATTTTTTTTCTTTGAAGGATCATCTGTTAAGACTTTTAATGTTTGGCTGAAATGATCATTATTACAACTGGGCAAAAGAGAGGGTAAACTTGGAGCTCATACTCATTTAACTGATTAAACTCTAATAGTTATTCTGCATTCATCACTCTAGGAAGTCTCTGGTGAATCGGCTGTTATCTATTTGATTTGAAGACAAGGATTTTCAGCCTTTCACTCTTTCAGGGTGACTAAATCAGGCATAATCATTTTCTCACAAGTCTTTATAAAGTTAAAATGGGGATCATATTGCAACAAAACTTACTCCCCAGCAATCTATGAGACATTGCTGTAGAGAATAGACATCTACATCAGGTTTCCTTTGGGATTAATGATTAATGAATGATTACGATGATTTTGTATGATTTTGTATTGAATTTCAATTTCATATCTAATAACTACAAGTGGTTGAAATAGTATTTCTAGTCATTAATCCTTGACTATATTACTTCTTTTTATGTGTGTTGTCATTAGATTATTGATTAGTAGGCTCAGTGCCCTTCCCTGTAGTGAACCTTGTTGACTTTACCTTTGTTTGAGCTGTAGACTGACACCATTTTCCTCTAACAGAGGAGGCAGAAAGAAAGTTGTTTTTAAATTATTTTGTGTATCACTGTTGGAAAATGGAAAAGTGGACATTTTTGCAAATTAAAGGAAAATATATTGAAAATAAGGCATAAAGGACCATGTAAGATTAGGGCCAATGGGTAGAAAAAAATCATTTGTCAAAAAGGTGAGGAAGACAAATTCAGGTGATTTCTTTATTAAATTATTGGCCTTGTAGATATTTCTGTAAATTATTTTCTGTATAATTGAGGACAAAACCCAACTCTTCATATGCTGGCTGATTTGTATATAAGAGTTTTTTACATTATTATATAAAGACTTTTTTATCCAAAGCCAGATTTTATATATATATATATATATATATATATATATATATATATATAGATAGATAGATAGATAGATAGATAGATAGATAGATAGATAGATAGATAGATAGATAGATAGATAGATAGATAGATAGATAGATAGATAGATAGATAGATAGATAGATAGATTTTTTTCTTTACGTTGTTTGTCTTGCTTATCAGATAGTTTTCCAATATAACCAGTTTGGTCTCAGAAACTCTGTGGTGATGATGCCATTCTTGTTGATAATGTTTAACGCTACTGTATAATGTATATTACATTGAAAACAATTCTCACATTTACTTCTACCAATATTGATGACAAACAGATGCTGTTTCTTTTTTGTGCTTATTGTTTTAGCAACTGGAGGCTCCCCTTATAGATGGCTTATTAATAAGATATAAATGTGTTGATAATTAATCCATAAACTCATTCAGAATTGTTTATAACATATTAATTAACGGTGAGCATATAATTATAATTTTATTAGTTTGTGAATATTAAAATCTTGCCACTATACATCTTGCCTGCAAGTAAAATTAAAACAGCTTTTAAGGTGACCTTGCAACTGTCCAACCCTCCGTCTGGCCAGCACTGTTGCCATTGATTGGACATGCAAATATCTATTCGGAAGTGTTTTGGCATCCTGGTCGGTTTGTTGGATGGAAAGCCATATAACCCATATTAAGAACAGCTACTCATGACAGTCACGTTTCTTGCGATTAATAATCATGTCTTTGTTAAACTAAAAGACAACTCGTTAAAAGAGGCCATAAGAACAAGTAATATTTCCTTTCTTTGGAATTAAAATAGTTCAAATCAGTAGGAAGGTAACGTCATTATACTTGTCATTAACAAGAATATTCTTAAGGGTGTACAGTAGTGGATGATGTTCTTTTTCCGGGTGGTCCTCCTAATTGTCAATTATTCTGGCTTTTACGTAAAGCTGTCCTAAGTGCTCGTCCCCATTTTCACTTACCTATGGGGAGTCTGACATAGTGGAAAAATTGCAAAACTTTTGGAAACTAAGCTTGAATAAGAAACAGGAAACAGAGCATTCATGAGGAGAAATGGGTTTGTGCATGATCTCACACGTGTTTAATAGCCATTCCCTCTCAGGAGCGGGTACAAGGTTGTGCATGTACATTTTTTTAAAGGGGAGAGGGCGGAACTTATCAAAAATATGTGAAAATCACCTATACAACACAGAGTCTTCATTGTTAAGGAAAATTGTAATTGTCTTCTAACATTTTTCTAAACTGTTAATAGATCGGAGCGTCCCTGTTTGCCAGCAACATTGGCAGCGTCCACTTTGTAGGGCTTGCTGGAACTGCTGCAGCTTCTGGGATAGCTATTGCTGGGTTTGAATGGAATGTGAGTAATTGTTTTAGGATGTCATTAAGAAACTCATGTTATCTCTGTGAGGTATGCTAATAGCCTATCATTAGATTTGATTCACAGAATATAAAAAAATTGTTTTGTGTGTTTCAGGCACTAATTCTTGTTGTTGTTTTGGGATGGGTTTTTGTACCAATCTACATAAAGGCAGGGGTAAATAACAAAACACAGACAACACATTTTTCTAGATTTCACAATTATAAAAAAAACAAAGTCTTATCATGATGTTTGTTTAGGTGATAACCATGCCTGAGTATCTGAAGAAGAGGTTTGGAGGACAGCGTATTCGCATCTATCACTCTGTGTTGTCCCTCCTCCTCTATGCCTTCACTCAGATCTCTGTAAGTTTATGTGACTGCTTTAAAAAAACTTCCTGCAGAAAGGCAAAGCCATTTCACTTACAATCTTGTTTTTTGTCCGATTTCAGGCCGACATTTTCTCCGGCGCCATTTTCATCCAACAGGCTCTTGGGTGGAACATCTATGTTGCCGTTATTGCTCTTTTGGCAGTCACTGCATTGTATACTGTCACAGGTCTGTCATAAGAAGGAAATCCTCTTTTACAGTTATAAATTTTTTTCTTATAAACTACAAGGAAGACGCCTTATCATAGTAATACAGGCCGTGCCTCTCTCAAAGCCATATCTAGGGCAGTTTACTGTATGTTTAGCAATTAGCAAAAGTAAGTAATAAAAGTTATATAAGAACATAATAACACATCTTTATTGAGCATATTTCCCCATTTGATTCTGAATGAAATTTCTATTCCTTTTTCTAGGTGGACTGGCGGCAGTGATATACACAGACACTTTACAGACAGTCATAATGGGTACTGGATCCTTTGTTCTCATGGGTTTTGGTAATATGCTGTTATTATTGTTTATCATTTTTGCGTGTTATTAGTAATCAATTATATAACACTATTGAGGACTGAAAGAGTAAACCTGTTGAATCTCCAACTACCCTCAGCTTTTAATGAAGTGGGCGGCTATGAAAGGTTCCAGGAACTTTACTGGACTGCGATCCCTTCAGTCACTGGGAATATCAGCGCAGAGTGCTACACGCCTCGGAAAGACTCCTTCCATCTTTTTGGAGATCCAATAACTGGAGACATGCCATGGCCTGGCCTGGTGTTTGGACTCACAATCCAGGCCACGTGGTTCTGGTGCACTGATCACTTTGGTAAGAAAGATGATCATCTTCTCCTGCTGTGTAGAGATGTTTTCTCCGGTGACTTAGTAACAGGCTTAACAACATAACAGAAGCAATCAAATACCATAAACTCATTGAGATGACTATTACATAACAGTTTCATCTTGCCAACTTTTGGGTAGAATCATTAAGGCGATTTTGAAATATACCTTGGAATTAGATCATGAACTGTGAACTGAACTGCAATTCAAAATGATTTAGGAATTAAAAATCTGAAAGGCGCCTGCACATAGAATCTCCACTTCATACATATACATGTACATATTTACATTTTGTTTTACTTTGATGATGTTGTTAAAAGATAGATGTAATCAGTGCTCATAACTAGTTTAGTCAAGTTTGTAACAATTGCTACCTGATACAATTTCGTGACAAACTCACCAAAATCATGTAAGAAACATGTTGCTTGTTTTTAGGTTAAGCATTGTAATATAGCTACTGCAGGATAAATTGACCCACTGTTTCTACTCTGATAAATGTCAGTATATTTTCAACTCACTCATGGGGTCATGAGAATTAAAATAAAGTAGTATTACTTGATAACTTGCATATACTGGAACTGTATATACAACAAAGAAGAGGTCATATTCGCAAAAAAGACCTGAAGCCAATGAATAGTCCTTAAAAGTATGCATAATATGAGAAGTACATTACTTAACACAATTTGATGCAGACACTGGAAAGCTGCTTTGTATTTATCTTTAAAGCAAAAAATCTAATCAAATTCTTAGAACACCAACATAACAGTTAAAGCCATGCTCAGCCAAATATGTGTAAAGCTGAGTATGACCACACCTATTTGACTTTACAATTTTGGCTGCATCTTACGACAGCATACAAATCACCTGTTTTATCCTGTGCTGAATTGATGTGTCAGTATGTTTAGCACCAATGAATTTCTGTGTGTAAATCTGATTGTTTTATTCACATTTTTTTGTAGGTGATTGTGCAGCGCTGCCTATCAGCCAAGAATCTCTCTCATGTTAAAGCAGGTTGCATCTTATGCGGGTACCTGAAGATACTGCCCATGTTTCTTATGGTTCTTCCTGGGATGATAAGTAGGATCCTCTATCCAGGTACCTAAATTGTTTTGTACCCTTTTCTGACTATTTAGCATCTGTGTGTTTCTTCAATTTTTTTAAAATACAAGTAGTACAGGACAGTGGTTCCCAACCCTGCTCCTCAGGAGCCACTATCCTGTAGGTTTTATGTGTGTTTCTGGCACACCTGCATCAACTCAGTGCAGTACCACAGTCCTGCACGTTTTAGAACATCAGTGCTAAAGTCCAGTCCTCAAGAGCTACTGTACTATCTTGCAACTTTTTGATGCACCCCATTTTTAACACACCTGACGTGGCTTGTTAACATGCCCCTGGTGGACTAAATGAGGGGATTGTGTCTTTCGATTCAGGTATATTAGAGAACAGATGCCTCTAAAAGTTAAGGGATGGTAGCTCTTGATAGATGTTTGCCTGCTCCACACACCTGACTTAAATAACTGGGTGATTAACAGGCTGATGCAGTCCTTGAAGGCTGTGGGGGAGGCACTGCAATCAGTTGATGCAGTTGTGCTGGAGCAGAAACACATGGAAAACAAACAGGATAGTGGGTCCTGAAGAATAACATTCCTGTCATTACACTAATAATTTGACACTGTAGCATGAATAGTTATATCCACAGACACATCAGGTTAGCTATTAGATTTGGGGTGAGGATATTCATATGCATCCCTGTTGCAGAATAGACACAGCTTCAACTCAAATGCCACAGTAAATCACCAAATTAGGTTACTTGGTCACCTCCTGTACTAGGCAGAGATTATTCCATCTCCTAGAAGCTCTAAAGTAAAGATAAACATTTATCATAACTTAGTTTATGATCAGAAATAAGTAGATGCACTTTGCAGGGCTAGAGCATTAAAACTAATTTTTTTTATTTAAAAATAAGAAACAGCAGCATAAGTAACCTTCCTAATCAGTTGAATCCTCTAATACCAGCTGTAATCCTAACTGAAATGTATTATTTAAAATACATGAAAAGATATTCAAAGATAATAAAGCAATATTATCTATGTGATATTAATTACAGACATAGTGGCATGTGTGGACCCAGATGAATGTAAAAAGTACTGTGGGACTAGTGTTGGATGCACCAACATTGCCTATCCCAAAATGGTGGTGGACCTCATGCCCAATGGTTTGTTGATTAATACCATTATTTTAAATTCTAAATGCACATTTTGACTTCTTCCAATTTCCGCTGCTCTTACTCAACAACTCTCTTTTAGGTTTGAGGGGTTTGATGCTGTCAGTGATGCTGGCCTCTTTAATGAGCTCCCTTACCTCAATATTCAACAGTGTTAGCACTCTTTTCACCATGGACATCTACACTAAGGTTCGTCCCACTGCCAAAGAGAGGGAACTGATGATCGCTGGCAGGTAGTTTAAGCTTTTTTTTTTTTTTTTATATATTTGTATTGTTCCTCTTTTGACTTTTATAGTAACTGCATGGTTGTTTGAACTTTACAGGGTGTTTATCCTCATATTAATTGCTATAAGCATTGCCTGGATTCCTATGGTGCAGTCAGCCCAGAGTGGACAGCTGTTTGACTACATCCAGTCGATCATCAGCTATCTGGCTCCACCCATTGCAGCTGTCTTTTTTCTTGCACTTTTTTACAAACGTGTCAACGAGCCTGTGAGTTTTTGTTTAAGTTTAATTAAAGCTTTTGATTTTCAACAAGTTGTCCATTACTGAAACTGAAATCTTGATTACAATTTAAATTGTAGATGACAATTGATTGATTGATTGATTAGTCAAAGAGGATACAATAATATTTTATACACTATATTGCCAAAAGTATTTGCTCACCTGCCTTGACTCACATATGAGCTTAAGTGACATCCCGTTCCTAATCCATAGGGTTCAATATGACGTCGGTCCACCCTTTGCAGCTAGAACAGCTTCAACTCTTCTGGGAAGGCTGTCCACAAGGTTTAGGAGTGTGTTTATGGGAATTTTTGACCATTCTTCCAGAAGCGCATTTGTGAGGTCGCACACTGATGTTGGACGAGAAGGCCTGGCTCTCAGTCTCCGCTCTAATTCATCCCAAAGGTGTTCTATCGGGTTGAGGTCAGGACTCTGTGCAGGCCAGTCAAGTTCATCCACACCAGACTCTGTCATCCATGTCTTTATGGACCTTGCTTTGTGCACTGGTGCACAGTCATGTTGGAAGAGGAAGGGGCCAGCTCCAAACTGTTCCCACAAAGTTGGGAGCATGGAATTGTCCAAAATGTCTTGGTATGCTGAAGCATTCAGAGTTCCTTTCACTGGAACTAAGGGGCCAAGCCCAGCTCCTGAAAAACAACCTCACACCATAATCCCCCCTCCACCAAACTTTACACTTGGCACAATGCAGTCAGACAAGTACCGTTCTCCTGGCAACCGCCAAACCCAGACCCGTCCATCAGATTGCCAGATGGAGAAGCGCGATTCGTCACTCCAGAGAACGCGTCTCCACTGCTCTAGAGTCCAGTGGCGGCGTGCTTTACACCACCGCATCCGACGCTTTGCATTGCACTTGGTGATGTATGGCTTGGATGCAGCTGCTCGACCATGGAAACCCATTCCATGAAGCTCTCTGCGCACTGTTCTTGAGCTAATCTGAAGGCCACATGAAGTTTGGAGGTCTGTAGTGATTGACTCTGCAGAAAGTTGGCGACCTCTTCGCACTATGCGCGTCAGCATCCGCTGACCCCGCTCCGTCAGTTTACGTGGCCTACCTCTTCGTGGCTGAGTTGCTGTCGTTCCCAAACACTTCCATTTTCTTATAATACAGCTGACAGTTGACTGTGGAATATTTAGGAGCGAGGAAATTTCACGACTGGATTTGTTGCACAGGTGGCATCCTATCACAGTTCCACGCTGGAATTCACTGAGCTCCTGAGAGCGACCCATTCTTTCACAAATGTTTTTAAAAACAGTCTGCATGCCTAGGTGCTTGAATTTATACACCTGTGGCCATGGAAGTGATTGGAACACCTGATTCCAATAATTTGGATGGGTGAGCAAATACTTTTGGCAATATAGTGTATCTTTACAAAGAGATGTTTTGCACTTTATTAGGGGCTGCATAACATTTAAAAAACCTATTTAACTTATTTTTTTTCTGAAGTTTTGGAGGATGATTCATTTAAAAGCACAATAATTTCCTTCTCTGTTATTCAGGGTGCCTTTTATGGACTTACCGTTGGCCTGGTAATAGGACTATCCAGGATGATTACAGAGTTCATCTATGGCACAGGAAACTGTGTCAGTCCAAGCAACTGTCCCACAATTATATGCGGCGTACACTACCTGTACTTCGGGATGATCCTCTTTACTGTGTCCTGTATAGTCATAATCGGAGTGTCTCTGTTGACCAAACCCATTCCGGACAAGCATGTAAGTGACAGCTGTACAATAAAATTAGATTTATTTTTACATACCAAAATAAGTAACTTTTGACTAGAGGTCAGCTCTGTACCCAACATAATTGAGCTGAGAGACTAAATTTAGGATTCTTCACACAAAGATAAGGTATATATCTTTAGTGGGATCAAAATAAAATATTTTTTCCATTTGGTCCTATTCAGCAGGACAATTATTAATGCTTAAGAAACCTTAACCTTAACTAACCTTAAGAAAATTCCCATAAATTGTTCATTTGACTAATAACTCATCATGAGGTTGTGTTGTTTCTGACATTTTTTTTTAGTTTAAATTCATATACGGTAGATTGATCTAAGTACCTAATATCCTCAACCCTTATATGGCTGCTCCTGACATGCCTGTATGACAACACAAAATAATATTTTATTCTAATAAAACAGTCTCATATATCGTATTGTACATTTCACTATTTGTATTCATAAAATTCAGTGTAGTCAATGATCTTTGTTAGCCGTTTATTTGATTTTTAAGGTTGTTTCTCTATACATAAAAAAAATGGTGAATTGGCATTGTTAAGGTGTACAGCAGGGTTCCTAAATTTTGTCTCTGAAGGATTGAGATCCTGCACCTTTCAGGCGTGACTTTGTCTCATAAAACCTGAGTCAAATAGTCAGGTAACTGGAAGGACTGTGGAGGCAGTAATTTAGCCATTTGTTTCAGATGTAGGAGCACAGACACAGCTAAGAGGAACAGGACATCAGACCTTGACAACAGTAATTGCAGAAGCCTGATGTACAGAAAAAGTCCTTATAGTGACCTGATTATTTGACCCAAGTGTGTTAAATCAGAGAGACACGTCTAAAAGTTGCGGGAAACCGGAACTTGAGGACTGGGGCTTGACACCTGTGCTCTAAAGAAACACATGTTTGCAAACTGTACATGAGATTAACCACAATGAAGTCATATTTTGAATTGAAATATCAGTTTATACAATTCTCTTTGATAGACAAACATTTTATTTTTAAATTCAAAATATTTTCGCTATCTTTATTTACCAGCTGTATCGATTATGTTGGAGCCTGAGGGACAGTACGGAGGAAAGAGAAGACATTGAACCAGACGACTGGATTAATGATGAGGAGGATGAAGAAAACGAAGATGGTGAAAAGCATTTACACATATTTTATATATCAGTGATAATAGCTGTTGACACATTTATTGGATGGTCTAAATACAAAACTATTCAAAATGATAAAAACTACAAAATACCTGTTAAAGTACTCCAACTTAGATATTTAAGGTACCATAGATGTGTTTTGACTTTTTTGTCCAGTTAAAAAAAAGGCTTTTTTTTTTTTTTATGTCGTACAGAACCTGAGGAGGAACCTGGCCTCTGCAAAAAAGCCATCATGTGTTTTTGCGGACTGGAGCGGAAAAAAGCCATAAAACTGACTCCAGAGGAGCAAGCAGCACTTAAAAAGAAGCTCACTGATACAACAGAAGACCCATTTTGGAGGAATATTGTTAATGTTAACGCCGTCATTCTATTATGTGTTGCTGTGTTCTTTCATGGATACTATGGTTAGACAAATTTAGCATTAATTATTCATATAAAAGGTCTTTTCGTTGACTCAGAGGGTTAAATATACATACAAATGAGTACACGCTGTCATTTGCTTTGCTTGTTACTCAGTATTTTTTCCTGTTTTATGCAATTTTGAAGCGTGTTTCTTTCAGAGCCTTTTACTTTCAAGATATTTGATTTGAGTAGAATAGAATAGAGTAGACTAAAATAGAGTAGAACAGAAAAGAAAAGAATAAAATAGAATTATATTGGTATTATTCAAAGTCTTTTTTGTCAATGGATAGGTAAGCTTCCTGGCATGAAAGACAAATAAACAAAGTATTAAAATGGACCAAGCACAAAAGGAACATTGAGAAATAAAACAACCAATGAAAACAGTATTTGGTAAATTCTGGTTGCAGGAGCTAACAAGTACAATATGCTATGACATACAAACTTATCTCATCAAAAAGATGAATCATCAACCCCCTGACATCACAGTTTAACTGTGTAAAGGTTTCTCAATGAAATAAGACATTTCCATTTTCTTTTGTTGCACATCTTAGAAATATAGCTTCCGGTTAGCTCCACTTTATTTGATATAAACGACAGATTGAAATTGATCAAATTCACAGTAACAACATATTGATTCATGAATTAGATTTATGGTGACACACAGAGGTGCTTCTTTCAATTGTGATTTTTTTTTTAAGAATTGTTGCTATAAATACTTGGATAAATGGTATTGTTTTTTTGGAAATAATAAGCTTTGGTTTATGTTCCCTTATGTCAATGATACTAGCACACATCCTGTCATTAAATGTTTTGCTTTTATGCATTGATAGTGTTCCTTTTCCTGTGGGGAGTTGTATTTTATCATGTCTTTCCAATCTCTGGCAGCTGCAAATCACTTTATATGTAATAAAAGGATCATAAATTACATACAACAATTTTTACTGTGCTAATTTTGACATATCAGGATTAACCAACAGTCTTTTCATGTAAAGCTTAGAGTTACTTTTTTTTTTTTTTTTTTTTTTTTAAAAAGGCCAAACATAATTATAATATGATTTTATTTACCGGTGGGTAAGGCTGCATTCCACACTTTCAAGTCAAGCTATTCTAAGTAGTTTATATTGTTAACAGCCAATAATACAAAAAAAATAATAATAAAAATACAATACTGCTCATAATCAAACTAATCAGCTATTTTAAATTTGTAATACATTTCGAAAAATGCAATAGGCTAACTTTGTATTTACCGGTGTGGAAAAATTCAAACAATGGATTCATGTTTGCTTCTACTAATCCTAAATTACTAAGATTGCAAAAATGTGCTGCAAATAGTCATGTTGACTGTTCTAATCCTAAAGGCATTTGAGTTATTTGATATTAATTAAAATAAATTTCAGTCTGTCATATTTTGCATGGGGGAAAAAAAAGGCTGTGTGTTTGAACAACAGACAGGGTTAATTTAAAATTGAAATAGATTCACAACAACTTAAACTCCTGCGGAAGATGGAGTTAGAGATCGACAGGCCGATTGGTGTGGTGTCTGCTGTGATGATGGATGGATGGATGGATGGATGGATGGATGGATGGATGGATGGATGGATGGATGGATGGATGGATGGATGGATGGATGGATGGATGGATGGATGGAATTGCATTAATAATTAGCTCCTGCCTGTTGCTGCAGAGAAAACACTGAGCCTGAAAGTTAAAGCTCTAACTTGGTCATAAATAAATATCACTACAAACAGAATGTGAGTCGGTGTACAGGGAACTAAAATGAGCATCCCCCCCCAGACTAGGCTCCTTCATAGACATTGGGTGAGGGGTTTGGTTGCCAATGGGAGGTTAAATCAAATGGGAACAGTAGAGGAAGTTCATGTCCCCCCACAAAAGTCCCACTGAAGTGAGAACCCAGACCCAAAAAACACAGGAGGGACTATATAACTAAAGTAAACAGGTTGCATCCTTGGTGTTTTATGCTTAAAGATTTGTTTCTGAAACTATTTTACATATTATATAATAATATTAACTATTTTATTTCAGTAAAATATTCATAAAAGAACTGTCCTCAGATTGACCACAAGATGTCTCTATATGACACTTTATTGCATAATTTCAAAGAAAGCTTATTATTTAAAAAATCAAAGAAGGAATGTGCAAAATCAAGCAAAATTTATTGTGAGTGATTTAAACATAAAGGCGTTTTAAGAGACACATTCTGCCATCCAAATATGCTATTTTTTCCCTCTTTGTAAATATATTTAAGACATTGCCATTAATTTAATGATAATTCCATCCATCCATTTTTAGTCATGCTTATTCCTGCTGGGGTCACGAGGGGAGCTGGTGCCTATCTTCAGCTGTCAATGGGCGAGAGGCGAGGTTCATGATAATCGTCTACCTTTATTTTAAGCATGTTGGTGTTTTGTTGTCTTTTCAAACAGCTGTGCAATATGCTTTTTTTTTTATTCATACATGTTAAAAGGTAGCTTTGGTTCCCAGATAAAATCTGATGCATAACAGTGCCTGCTGCTTACACGAAGCCCTCTGTGATCAGATGGAAAGACTTGTAGTTTTGCTATAAAGGATGAATTTTATCCTGCCTTTGGGTTAAAGAGGTTTTTAGTTTTTGTCATGGCATGCTTTGACCTGATAGGCATTGGAAGTCTACAGAGAAATCATATTATATTTCTAAACTCTTTATAAATCTATACTGGCTTACTTGAAATGAACCTATCTATATCTTACTGCTAACTGAGTAAACACCAATTCAGTTGTGCAAAAACAAAACAAAATGATAGATATTATTAAAGAAAATATTACATTAGACTCATTAAAATATAATGTACTGTTAATTGTTTACTCAGGACCTGTCCTGCTTTACACATTATAAATGTGCAATCATCCATCCTTGTTGATAAAATGTGACAAATAAGTTTTCCTGACAAAGTTTTTCCGCATCCTTTAATAGCTGCATAGAGGTATGATCAAGATACTGTTAATGGGGGTATAAAAAAAGGATGGCTTATTAATTTACTGCTGTTCTCACAAGTGCCCTGATAACAATATGGAAGTTTTGAAGGACACAAAGCCTAAAACTGATGGCAGGGTTTGTATGGCTACTTTTTCTGCTGTACTATTGTTTTCACCTGTTTATCCCATCAGAGTAACACTGATTCTGAAATTATGATTGCCTAAAAAAAAAAGAAAAATGTGTTCTGTTTAACAGTAAAATTGCACTACTGAATGGAACTGGTGTAGAAGTGTTGCAATAAAAACAGTTGTTTTTATTTTCAGGGTGATATTGAATTTGTGTTTGGAGGCCTCTGACTGCCACAAAGTTTTATGCATAGACAAAAGGTTTTGGTTCCTTTAATATATTTTTTTATTTTATTGCTGTTGTCATGATAAACATAACACATATATTAAAATTTTGAATATATTCAAATTAACAGTATAAACCGATTTTTATTAGAATGCAGCTGCAGTAACTGTTGCATTTCTATTATCTTCACTTGTTTAGGAGAAGTTGTTTTTTTTTTTATTATGTTTTTTTTATTTTTACTCAGGCCAGAATTAAAACAACATATGTAAATCGTATGATATCCTTTTTGTCTTTTTTGTCTCAGTACTGTGTGGCTAAATTGTTTCAAGAAACATATTGATTGAATACTTGAGAGATAAATTTAATTTATCTGTTGTCAAGGCAGGGTTGCAGGAGACCTTGTGCCATTAGAATACACGGCCACACAGCACAAACAACCACACAGTGCCCAGATACAAACATAACTTATATCTAGAAGGGCTGTTTGAAGAACATATTTTGGGACAGTGGAAGGAGGGCAGAGTAACCAGAGTGAACCCAGGCATGAACAGGAAAAGCAAACTAAACTCAGAAAGTTCTTTGGTTGAATCACCTTCTTGCTGTAAGGCAGAGTGCTACCAACAGGTGCATCACTTTGCAGCCATGGTATAGGGGAGAATTTTTCCAAATTTTTTAAAATTACACCTATTGATTGTGTGCGAGAGCATGCACAAGCCCATTTCTCCTCGTGCGTGTTCAGTGCTGTTTGCATCACTCATACAAGCTTACTTTTTAAAAGAAAATTAGCAATTTTTCTACCGTGGTGGAAAAGGCGAGTTTTAATGAATGGCTGAAACCGTAGCTCAGATCCATAACCTCACCACGGATATACACCTGAAAGAATGCATGCATAGAAAATGATGAGGGACAAGCTTGTAGGACAGCATACATAAACATATCACCAGAATGGTCAACAATTAGGAGGACCATCTATTTTGATGATCCACCCAGAAAAAGAACATCCTCCACTACAACCTTGATAATATATTTGATATTCCGATTCCTATTTCTAGTCTGTTTAATTATTTTATTCTGTTACCAATCCTCTTAATTTGGAAAACAAATTGATTAGCATTGAGTTTTTATATATCTTATTTTTTAACAAGATATTTATTTATAAGTTTAGAAGTAACATGGTTGTATCCACAAATTGCCCTGATGTTGTTCTTTCTTATACAATGTAACCACATTGGGTTACATTAGGGTTTGTGTCACTTAGGTGCCATGTTTCCTGCTGGTTGCACTGGTATATTGCATAGCTTGCATAGGCTGTGCAAAATTTGTGGTGACACCAGTATCACCATGTGAAATTGATAAAGGAATCATTTGCATAAATGGCATATAATGCCAAGAAATTGCAATACGGGAAATCAGTTCTCAACAAGAACCAGATTTTGATTCCATTCTCTGGCAGCCACACAGTAAGTATTGGAATGAATATTGAAATAAAGTATTGAAATTATCTTTCAAACATGGATAGCCGATGTGTAAAAGGCTGGTGTTTTTTTTTTTTTAGCAATACTATTGGAAAGACTGAAAGAAAAATATAGTAAATTACCTGTTCTTATACAGTGGTTAATTAGTTGAGTTGACTCCAAAGTGCTTTATACTATACAAGTCATTCAGCCACCAACAGACTGTTGTAAGTCACATTTAGCCCTGTCTACACCGACAGTACTAATGGGCTGCATTCTCACCACCAATATCAAGGAGGATGGGCCAAGTCTCTTTCCTGATAGCCATCTGGTTTATAAGCATTTGGTTTAAAGAGAAATCAGAATAGAAATCCATTTTCATTTTTTTTTTTTTTTCTCACAGGTTTATATGGAGTAACAATATACTGTTATCTTATGATTTTGCTAAAAAATTAGAAAAAAACTTAGAAGGTAGCACAAAATGTACTTTGGTTGATGATTAACTTCCTCAAAGATTAACAGAGAAAAAAAAGCTGAGAAGTGGGAAGCTTACTCAGAAATAATATTTGTTATTTTTATGGAGAATAAATATTTGTATCCATGTTATGTTAAAAGCAATGCAGCTTTTGTAATAAGGGAACAAAACCAAGCACATTTTAGAAAAGAGGACATATTCAGGGCGGATTGTTAATGGGATTTAACAACCTTTTACAGGAGTCACATCAAAGATTCATAGATGTACCTGCCTTAAGATAGCAGTTGCACAGGGTACGTTCACTTCACATGCAGAGACATTAGCTGTTTGTTGCAATATATACAAAACCTTCCAAAATGTCCCAACGATCAGCAAGTCTCTATTAAACCTACAAAGAAAAGTTGCATTTTCTTTCCAATTCTAAAAATGTAGAAAGCTGAACAAATGAAAAGAAGCATATCGTATGTACACCTTCGACATTCACATAATACAAAAAACCCCAGAAGCATTTAACCAAGTTAAGTTTCAATTTAACCAAAGATATAAGAATATTTAGCACCTTATTATACATCACAGTTCAGTGAAGATTGTATCCTTTTCCTTTTTGATCTTCAGTCTTCTGTTTGGTTCTCCAAGCTAATTATTAACACACAGATAAAAGACACATGATTATAAAGAAGATTTAATGTTCATGTAATGGGTTGAAGGTGAGGTTAGGAACTATTAAATTGTTATATACTGCCAAGAAATAACCACAATCTTATTTGGCAGTGCTGTCATAGATTATTAACCCATGTCAAGGGGAAAAAAATGTTTTATATAAACTAGATTTTTGAAATTGTGGACATGATATGAAAAAAGCTGTTATGAAACTTTAGACAGCAGCTATTATATATTCTAATATCTATGTATTAGTTCTTAATTTTTGCATTCGTTTAAACAGGCAAAATCTTAACTTAAAATAAAGACAAAGTAAGAATTTTCTTGCTAGTAGAAGTATACCATTCCAACATCAAATTAGCTGTTTTCCCCCAAAGACAAATTTATATACATATATATATAATATGTGCTTGTGTGTGTACATTTTTATACATACCCCCTTGTTATAAATTGTATCACATACATTTTAATTCATTATTTTTATGTCCTTACTTATGTGGATTTAAAGGCCACAGTTCACATATTCCTACTTCATTTTTAATTCTATATGTTAATAAACAATCGTGTAAAGTTAGCAACTGCTGCATATGGTCCTATCATGTATGATGTGTTATATAAAGAAAAACACTTATAAGTAACAACAGGAAGAAAAAACGATTACCGGAACATCCCTGGTTTTACTTTCTTTAAAGATTGATGATTAACCGTTTGCTTTCCAGAAGGTTTAAACATTTCTGCTGTACTAATATTTGTAACAAATTAGCATACAAGTAAATTTCTTACTCTGTATAAACCCCCCTCCAATCACCCCTCTCTTACCTTTACTCTATGCTATTGACCACCCCACCACCCCTCCCTCCTTCTGCCCAACACACAAACACTGAAGCTATAAAGGTAGGTGTTGTGCATGTTTTCAGTCACAGTGGACCGACTCCTGCAGACTACCTGTCGTACACTCCAACTCTGAGCATAATGGCTTGGGATTATTTCAGATCGCCCAGCTACTTAAGAAAAGTAAATGGCACTGTGGCTCTCAACAATGCAGCTGACATCTCTGTTATTGTTATTTACTTTTTGGTTGTCCTGGCTACGGGTGTTGTGGTAAGTTCTGCAAACTTTCTACCTGTTTAAAGACTGCAATTCTTTTTTCATTCACCATGAATTGTAAACTGTTCAAATAATCTGAACAAAGAGCAAAAGCCATGCTATTTTTATTGTTGTTTTGACTGGTTCAGGCATCTGTTTAGGGAATTTGTTTAAAACATTTGCATTAAACACATTGTACTATACCTGGGATTTCTGCAGATGAATATACAGTAACAAGAAACTGCCACTAACATAGAGTTGAAATGCCATAGAACTTACTGTAGTAATGTTTTGTTGACTTTTATTTATTTGCTAAAATGTATCCTTGTATTGTTGCAGGCTATGGTCCGCACCAATCGATCCACTGTGGGTGGCTTCTTCCTTGCAGGGAGGAGTATGGTGTGGTGGCCGGTGGGTATCTTACTAAAATATTAGGGGAAAAAATTAGTTCTGCAATGATTCTGATGTATTTTTTAACAACTTGAAATGAAAGGTTGGTTATATACAAGTCAGAGAAAATAATTTATTGCATAGTTTTGTTCCTTAAAATTATTGCTATTTCTTTATGAAAATTAAGTAAGTTCTTTTATATACATTTGAACTGATGGTGTAAGAGTCAGCTAAAATTAGATTATTCAGATTCACTGGACATATTGATCATCAGAAACTTAAAACATTCTTCAAAACGCTGACATTTTTGTGTCCTTAGCATTGAGGTGTGTCTTGACAAATTTTTAAGAAAAAAACATTTACATTGATCTTAAGTAAGATACTGTTGTAGACAGTCAATCTGGGAATAGTTTCTAAATAATGTGTGGGCCACAGCTGTTGCAGAGATGTATATTGTTAAAGCCAAAACCTGCAGTGCTAATTGAACTTGTCACAAAACAAGAGCAAATTTTACTCCATAGGCCCAAGCATGGTAAATGCTAACTAAGGCCTCCGAAAGAACAGATTTACAAAGTGACAGGATGAGTAAACAACTTAGTCTTCAGAAAAAATGTAAAGAGGATCAAATGTTTCCTTACAGAAACATTTAGAAAAGATAGAAAAAAATATATTTTAATGGGAAGGTGACATGACTAAACATTGTTGTAAATGACGTGATTCCCTAGTCTTATCTTATACCAAGTAACTTATTAACACCACACTGATTCCCCACGTATAAGCAATCATCAGGTGTATTTTGTTTCTTTTTTATTATAATACAATCAACAAATCTAATGTATGCTGTGATTCAATTAAATATATTAAAAATGTTTTACACATATTTGTCAGTTTCCTTTAATGTCTTAGAGCTAATAGATGACCGACATTTTGTTGTTTAAAAAAGGTAAATTATTATCATGAGATCAAAAAATCTTTTTTTTTTCAACAATAACTAAAGTTATGGCCAAAAAATATTCTACCCAATCTTGGGGAAGCCAGCTGCATTGACAGTTGTCCAGTGCACAGCACCAACAACATGCTCAAGGCATTGCCGAACAAAAAAGGGGTATTGCATCAAAACATTTAAAGGAAAATGTACAGAAAAAGAGACGGAAAAAGAGAGGCAGAAAAAAAATGTACAAGCAACAGTAGCAATAACAGCCTGGGAAGACTGACAAGCAAAGCATATTCAGTACAACAGTTACTGTTAGTGGTTCAAGAGCTTCCATATGCAGTGCTGAACAGAGCATATTAACAACATTGCATTCCTTATGTTCCCACAAATAAGGTTTTGCCATTAAACTGAGAGAAAAAGAGACCGAGCTATTGATCAGGTGCCTAGACCCATAAAGAGACCGAAGTAAATTCTGGACCTTTCACTTGTAAATCCAGGGAAACTGTCAATTCGGGGTGCCTTGTCATTTCCCATGTTGCTCCATCGTTTTATCAAACCAAAAATCTGTTTCACCAGGACATTTTAGAGCAAAACATGCAGTCTTATCCTGACTTCAGCTGCATGGAGATGCTGATTTCATTTTCAAGCCATACTGTCTGCCTGGCAATACTTCCAATGGTACCAGAAGCTGGTTTAATTACGATAATTTATTATGATGTTTATACATTTGATTTACCAACAATCTTGGCTGGCTCAAACCCCTCAGGTTATCTATGAGGTTCATTCAAGCTTAGGAGCAATTTTAAAGCAACATAGGATTTCTTAGTAACATCTAATCAGTCCCACCAGCTTTTTTTTGCATGCCAGGCTACATTGGTGTACTACTTCATGCAAAAGAGGCCTAAACCAAACATTGTTTGAATATACTAACCTATAAATAAAATGTTGTGCTTTTCAGCTGAGCAAATGATCTGGCGTTTGTTACCTGCTGTGGCATAACTTTGGAAATGAAAGAATTTTTTTTTTACAGATTGGAGCTTCCCTCTTTGCAAGCAACATAGGCAGCGGCCACTTTGTAGGGATTGCTGGTACTGCTGCAGCTGCTGGAATAGCCATTGGTGGATTTGAATGGAATGTAAGTACCATTTTTTTTGTCCGTTTCACAAAAATGGAAGATATCGACTTGTGACTATACAACCTCACTTTTGGTTTTATGAAAACTGCAAAGAAAAAGCTTAATAAGTTTTGTACTAAATATTTCCTGGATGAATTCCATCTTTTTGCCATTGTTTTGTGTTCCAGGCTCTTATTGTTGTCGTCATTCTAGGATGGCTCTTCGTACCAATCTACATCAAAGCTGGGGTAAATAACACTCAAATTGAAAATTAAGAATTTTAAAGTTTTTGTGTTTGAAAAAGGAAAAGTATATTTAAATCGTCTTAGGTTGTCACCATGCCCGAGTACCTGAGGAAGAGGTTTGGAGGACAGCGAATTCGCATCTACCTCTCTGTGCTCTCCCTCTTTTTATATGTCTTTACAAAGATCTCTGTAAGTTTGTTGCATATAACTTTAACCTTTCAGCAATGGATGCATTGAATCAAAATCAAACAGCCTTTCTATTTCGTCCCAGGCCGACATGTTCTCTGGTGCCATTTTTATCCGGGAAGCTCTTGGTCTGAATATCTATGTCGCAGTCATCGCGCTACTGGCAATTACAGCTCTATACACCGTAACAGGTCAGTCCTCAGGAGGAGATTCACTACTCTTTCAGAGATTATTTTCCTCATTAGCAGCCTAAAAAAAGCGTTCTCTATGTAAATGACGCATGTGCAATGATAAGGTCTTCCAAGGCCACACGTAGAGCAGAGATCAAGAAACACACATAAAGAGAAAACCCCTCCTCTTTTAGCTGTTTATCTGTGGAGTGTTTGTGGTTAATTGCCCGTGGACAGTGATAAGCTTTAAACTGCCCTCACTTACTGCTTTGTAATAATGCACTCACACTAAAAACAAAACATTTATCAAATAAGAGATAAAATAGCGGTCACATGAAAACAAGAAATCCTTATTCTCTGTAGTATAGACATATTAATCTTTATGATTTTAAGTAAAACGCTTTAAAGATGGCTAACATCATGTTTTATTTCAGGTGGACTGGCTGCAGTGATATACACAGACACCTTGCAGACCTTCATTATGGTGATTGGATCCTTCATTCTCATGGGATTTGGTAATAATCATTTATCTTTATTTCTCAGTTTATTTTGCATCCTCTCTTTGTTCTAAGCCCCACAAAAAAAAAAGAGTAGAATGAGCCTCAGTCTAACCTTCATCTGTCCTCAGCTTTCAATAAAGTCGGAGGCTATGAAAGTTTCCAGAATAGCTACATGGAGTCAATTCCCTCAGTCACCAATAACATCAGTACAGAGTGCTACCTACCTCGGCAAGACTCCTTCCACATTTTCAGGAATGCAATAACCGGAGACTTGCCATGGCCTGGCTTGGTGTTTGGACTAACAATTCAGGCCACCTGGTACTGGTGCACAGATCAAGTAAGTAAAAATATAATCACCGCCTTTGACTGTGCGGATACCTTACTTCCACTGACTCAGGAACATGTTTTACTACATACCAGAAACAATCAAAGGCCATAAAGTCATTCGGTTGACTTTTTACATAACCGTGCGCGCATTTATGCTCTTTTTATCTCGCCTGTTTTGGACAGATTCACTGAGGCGGTCTAAGGTTGCCAGCTGATAGTGAAGAGCCATGTCATATAAAAGTCCTTTGGAGTAAAACCTGATCCATGAGCTGAATTGCAATTACTTCACAAATATTTTGCTAACCTCTAGCAATTTCTTGAGCCTATAGTTGCCTGGACACAAACTCTTCAGTTCACAAACACTGGTATCCTGTTTTTATCGTGTTTTTACCTTGATCCAATTGTAAATGTTAAACAAACTAAATGCGATTTATACCCTTTGTCATAAATGGTTTGAGTGCTTCTTGTGCAATCTATTTAAAAGCAATCACATACTTCAGTCAAAACCACTGCGTCTACATATGCACTTTTTTGTTCGGCAGGCTTGTGTTAATAACAACAATAGTCATGTCTTAGTGAGTGGATGTCTGTAATTTAAGGGTGGGAATTTTGCTGAATCTTATGATGAGATTTTGTTTTAAAATATGGCATTTATTATTCTTTGGCTCAATTCAAATTATTTATCCTTAAAGCACCATTTGCCTGAAATACATTTTTAATGTTTATTCATCAACAGGCATATTCACTACAACTAATTTTGATTTATTCAAATGTTTTGTTATTTTGTTGGGTAATAAGCTTTAAATAAACTGATTACATTCATTTTAAATAATTAACAACATATTAACAATATATTTTTAACAAGATTTTTCTTCCTTTTAAAACTCTAGAGGATGCATCCCCAAAGTCGGTCCTCGAGGTTTCCCTGCTCCAGCACAGCTGATTTACATTGATAACTGAATAACAGGCTTTTGTTGAACTGCAATCATCAGAATCAGCTGTGCTGAAGCAGAGAAAACTTTAAAACCTGCAGGACTGCGGCCCTCAAGGACTGACTTTGGGGATGCCTGCCCTAGAGGATGCAAAATCAAGGCAAATACATAATTGGTAAACACATGCAACGAGTAATGCAGAGGTAAAAGTTGCAAATACAAAAATTAGATTTACACTCAAAACAAATATAAAAGATAAATGTTGCAAAAGAGAAAGCCAAGTGCAAACATAGTGCAAACACAAAACCCATAGCAAACATATAAATGATGCTGACACACAAATAAAAAAAACCCACAAAAATCATGCAAATAGCAAAAAACTATAAAAGCCAAGAAAAGCTGAAAAACTAGCTTTGCACAATGAAAGTGATTCAGACCACTAGGGGAAGATTTTTCTTTCCTCCCTTGAAATATAGTCTGGGTGGAAATACCATTAGGTTTTTCTAGTGGATTTGGTCCATAAACATCAATGCATAGCAACACATAGATCCGTGTGATATGGTGATGTCTGCAGCTCGTTTTGCTGTTTGCAGCATTTCCATTCACATATGTTTTTCGCGTCAGCTCCATTTATGTTTTTGCTTCTGGTTTTTTGTTTGCAGCATGTTTGAACTTGATTAACTTGGTGTAACTGGAAAATTTTCTTTCTTACATTATTTCTTTGCATGGGTTTTTCTTACTTCATTTTGGTGTTTGCAAGCCTAATTTTTGTTTTTGCAGTACTTTTAATACTTTACTTTTACTGTGCAATGATTTATTTGTATCACATTAGCATTACCCTAGCATTAATGCTCCTAGATGGCTTTTCAGAGGCACTAAATACCTATGCTTACCCTCAATGCTCAATCTTTTTATAGGTGATTGTTCAGCGTTGCCTCTCAGCTAAGAATCTCTCTCATGTCAAAGGAGGTTGCATTTTGTGTGGCTACCTGAAGCTGTTGCCCATGTTTCTCATGGTTTTTCCCGGAATGATAAGCAGGATCTTATACACTGGTGCGTGTTTCAAGTCTTTTGTCTTGTGAGGACTGGCATAAAATACATATAAAGCTTAAAGTACTCATTTGACACTGCTATTTTCTTTTATACTTTTAACAAAATCCAGATGTGGTGGCATGTGTGGTACCAGAAATATGTGAACGAGAATGTGAAGCTAAAGTGGGATGCAGCAACATTGCCTATCCCAAACTGGTGGTGGAGCTTATGCCAAATGGTGAGTGCATTGACAGTATTGTCTTATTTAAATCAAAACTTTATCTTCTTCAACCATTTTCTTCATTTTTATCTGTCTTTTAGGTCTGAGGGGTTTGATGCTATCGGTGATGTTAGCCTCTCTAATGAGCTCCCTCACCTCAATATTTAACAGTGCTAGTACTCTATTCACCATGGACATCTACACTAAGATCCGCCCCCGTGCCAAAGAAAAGGAACTGATGATTGCTGGCAGGTAACATAGGTTTAGCTTTGGTTAACATAACTGTTTGGATTCCCTAACTTTTACCTAATACTTTATTTATGTTAACTTTGCAGGGTGTTTATCCTGATCCTAATTGGTATAAGCATCGCCTGGATTCCTGTTGTACAGGCAGCCCAGAGTGGTCAGCTCTTTGACTACATCCAGTCAATCACCAGCTATCTCACTCCACCTGTGGCAGCCGTCTTCATGCTTGCCATATTTTACAAAAGAGTTAATGAACCAGTAAGATTCCTTTTAGTTTTTCTAAAAAAGTTCTTAACTATAGCAACTGTTGTGCTACAGAAGTTGGGGTTTGGCTATGATTAGCTATTACTGTAATAAGCAATGATTAACAAAACTGATAATTTGGTGCATCCTCTGATTACCCAGAATTGATGGCCAAACTACTTTAAGCTGTTTTACTTATTTATTGATAAATAACTGCCTGGAGAGGTTTGGTATTGTGTAAGAATAGATCATTTGCGTAATTTGAACACATGTACTCTTAAATAGCCAATGTTGCCACAATTTATTCAGAAACAAAATACTTAAATTTCCTCTTCACACACTTTAGTCAATAACCTACTCCACAAGGCTCTTGGCATACTTCTACACGAGTGGGGATTTCAAATAAATTATGGAAATAGTAAACAAATCCATAAAACTGAAAATAATAACCAATAAAACAAGGCATCGATGTTACAGTTTGCTGAAATATGGGTATTTAAGACCACGGTTTCCTGCCGGATTTTGTATTTAGGTGAAACTGGCTTTAAGTAAATCAATAAATACAAATAATCGGTGCACATAGCAGAGGGGAAAATAAAACATAACTCAAATAAATGGAAGGTTAGCAAAAGTAATCTGCTAAAAAAAAAACAAATTAAGCCATTACAGGAATTAATCGACTGTTAGGACCATACTACTCTTCACAAGGGGCTGCTACAGCTACCATGAAAATTAAATCAGCCAAAGATATCAGCAATGTCAAGTGACATTAACCTCCTAAGACCCAGAACAATTGTTTGTGTCCATTATAGGGCATATTTTGTTCACCTTATTCTTCTTTTACTATTAGGGATTAACTTATCAAGCCTTATTGTCCCCTTAGAGGACATCCAGCCTTTCCAGATATATCTTATGTGATACAGTAGGTTAACATGCTGGAAACCCCTTGTTTTTCCTTGATCAAAATGGCAGGCTGACCTATAGGTACATTTTATGAAAAAAAGGAGTTGTTTGTCCAATAATTTAAATTTTTTGCCATTTTTTTCAGGATAACTACTGTATATATCTTCTTGTTAATTAAAACCTCAACGACACTATTTTGACTTCTTAAAAGAAGTTTAATGATTTCAGTTTTGATATAAAAGCCCTTTTATTTGTCTATTTTAGCAGACACTAGGTCAGTATTTGTGGTTTTAGTGACTGCACATTTCTTTAGGAGACAGAAGTGAAGCAGTAAAACCAAGATTCAGATTTGGAACTGTCAAATGAAAAGAAAGGTGAGGAAGAGTATCAACAGGGGAAGATGGTAAACCCAGGAGAGGATGAAGATGTAGGAGGAAGGGATGAAGGGACATACTTTGAGCCAGAAAGGAAGCAGAAACTTTGACATGCTCTTCTGGCCAGGAACTAATTCTCTGATTTACTAATTTCAAATAGATATTATAAAATACCATCTAACAGCAACAGTAATGTACATCAGAATAATGTGCCTCTGTCACGCAGGTGTTCTGTGCTTGGCCATCAATTTATTTCATATGGTGACTTACAGGGTTAATGACATCTACCAGGCTGATTCAGCTCAAAATTATGTAAGATTTTAAAATCACATTTTTCAGACAGTTTTAGAAGTGAAACAGAATTATTACCATAATCAGAAAGTGAAAATAGACAAACCAACATTTAAATACAACAGAATACATTTCCAAAGCAGAGGAATTCAGTTAAAACTCATTGAAGTTAGCTGTTGTGCAATAAAATCAACTTTTAAATCATTTCAAATTACACAAATAATAAATGCATTCCGAAGAATTCGAAAGCAGATTCTGGGGGCACTGATAGGAATTATTTATATACAGTAAGTGAAAGAAACAGTAAAAGGAGTTCATGTAACAATGTCTGAAAGCACTCATCATCGCTATTATAAGTATGATGACAATTTACTTAAATGTTTTGCTAAATTGGCCATTTTTGGAAACCAAACATACTTTGTAGATACTGTCTTCCAAAAAACACAACTGTTTTTAGTCATGAACAAAAACGGTTTTAGGCACTGTTAGAATAACCAAAGAATATTGCTGCATTGATTGCATTAAATGAGCAATTTCATCTTTATATGTTGTGGATTCTTCGTCAAGCCTAGTTTATAGCTTTAGCATTACTCTCAAATGAAATTATTGAATACATTTAAAAGAAAACTTCCAAAGGTAGCTTTTTATTGCAGTTGAGTATCTCCACCTTAATTTCTTTATTTCTTTCTCCTTTCCTTTTTTCACCAGGGTGCCTTTTTTGGACTCACGATCGGACTCGTAATAGGACTATCGAGGATGATTGCAGAGTTTGCCTTCGGGACAGGGAGCTGTGTTACGCCAAGCAATTGTCCCTATATCATCTGTGGAATACACTACCTCTACTTCGGGATGATCCTGTTTCTTATTTCCTGCATCCTCATAGTCGGAATCTCCCTAGTCACTAAGCCTATTGATGACAAGCATGTACGTAAAAGCTGTGAGATATGACAAGCTTAATCTTCAACTTTCGAATTTAGAAATCATTAACAGAAAAATTCTCAACTGCATACTTCGATCAGTATACTGTAAATGGAGCATGAGCTTCCTGGAAAAAATTAAGATGGGTTTTGGCTTTCCTCTGGATCACCTTAAACTTATGGGTATTGTCACACGCGCTCTGGAAAGTGTAAAAAGCTTGATGACATAAACTTTCAGCAGAGTTTTTTTTTTTTTTTAAAGCAATTAAATTGTTGCGCATTTCAAAAATTTGCTTTTTCTGGCCAAGTGGCTTAGGCAATGGATTTCAAATCCGACAGAAAGTATATTAAAACCATTCATTTGACGCAAAATAAGTTGTCACCAAGAAGCATGCTTGGGATAATTACTGGCCCTAATTTTTTATTTTTATTTTTTTTTTTGCCTTATGCCTTTCATATTTTCTTTAGACAAAAATTTAGATGTAATACTTTGTAATAGATGCTGTGTAACAGCATATGCTACATGTAGAAATGGTTTAATTTTATTTTTTAAGACTGGTTGGCTTTGAGTTAGTTTTCCAGTTTTCTTTGAAGAAAAACACCCAGTTAGTGTCTTATTACCTCCAAGTTAATGTAATGTTTTTATGATGTTTATTTTCTGAAATTCTTTTTGTGTGTAAAGTTTTACCACCGACATGACAGGCCAAAAACAGTTAAACATTCAAACCTTTAAGAAGCCTAAAAGGGTGAAATCTGAAAGCGCATGAATACTTTTTTATGGGTCTGCTGTATGCTAAATATGTTATAGTACTGGAATCTGTTATTATTAAAAAAATGAGAAGATATTCAGTTTATGCAAAACCAATCAAATACATGATTTTGGTTGTTGTAATAATATGTAATTAATATTTTGTGTGATTTTACCAGCTGTATAGATTGTGCTGGAGTCTGAGGAACCGTACAGAAGAAAGAGAGGATATTGACAAAGACGAGGATTGGGCCGATGATCAGGACAGTGATTCAGATAGTGAAGGTATCCAAAACACACACAGACTTTACCTTTGATATAATGATTTTAATTGTACATTTATATTGGTAGAAAATGTATTTTAAGATGTTTTCAATGTATTTGTTGTTTTATGTTGCTTTTTTTAAAAAACATTTTACAATTTTTGTTTTTGTTGCCTGTTCTACAGGATCAGAGAAGAAACCTGGCTTCTGCAAGAAAGCACTCATGTGCTTCTGTGGCCTGGAGGACAAAAAAGCACCAAAACTGACTCCAGAAGAGGAAGCAGAGCTGAAGAGACAGCTCACAGATACATCAGAGAAACCTCTCTGGAAGAACATTGTCAATGCAAACGCCATCATTCTCCTCTGTGTGGCCGTTTTCTTTCACGGATACTTCGGTTAGACAAACCCCATCGACATTAAGCAAACCTGGATGCTGTACTTTCTATTTAAGTCAAAGGGTTTTACCAGGATATAAATTAGCACCAAACCAGTAGCACTTACATGATATATGGTAACGTATCATTCTTCATGTATTGTGTAATCTGATCACACTCAGAATACAGTGTATTTTTCTTATTTTTTATTTTTGGTATTTGTCACCTGTAGTAAAGCAATAACAGATTACATCTAAATACTCAAATGTTTATCTTGACTTCTACATATCATACGTGTAGATATTCCTTGATGAACTGGAGATGTTCATCTTTGTGTGCTTCTTGTTTTTTTTTGTAAAAGAGGAAAGTAGCGCTGTGGTTCAGGACAGCCTATATGTGTAGGTTTAGTTTGGCTTTTTTTTACCCGAACGGAGCACAGAAAATACAAGTAAAGATTTTCTTTAAAGTTAAGATTGTTATTGTGATAATGCACAAGTGCATTTGGTAGTGGCTCATTCTAACTACAAAGCCTAATCTCTTATAACTGAATACATAAACATTTCTTTTTTTTTTCTCAAGTTTACATACAATTTTGTATTTATTGTCAGATGCTGCATTAAGTCATCATGAAAAAAAGAACAACATGACAAAAATGTATATCTGGGGGGAAGCTTGTAATATTTAACCAGTGAAGGACAAAAAAATATGGTTGTAAATTGCCTCAGGATGTATGCTTGTGCTACCTCATTAATCGAATTCAACTGGGTGTTTTCATTATGTGTGCTCAAAGTCCATGAGTGCTGCCACTTTTTAAATCCACATTCCTAACTCTGTTTTTTCAGGTGTTAATGAGTAAAACCATCTCATGGAAAGAGGGTTTGGAATTTCTACAAGCGCTCAGACTCTCTCTATGCTTAGTGGATTAAAATCCTTTATAGGTTAAAATTAAATGTAGATTTTATCTTTCTGTTTTGAACCCTAAGTATCCGGCTAAATATGTTAACGCTGAGGATAATGATGTTTATATTCACCAAAAAAAAAACATAAATGAGTTCTTGCTTGATTTTTAGTTACTTAAACTGAACATTTCCCTCTCTCTCTGAATACGACACATAACATCCTCTTCGTTTTATAACTAACTCTCTGGTCAATGTACAATAGTACCAACATGATGCTGTTATGTCATTACTGCCTTTGCAGTGCTCACGTTCTTCCAACTAATTTCTTCAGCCCACGCCTTTTTCTCCAACAGCTGCAAACGACTTTATAGCCGATACGTTTATCAGGCAGGTAGTGATAGTGCTGATTGTCTCTTTCCAAAGAATAAGGAAATCATAGGTCAGTAATGGGACTTGTTTGTCAGATAGGACATTTTGTCATAAATGACATGATGATTATCAGCTCAACAGCTTTACTGAATGCATCTAATGCATAAGCAGACACATAAGTTTTGAATCACTCCAACATGAATTTGACTGCTCTGCTGTCTACAGCTGAACAAATTGCTAAACGTTTTAGTAAAGCCATAACAGAGTAGATCTTTCCCGCACAAGACAGATGGTAAATACGTTTTTAAGCAAAAGGTAAAATAGCAGCCTCTGTCTAAAATAGATGGTCCATGTTTTTGTTGTTCTTTTTCAAAATAAGGGTCTAGATAAACAGTAATAAGAATAGGCTGTCCCAGAGATCATAGTAAATCCTTACTGAAGCAGGAGTTTATCATTTTGAAATAGAAGTGCTACATATGCAGTATCTGAAATTTAAATATATATGGGCATATCAAAATTATTTTTAACCTAGAATCACATTACTTACACATTTTATGTTTTTTTTCTCTTTTTTTTTTGTAATGTAGTTCTAAAGGATATGATGAATAAATCACAAAGATCTGTCAAAAATACTGGTGGAATCTATTGCCTATTTATTTATATATTGAAAGTAAATGCAAAAGATGATCATTTCATATTTATCAAGCTGATTATTCTAAAGGGAGCAGATTGGACTTTACCAAAATGCAGGTTAAAAAAAAAGAAAAGTTCCTGTAGCCTTTTCTTTTGTTATAGTGCATTTCCAAGGCTTGTTCTACATTTTAAATATTATTATAACAAGGCTATAACCATAAGCAAGGGTGCCATTATATGCCATATGAAAGAAATTAGAAGAATAAGATAAAAATTATTGTTTTTTCAGGTATAGGTTTGTAACAACACACAGAAAATACAGAAGTGATTAAAAAAATTAAGAGGTTCTAGAATTTCAGAAAAAGAAATGCTAGAACCTATATTCCAAAGAGATATACCTAAAGTAAAAAAGTAAATTAATAATGGAAATTTTTACTGGCCTTATTTTAAAGTTTTGTTTAAATATTTTCATTTAAAGAAATGTTTAAAAATAGCCCTCAAAAAAGATAGGGTTGTTGTTTTGTTTATTTATGATTACAATTATATATATATATATATATATATATATATATATATATATATATATATATATATATATATATATATATATAAAATGTTAAGAGAATATTTGAATTTCTTTAAAAGCTAGACAGTCCAGTACACATATGGTACTTTAGTATGAAATAGCTGGTAGGAAAACACCTATGGATTGATATCCCTCAAAACAAAGTATCAGTTTATGACTGATATCTCCTTAACAGCAGATGTGCTGGAAGGTGCTCCTGCAGGACGTTCTCCTGTGATTTATTTCAAAACATGACACCCAACAGTTACTGCATACTTCCCCATCCTAACTACTAAAGTATGTGTAGAGTGAATCATGGTCTGCAGCTGACGACTAAAACAGCAGACACCATGTCCTGGCAGTTTCTGTGACATGTTGATGCTATCATAATTCTGCATTACTCCGGCCACTAGATGGCAACGCATGCTTCAGTATGATCAGAGTATACATTGATGTACATGTTCAACCTTAGTTTGGTGATTTAAGAAATCACTACAAACTTATTAAGTATATATCCTTATGTTTACATTTTCAACCATTTCAAGGATTTTTCTACATATAACTAAAGATAAAACTACAATAACAATGAAAAATCATATTAACTGGCCTTACTACTGTACATCCAAAATGGATGTCAAAACATATCTAGCACTGATATTAAATCAAATTGGTAAGATTTCATAGATAGATAGATAGATAGATAGATAGATAGATAGATAGATAGATAGATAGATAGATAGATAGATAGATAGATAGATAGATAGATAGATAGATAGATAGATAGATAGATAGATAGATAGATAGATCCATGTGGAGGAATATAATATTTTCAGCTGTCATCAAGCAAGAGGAGAGGTGAGGAGAGGAGAGGTACTGTAGAGGTTGCATTTGCTGGCAGCGTTGGATTTAAAACAAATACTTTAGTGTCAGGAAATATTTAGAAGAAAATGCTTTTAATAAACATGAATATGAAAATGTGAGACTTTTATTATGTGACAGACAAATGCAGTATTTTAACTCTAACATTCTGGGGTTTATTTAAGTGTGTCTCAGATATTTTTATGTTAACAGTAAGGGGTAATATGCTTTAAGACAGAGAAATAGAAGCTTCCTGTAATCAATTGCTGGTTCATTCATCAACTGTAATTCATTATGTTCAGCAGATTAGCTGATTTTAATCAATAATTTAGTCTAATGTTTTAATCTTGATTTAAAAATTAAGGTGTTTGATTTGTATCAACCATACATTCAATGTAGGTGAAACTGACTGGATCTGAGCAACATATGCTTGAAATGGTTCATAAACTTTACTTACTCAACACACAATCTTTGTTTTATATATGGTCAAAAATGTACAACCAAAAATGTTTAGATCTAAATACATCACACAATAATGTCTTGTCAAACCCCTATCCTCCAGTAAACATGTACTGCAGGGGGAAGTGTTATGAATAGGCCTAAACAGATGGGAAACATAGGAAGACAGACTGGTTCTTCAGGACTTAATATGACAAAGTGATAAAGTTGATAAAAACAGTGACCAAAAAAACTGTGCAACTGGATGAGAACGCTTCGAAGCTGTAGGTGAGTTTGAATATAAAAATCCTTGTTTTATTTACATTTTTGATTAACTATAACTATGATGACTGGAAGCTAAAAAAACTTAAGTTTTACCAAATTGCCAATTGCTAAAGTTGGAACTTTTTGATCCAACGATCAGCTGTTGGTCACTGTTCCTTTTGCCCGCACAGAACTAGGGAAGAAAGCCTTTAGCAGCTCCTTGTGCGTGGAATTTTTTAACAAAGAAACTGGAAGTTGACTGAGTTTTTATCTTTAAATGCTTTTAAGTTAAAAGTGAAAAAATTTGAAGCAGCCTCAATGATCTGTAATTGTTTTACTTGATATGTTCTTTTTTTTTATGTGCCTGTCATTTATTTTTGATGTATCTATGCTTAATATCTTATGTACTGTAACTTTGCTGCCTCTTGGCCAGGACTCTCTTGAAAAAGAGGTTTTTAATCTCAATGGGATTTTTTTCCTGGTTAAATAAAGGTTAAATAAAAAAATAATAATAAGATATCACCTGAAATAACTCATAAAGTGATCACTACAAGATCTAAAACCTTGTTTAAAATTAACAGTTTGGTATTTAAATACTCACAGTGCTGTGACCTGTGACAGTTAATACATGTTGCTTTAACAAGGGATCCCAATTTTAGTTAAGTTTAACTAAATTCCTTGCCAAACTTTGTAATCAAAGTAAACTACATTTTTAAGATCCTAAACAGTAAAGTTGGTTTTAAAAAGCTATATGATGAAATACGCTGTTTTCATGAAAGTTTTTGCATTATAATAGTAGGAAGGAGCTTTTTTGTGCCTGCTTTTCATTGTCAAGGTTTATTCAAAAGTACCAAATGCATATCTTATGAGTGTATCAATTCATTACACATATTTCTTCAAAAGCAGCACCCATAAATATTTTAGGAAACAGGTGATCATCACTGTTTGTTAGGTTACCAGCAAACGGCAAAATAATATCCTACACTCATATTTTGGCAAACTATATACAGTATAGGAAAGGAAAATAAGTAAATCTTTAGAGCAGAAGTAAAGTAGGACGTAAACTACATTCGTGAGAAAAGCATCAAGGTAGTTTGAAATAAAATTGAGAATACAGACTAAAGAAAAGCAGCCAAGTGTTTCACACAAAGAACCTGTTTAACCTGATCTTCAAAACTGAACACAACCAGGAAACAGCAAAATACGAATAAAGGTTTTTAAGTTTTCCTAAACAAAGACAATCTTACATTTACTAAACTAAACTCTAAGTTTAGTACATGTTTCCCTAATTTGAGATAAACCAATGGACTGTTGAATGTAACTGGAATTTGCATTCAGCCTTTAAAATACAAGGACTTTTAGTCAAGATATTCACATTTAATAATTTAATAGTACACTGGCTGGATGAAACTACAATGAAAACTTTAACAAAAGTTGTAAATGGCTGTGTTTTTTACTTGCTTTATATCATGGCTTCTGGCATACCACAGTAAACATATGTTAGCATATTCGTTCCATTTATCTAGCCATCCTTCTGTCCGTCCGTCCGTCCGTCCGTCCGTCCATCCATCCATCTATCCATCCATCCATCCATCCATCCATCCTAATGGTGGTTAAACTGATGTGTTCCTTTCTCTATAAAATCTGAATAATTTAAAGAACTAAGCTACTGCAGAACTCTAAAACTCTAAACACTGTCTATCTTTTCAAGTTGTTAGTGACATTATGCAATGGGTGTTTAGTTGTTCAATGTTGCGTGTTTTTTCATATGCTTTGATCTGAGGATTATGTTCTGTTGGTGTTAAACCTTCTTGAGCTGACACAAAATATAACAAAATCCTTATTATGCAACATCCCTGCATGTTTGGATCTATGGGAAGGGCTACAATGCAGATTTGAGGTTTTGGAGAAATGTAGCAGTTTTAGAGTTTAAGAAAGATAGATTTACACAAATAATAGCCTGTTGTACTGCCTGTGATGGAGATGTTGGTTCTGCTTTCCCCCAAAATCTAAATCTATACAAACCACATTTATAAGTGAACTCATGCTTTACCCATCTCAGCTTTACAAGACCCCTGTGTTCCTGCTGGTGGTGCTTTGCCATATGTCTGCATATAAAGTATGATTCATTGCTTTTGGTTTCTTTTTGCATCTGAGAAAGGGCTAGTGTGTGTGTATATGCATTGGTGTGTTTAGATGGGGGTGGGGAGTACCATCCTGATTGGCTGAAGTATTTTCTCTGGCAACGAGCAAACGTGATCCCGCCTGCAGAGGCACTGCAGAGAGTGCTGCAGTGAGAGAAAGAGAGAGGCAGGGAGGAGGGGAGCAGGCAGGCAGAATAAGCTACATGAATAAGGACTGAACCAGAAGCCCACAGGAGACAGAGCACTTTGTGAGTGTGTGTACATGTTTGAATGCGTGAAAACACTGCGCATGTGTGACTGAACGGACGGTGGAGGAGAAAGAGCAGTAATGAATGCCAGCTGAGGGATGACAGCACAGGAGAGAGAGAAAGAGAAGACAGAGGCTCACCTTGAGACAACAAGAAGGAAGTAAGAAAGAAAGGAAGACATAATAGGTGGATCTATGACAGACATTAGCAGCTTGGGTCTCTGCACAGAATAAGATGAATAATGTTTGAATAGTAGCTGTAACACCTGGGATGAACAATAGGACACAGGAAGAGAGATGAACATCTACAACTCAAAGGATAAAGACTGGAAGAGCAAAGTAGAATGATATCGGAAAACCAATGATACTGAGGTTGACGAAAGCAGACTGATGTTTCCACCTTGCAACAGCTTCCTCCATCTTAACATCTCCTCCATGTTGTTGGTGCTCCAGGAATAGAGACGGATAGAAGAGAGACGGAAAGCATCCTTACCTCGGTGACAAAAAAGACAAAGCAGATTATCATCAGATGCGATTTACTTGATGAAGAAGATAAAACATTGAAGGTAACAACCATCTAAAGCAGACAGGTGAGAATGAGGAAAAGCTTTACATCTCTTTCTTGTTGAAGATCCATCTCATCCAAACTGCTTTCACACCGTTACCTTTTTTTGTACTGGCATAGCAAAAAAAAAGCGATGGTTTGTCTTTTGTTTGTTTTTTTGGTCATAGCCATGTTTTGCACAGATGTTGCATCATGCTGATCTTTGTTGAAGGAATGGATTCAGACACTGATGTTTATGAGTAGACAAACCATTACAGCATCTTGTCAGCAAATCTCTAACATCCTATCAGGTATAAAACATGACTTAAGGAGGCTTGTGTCTGGTTTTGGGTATAGATATTGTCTGAAAGGCTTAGTGTGAGCTTCAATGACATTTACCAGATCTCCACACAGGCAAAAAGCAGGGTTGGGTGAGCAATGATCCGTTCTGTAGCTGTCAGCAGTCACAGATGCATCTCCATAATGGCAATGCATTGGCGCTGCAGTGAGAGCACCCTGTGCACTACACTGGGATTGCATAACTGCTGCTTCATCCAAACTGCACCCCTCCTCAAAGCCGTGTGCGGCTGCAGCTGCTTCATCCCATAAAGACCAAAGCAGTTTGCTTCTCTTAAGTGATGTTCACCTTGTAACTTCACTGAGACATCTTTAATAATTTGCCATCATTGATCAAGTCAGTGTTGTTATTGAGGAGCTCGGACACTGTCCCTCATATATCTCTAATGAGGTCTTTGTTAGGCAGAGGGATGCATTCATGCTTTTATTTTTATCAACAGGATCTGCCATGTTGGCGTGGGAGCTACACAGGCGAGAACAAAGAGCAATTGGCTGTGATGAATTGTGAGCCAAAATGGCCGATGTCTGTTGTCATAAATGATAGTAGACTGTATTATTTAAATCAAAACTTTTTTTTAAGATAAAAGCACAAACACTAGTTGGTGTTTTACACTGGAAATGTGAAAAGAGGATTGGGGAAATAAAGGACTGCAAGCTGCAAAAGACGATATCTCTTTAGTAATAAGTAAATCCCATTCATCATTAGAATTTAGTGATATAATGAGGATACGTTTAGTAGAGTTGGGGATTTGTCCTTCCAAGGTTTTAACATGTTACATAATCACAATATGCAGCATTATATCCCACATACACCAATAGAGATGTGCTGCATTTTTTTTTATCAGGAAAGTATCAAATCTTTAAGGAGCTAACATACTTGACATACTGCTGGCAGGTGCAAAAATACCCGCAGTCAGCTCCATCGAGGAGGAAGCTGTGATAAACACAGATTTTTGTAGATGGCAGAGTGACAGGGAGACATTCTTATGAGCAAAATTATCGATGACTCATTCAGAACATGGTGCCTTATCCAGGCTCCCATCCCCACAGGTGGAGGGACTCATTCGTGTATGATGGTGTTGACGGGGGAGTAGCTGTGAATGTGAATGAATGTGTGCTCAAGACTCAGGCAGCACGTGAGGTTTGTTTTATCAAAGAAATGCAGCTGTTTGTTTTTGTCTCTTTTCTTGATTCTTTTTTTTCTCTTCCATCAGTTACTGGATGCATTTATAGATAATCATTTTTTATTGTCTCCCATCTGCCTGCTATCTGTGTGTTTGTCTCTGGAGGAATGTAAAAGGGTGGTGCTCTGTATGTACATGACGAAATGGTCTGAGGGGAAGAATGTTCTCAGATAGATGTGTGTGTGAATGCAGCTCTGTGTGTTTCAATTGAACGAGGAATCTGCAGCTGAGAGTGACTCCTCTGACATCTCCGTGGTCATTTTCTCCTTCGTCTTAAAGTCCAATGCCCAAAATAATTTCATTGGTAAAAATTCCCCTGCTAGAAAATGACCCATGATGAAATGGAAACAGAAAAACATTGGAAAGCTTCAGCATTTTATCCTGTTCTAAGAGGATGGGTAGATGGAGATGAGCTCTTTACATAATCTGAGCGGTGGCCGTCGATTAGGAGGAGGCTGCTCCAAAGTTGGCCCACTATTATGTTGCTTCCATTTGTTATTTCTATATCATTGACACCAATTGAGAAATGTTACCTGCTTTGTCTCCATCAGACTCCCCTTAAACTTTCTATTAGCTTGATTGACTTGGCCTTTGGCATGGTTTATCTTTTCAAATTGTGTTTTTTTATGCACTTAAAATATCTAGACTTAGACAGTCCTATTTTCTATTCCATCAAAATGCTGGTAACTAATTGGAAATAAAGATTTGTTCATAAATAAACTGGTAGCCGGACTTTGAGTTTAACCCTAATCAGTGAAACTTGATTGACAAACTTGAACATGAGTGGCAAGTCTGAGCATATGTTTTCTTATACATATTTACCCCTTGTTTAAGCCACAGTCTAGTTTTTGTGCAGATTTTATTAAAGTCTTATGGAACAACCTGGAACAAAACATAACCACACTCTATGTATGAGGCCATATAAATCAATCATTAGTTTAAATCTAAATCTAACTTTAAAAGGCTGCTTTCCGGTCTTCAATTTCAAAATGGTGTAACTTGTAACTGTTAATCACAGTCAAATATTTTCTGTACATGATGCACAATTTGGCCAGCTTTACCTTGATCGACTCCGATTTTGTCCCACCTTTTTAAATTCACCACAACTAAACACGAAGACTTGCTCTGTTGTGTATGTATAAAGCTCTGAAAAATTAGATAAAAGTTAGAACATATACTCTGGATCTCAAGTGACAACCATCTCATCTTTAGCTGTATTGCTCATCATGGTGACCTTAGCACATGGTTAACTTTTATGGTCAGTTTTCATTATATTTACTAATTAAAATTAAACTAAAAGTTGCCCGGCAACAGACTGGCAACCTGTCCAGGGTGTAACCAGCCTCTCCCATAGACTGCAGAAGATAGGCACTGGTCCCACCACAACCCTAAAAAGGACTAAGCAGGAGAAAATGGATGGATGGATGGATGGATGGATGGATGGATGGATGGATGGATGGATGGATGGATGGATGGATGGATGGATGGATGGATGGATGGATGGATGGATGGATGGATGGATGGATGGATGGATGGATGGATGGAATTAAACTAAGTTTCCACAAATGGGTTGGTTCACAATATTCATGTGGTAAAATGTATCCAAACTGAAACTGTGATGAGCTCTGACCAATTATCAGACTATCAATGCATCTTTGGTATTAAACTTGACATGGGTATTTTAAATTCAACATCAGGAAAAAGTAAAATTCAAAAAGTAACTGCAAATAAGACTTTTCTTCATACTATTCACAGAAGACCCTCAGAAAAGTCATGTTACATGCTTATTTATTCCACCCAAGCTCATGAAATGTGTATGAAAGCTTGCTCTGTTTCCCCTGCACACAGTGTGTCAGAGGATGAGAGAGAAACAGGCTATTTTTGGGGAAGCATTGCAGCACTGCATTGCTGCCTGGACACCTTTATTCAGATGGAGTGTCAATGGTAAAATTCTAAGTTGAGCTTTCTAACAGTGTTGTGTGCCATAGTGAGTAAGTAACAAGTATGTCAACATATTAATGGGGAAGGGAAACAAAAATGAAGAAACTGCCTAATAGGGCTTACTTCATCACAAAGCTACATGGTCTGTTGAGAAAGAGAGCATCTTTATCACTCGGTGTGACATTTTAGCAGAGGTTGGGGGCAGGAAACCGCAGAAAAGTGTACAGCTAAACAGACCATAAATAGAAGCCAGAACCATTGCTGTTTTTCATCTCTTCTGTCTTTTTTTTCTTCATGTCTCTCTTCGTCACTATGTAGGTTACCTCCTCTGCTCAGTGTGTTCCTTTTTTTCTATAATGAATCATCACTGTCGACAATCGAGCGCAGAATGAGAACCATGTCATCCTCCCTCTTTTGCTTTCCAGCAGCTATTGTTTTGGTCAAGTTAAAAACGTTCATCCGAACGTTTGTTCCTTTTTCACTTGCCCACTCACAGAATGACACAAACCCTCCGCACAGATTGTGACCTCTTCCCACGCATGTCAGAAGAAAAACCAACGTAGTTTGCATGAGATGGCTGGGTGTTGACAAGAAAGATATGCAAGTGCTGAACCACAACTGTGTCACAATCACCTGCTCTTTCAACACAGTGTGGAAATTCACATGAACAACTTTAGATTTTTATAAACCTTCACAAACTTTACCACTTAGAATAACAAATACAAGTCTTTGTATTAATAGGTTTTTGAAATTGGACCTTTCTTACATAAAAAAAAATGCAAGACCAATACATTAAGTAAATAATAAATTCATAAAGCATGCTGTTTTTCCTTCTGTGGTCAAAAGCAGGCAAGCTTTTAAATAATAATAAAAAAAAAACATCATATCACCGTGTTCAGAAAGCTGACCAGTGCATAAGCCAGAGCCCTGCATTTTGCAACTTTCAACAAATTTTGTTATACATTAATTATTATGAGTCAGGAGTTAAACAGTGTCTTCTTTTTTCTTTTATTTGCCAGTTAGAAGAAGAGATAAATAAATGATTTACCCTTTAAAATTGCTCTGGAGGAACCCTGGCCAGACTCTGATTATAATCTACAGACTTGGCAGCAAATTAATGTTATGTACTTTGTCAATAGAAAGGCATGTTCAATGCGACGTGCCTCACATCGAGCTGCATGGTTATCATCTTTCATATTTAAAAAGACAAAGCTTAGCAGAAGCCATGATGCAACATGAAATGGATCAAAAGCTTTCCCCCCAAAATTACTTCTGCTGATAACCTTTATGATCACTTAAGACAAGGATATTAAGTAAAAAATATATATATATTTTCACATTTCCTGAGTCACAACTACAAATCTCCATATTTTTAGAGGGGAAATATATGCTATATCGGTAGGAAGTTGCCCATAATTACCAAGAGCAAGGAATGTAATAGAAATAATAGAAAAATAATCTGCTGTTAAAAAAACACTTAGGCTTAGTCAGAGGAAAAGCATTTGTAAATAATTATTTTAAATCTGTCCACAAAATTGGATTGAGGTCTGGGCTTTGATTGGACCCTGAACCGCATCAAGGTGAAGATCAGCATCCCCTCAGCATTATACTGCCATCATTGACGTTTCTGAAATGCAGATAAAAACTTTATTGTCTAAAGAGCTGTTTTATTGAATACTTTTTGAAATACATTATTTAATCATTCTTGTATTAAAAAATATTTGTTTTGTTGGTTTTCTGTACTGTGCTTTGTTCTTTTTGTGAAAGGTGCTTAATTTGTACACTTGACTTACTTACTTGCTATGTCATTTGACTACCACACAGAGGCATAATTCTTCTGAACTTCTTACTGCAGAACTTGCTCTAACTACCTCTCTAGATCACTGCTTTTGTGGCTTCTAGACTAGTCTAGATATATTTTCTTTCAAACAAAAAAATTTTCAATGCTTTCTAGGCCGCAATAAAGTATCTTCAACTTAACGTAGGGTTATGTAAATAAAGTGTTGATCTTAAGATCCTTTAATATGTTTGACAAAATAATAGTGTTTTTGGTGCTTATTGTCGTTTTACTCCAAGTGCAGTTTTTGAAGAATGGGGGCAGTTTAATCAATTTCCTTCTGTACTTTAATGATCCTATGCAGATTCATCTAGCAAGTCACAAATTAAGATACTGTTTAGTGTTGAAATCAAAATTTGGTTGGTAAAACATAGTTAAACCATATCCAATAAATGAAATGATTTGAAAACAAAAACTTTTGAGAATTATTACCATAGTTCAAGCAAAACCAAAATAAATTAGAAAAGAGAAAAAGTCCTAAAAATCACAATTGTTAATGTTAACCTTTTATATACTTTTGTAAAGAGATATTTTAAATAATAAAAGCAAATCTATACTTTTCAAGACAGCAAGGAACCTTGCATGTGAGAGGGGGTCCTTCTTCCACTACTTTGATGTCCCAAACACATGTCCTTCTCTCAACAAAGGCTGTCGTCTTCCCTGTTCTGCATAAATGTCAAATTTGCAGAAGTTACAGCCACTGGCTGTCCTGTCATTTTAGCTTCTTCTCTGATTAGCGCTCCTTGTCAATTTAGTTTCGACTATGTTCTCAGTTGTACCTAAGTTATTTAGTTTTCAAATGATGGACTGAGTAGTGTTGTAAGGAAAAAAAAATGGAAATTGTTAAGTTGATTCCTGAAAGTCCTTGGTTATATAAAATTTATATAGCAAAGTTTTTGGAAATATACTTTTTATATATGATAAATTGATCCATAATTCTTTAAAATCCATTTATCAACTTCTTCTTTCCAGTTATGAACTGGTTATTTGTTTTGGTGAACATATGGTGTTTTGGAGTACATATTGTGATTCAGTAGGCTATCTTGTTAAAAAGCTCAAGACAAGTTCTATGCTTTTGAATTAGAAACATCTAAAATTTTCTTTTTTCCCCTTCTTACAGGTAAATGGACAGAAGGAACTGGATTTACTTTAAAAGGAGACATCTGACTCAAAGACATCTGTAAAACTTTTCTTCCGCCCAGCACAGTTATGATGACTGTTTAAGGCTTAACTTGAAAAGAAGCTCTCACTCCTACTTCTAAGGAATTCAAGGAGCCATTCCAACAGCTCCCTTGGGTATCAAAAAACACCCCACAAGAAAGACCTCCGCCCTTCAACTTATCAAGATACCAAGGAAAGGAGTCAAAAAGGGTGTTCTGAAAAAACTGGATCGACAGCAGAGACTGGCAGAGAAGCATTCTTTATTTCCCATACACTCAAGTCAATATCTAACACAAACACAGCCAACAACAAGAAGTTTAGTAGTTGTTTAAGTGAGACATTTTTATTTTCCTATAGAAAGTCAGAGGAGCAAATGTAGGAATTTCTTTCCTGGTCTAACTGAACTGCCCACAATCAAACCCAGGATACTGTGTGAATTGTATTGATTTTATATTGACCAGACTGGTGTAGTGAATGAAAATATCTTAGTGCTAAACCATTAAAAATTCCTGTGCAATTTGTAGATATCTAAAAGAGAGCACCAACATATGTAATTTTGTGCAAAAAAAATGACTGTGCATAGTGTACCTTGATCAGGTTCTGTGAACTAGACTGTTAGAATTTTTAGAAGTTTTAAGTTTATATGCATATATATAACACATACCACTTTGGTGCAACAGAGTTTGGAGTAAACATTACACTTGCTGAGCCTTTCCATTTATTGAGGCTTGAGCTGACAGAAGCAGCCAGCTGGGGAGATCTCTGAAGGAAAAATGGAGGCACCCATCCGTCCCCATGTTCCCTCTAATGGCTAATTTTAAAGAAGGAAATTAATCCACTTCCCCTTGTGCAAAACAAAGCCAGGGTGTCCACTGCTAATCAGAGCTATAGCCAGTCTATCTCAGAACTCAATACCTTATGTCCTGCCTCAGGCGTCAGCAGCTGGCTATCCCCATGGACACAGTGAAGATCATCCAGTCCGAGAAGTTTCCCAGAGAATGTCCTGTCCCGGTCACCCAACCCCGCTATGCTCCAGCCCCAAGAGTGGCATGGGATGGTGGCGGTGAGGGCGAAATCATTGTCAACCAGGCCTGCAGTGATCTGACATTGGACATTACACCTTCTCCCAGGCCAATGGTGTCCCCTCCATCCCCAATGATGCGCAGGGAACACAGCTTCCTGGCGCAGCGCAAAATGAGTGCCAATGAAATCTGCTATCACCAGTTCCACTACAAGATGGAAGACGTCATTGTCAACCAGTACGTGCTTCGCTCCTCCTCCACCTCCTCCTCCACTTCCTCTTCCTCCTCTTCGGGCCCTGTTATGCCATGCGAGCCTCTAGAATGCCCCACCTGTGGACACACATACAACTTTGCCGGGAAGCGTCCACGGATCCTCTCTTGCCTGCATTCGGTGTGTGAAGAGTGCCTGCAAATCCTCTATGAATCATGTCCCAAGTACAAATTCATCTCCTGCCCCACCTGCAGACGCGAGACGGTGCTGTTCACTGACTATGGCCTCGCTGCTCTGGCCATCAACACCAGCATTCTGAGCCGTTTGCCCTCCGACCCTAATGGGCCAGTGCAATGGGGCGGGGAAGCTGACCGCAGCTGCTACCAGACTGTGCGTCAATACTGCCAGTCAGCATGCACCTGCCAGATTGCCAACCCATTGTCCTCCTGCGGCATCATGTAGAGAGGAAGGAGGTGAGGACACTGCAAATAAGACTTACCGCTGCTCCCCACCAACACCATTCTTCTCATCCATAAGCTAAACCCTTTCTGCCAAGCCCCCCTTCCCTCTCACATGTACAGCAAATAAATCCCTTCATAGATGTTATCTCTATATATTTAATAGCACAGATGGATACTGTGTGGGAAATATGGATGCTGGTGATCCAGAATGAAGCGAATAAATGTATTTTATGTACGGACTGAAAAACTATTTATTTTGGATGTGTTTGTCATGACATCTCTTTAAATGGGAATGCCAGGGGAGGTATGTCCCCCAACCTAGGAGAATAAAGATTAAATGAAGCAAGTACCTCTGAGTGTCCTGTGTTAGTAGTTCATGTGATTTTAGCTATAAATGAATGTAATGTGAAACTTTAAATCCAAAGAAAGAAAACTCTTACATCCTGATTCACTAGCAGTGTCTTCTAGTTCATTAGGAATACCAATGTGTTAAAATGCCTATAGAGTAATACAGTCTCCAAAGAGAATTCTGGGTTTTCCTAGGGGTTTGTATGGAATCAGGCATGCCTAGAAGGAGGCACTTCAGAGGCTTCCTTATCGGATAACTGAACTATTGCAGCTAACGCTAACGCTAGGAACAGCATTACATAGCTGAAGTGCTTGCCTATATTTTCAAAATTATTATTCAAAAGAGGTCAATTGTGACGTATCACTTATTTGGTAAAAGATTTTGGTAAATTTCGTCAAACCGGCTTGCCACAGAATGCATTAATTTGTCTCGACCATCTCAGCATTTTGGTAGAAGAAGATGTCATTTATCCATTCCCCATTCTTGCCTATCCTTGCAAGTAAACCTTAGTGAAAGGTTGTGTACAATCTTGAAAAGTTGGCAGCTGCTCATAGGGCACCAGAGCACACAGGTAAAATAACCTAACATTCAGACTTTTTTTTTAAGTTATTGCGGCACTAATGGCTCATTATTGTACAATAGTCTCACAGAAAAGTCGGTACAAGAGAGAGGGAGAGACATAGGGCAAAGGACCATAGACGGGATTTCAATCCGGGTCGGCCACGTTGAGGCCTAAGGCCTCCATACATGGGGTCATGCGCATTAACCATTATGGCACTGATGCACACCCAGTTTGTATGTTGTTTTTATGTCATGTTACGAGATAACATATTCACATCAAATCTTAGGGAAAAAATATCACCCATTTCTAAAAGGTAAGGAATACAAACTAAGATGTTAAGCTAAGATATGCGTAAGAAGTGGTTAACTGACCTGCAGCTTTTATACACTGCTTAAAAAATAAAGGGAACAAATAAATAACACATTATAATTCTGAAAGAATGAAGTACTCTTTTCTCATTGATCACTTAGTTCTGTAAAAATTTGAATGTGCTGACAACAAAATCACAAATATATCATCAATGGAGATCAAATGTATTAACTAATTGAGGCCTGGATTTGGAGTCACACACAAAATGAAAGTGGAAAAATACACAACAGGCTGATCCAACTTTAATGCAATGTCCTTAAAACAGGTCAAAATAAGGCTCAACATTGTGTGTGGCCTCCACTTGCCTGTTTGACATGCCTACAACAGCTGGGCATACTCCTGATGGGGAGGCGGATGGTCTCATGAGGGATCTCCTCCCAGAACTGGACTAAAACATTGGGCAACTCCTGGACAGTCTGTGGTGCAACATGACGTTGGTGGATGGATCGAGATCTGAAGTCCCAGATAAGCTCAATCAGATTCAGGTCTGGGGAATGGGTGGCCAGTCCCTAGCTTAAATGCCTTCATCTTGCAGATACTGCTGACACACTCCAGCCACATGAGGTCTAGCATTGTTCTGCATTAGGAGGAACATATGGCCAACTACACCAGCATATGGTCTTACAAGGGGTCAGAGGATCTGATCTCGGTACCTAATGGCTGTCATGCTACATCTGGCAAGCACATAGAAGGTTGTGTGGTCTTCCAAAGAAATGCCACACCACACCATCTCTGACCAACTGCCAAACTGATCACGTAAACAATGTTGCAGGCAGCAGATCACTATCTACATTGTCTCCCATCTTTGTCAAGTCTGTCACATGTGCACAGTGCAAACCTGCTGTCATCTGTGAAAAGCACAGTGCATCAAGGGGAAATTTGCCAATAATGGTGTTCTCTAGCAAATGCCAAGCATTCTCGAGTGTGCTCTGTGAGCACAACCCCCATCTGTGACTTTGTGTCCTCATACCATACTCATGTATTTGATTTCTAAGCGTTTGTACAAACACGTGAATATTTGTGTCCTACTGGTGGTCACTTTGCAGGGCTCTGGCAGTGCTGCCCCTGTTCCTAATTGTATAAAGGGTTCTGGGGTCCTGCTGCCTGGTTGTTGCCGTGTTACGGCCTTCTCCATGTCTTGTGGTGTGCTGGCCTGTCTCCTGGTAGGGTATCCAGCCTCTGGACACAACACTGACAGACACAGCAAACCTTCTTGCCACAGCTTGCACTGATGTGCCATCCTGGATGAGTTGCACGACCTGAGCCACTTGTGTGGGTTGCAGAGTCTGTCTCATGCTAATATGAGTGGGAAAGCACCATGAACATTCCAAAGTGACCAAAACATCAGCCAGAGAGAAGAGGTACTGAGAAGTGGTCTGTGGTCCCCACCTGCAGAACCACTTGCTAATTGTCTTGCCAATAATTTCCACCTGTTGTCTATTCCATTTGCACAACATGTGAAATTGATTGTCAATTGGTATTTCTTGCTATGTGCATAGTTTGATTTCACAGAAGTTTGATTTGATTGAACTTATATTGTGTTGTTCACCTTTTACCTTTATTTTTTTAGCAGTATTTACATAAGGTGGGCTGAAGTTACAAAAATGTAAAAAAAAAAGCTATCTCAATATGAGAGGAGGGTTTTTTTTTTGGACTATATTACTAGCTTAAAATTATGCAATGAATGTCGATGTATTTCAAAATGCTGATTAATTTGACAAATTAAAGAAAGAACATGTCCATACATTTATTACCAACGGTCATTCTGAAACACTATCACAACTACCTCTTGAATTTAAACATTTCATCATTTATTTACAAAGCAAAAGAGGCATAGTGTTTGAATTTCTTTACATATTCCACATCTTCCTCTGGTCAATACTGAATAACATGTGGTTAAGCAGTTTTAAGACTTTGGTAAAGAGTCTTTAATTCCTGCAGCTTTAAGTGTAAGAGAAGCTGTATAATAAAATACTTTTTTAATGCTTTGAACTAGACAGAAAAAAGGGTAACATATTCTAGTCAATCAATTTGTTGCGTCTTATAAACAAAGATATTTGTCAATAGGGATGAACGGCTGAATCGTGCCGAAACATTTTCAAATCAGCATCAATGCTAACACACTATTTGATCTAAAACTCCTGAGATGTCAGCTTATGGAAACAGCGATTGTAGTCCATTTAATTTGGTGACACTTTCTTTGACCTCCTGAACAGCTGGCTGAACCGTCGCCGGGTAGAGAGTTTCTCTGATGACTGCATCTGTTGGCTACACAGATAAAATATTCATGAGGCTGCAAGCATGCACAGGAAAAATTGAGGCAGTATGTGTGTAAACATTGCTTTAAAAAAGAAAAAAAAGAAATAAAAAAGAAACTATAATTTAAGCATCAGCAGCACCTCTACTGTGCAGTAAATGTAATGTGGCTACATCATCTCAATCTCAATATTTCCCCTAAAAAGTTTTCTGTGATATATTGTCTTACCTCCTTATGTCTGATGCAGCAGACTCCGCCCTTCTCAAAGACCCAATTTTTAACCTCTGGATCAAACTTCTTCTGTTTGATTCTTCCTTTTTGGAATCCTAAAAATAATCCAAAAGTTGAGTTACAAAACAGAAAAAAGTGAACTTCCTATTGAAGATAATCTAACTACACTGTCTTCAGTAGATGTTTATGCATATATCTCACCATCTGTGTCGTGTCTTCCTCCTCAATTTCCCGTAGATTATTCGTACTTAGTTGCTGCCCTCTGGAGTTTCTGTTTAATTTTTCTGCAACAAATGCAAACTGTGAGTTAACTAGCGGTTCATTTTCCAAGAACAAAGAAAAAAAAAAATCCTGAAGTGAAAGATGCCTTACTTAAGTGCAGTTTTGAAAATGTTGTGTCTGAGGCTGATCTCTGTCTGAAATGGCGAGATTTTTGTTGCGGGGGTTCACTGGGAACTTGCTTTGCATTTTCAAGTGAGGGTTGGTCCTCCTGGGAATCTGCTGAGTTATTCTGACAAATATGAGGAGGAATTAAGAGAACAAACTTTAGTATATTGATCATATGGTAGGAGCTGCACAGATTTCAGGCTGTCATATTGTAATCTCATGGATCACTCACCTTTTGTTCTTCATTTTCCTGGAGTGCAACTGTCTCTGTCTGCAACTCCTGGTTTTGCATCTTCTGTTTGGCATACAGCTCCATCTTTTGGCAGACCCACTCCAAGTAGCAGAGACCGGGACTGAGTTCCTTTCCCTCAAACATACCAGAACCCTGTACACACAAATAATCTCTTTTAGTGAAATTATTGAGATCAACAAAAAGCATGTTGTTAAAGGTGGTGAACCTATTTCAATTTTTGAAATCCCTGAAGGAAGAGTAAAGAACCAAAATAGCACAGGAAAAAGAATTTAAATTGCATGCACCTTCAGAAGCACTACATAAAAACTGTTTACCAATGACACTTAACAATACCCTCAATGCTTTCAGATTAATATAAAATAAAATAAAATCTGAAGAATAATGCAGAACTGTTGCAGCTGCTCTTCTTCCATAGAGGATACACATAGTGTGGTTATATTGATCCTTTTTTACTCTATGCTTTTGTTATTCTTTCCTGTTGAGTCTATTACTGATTTAGTGCCTTGAAGTTACTTCTGCATTTTCTCCCAGGCTAGATGGAACAATTGGTAGTATGGCAATATCAAAATTATCTGGGGCTAAATCGCTTTATATAGACCAAAAAAAGCTGTGTATGAAGCCACATCTCTATTTCTACACTGGCTGCTGCCTTACACCAATTTTACCTGTCTGCTCGAATGCACATATCTGCAAAGGAAAAAGTACACAGCAGAACAACTTCGCCTTACAGAGGAACGTGTCTAGTTAGGAAGTACTGTAAGTAACTTCTAACTTTATAATGCTGTATGCAAGAGAACAATTTGATCCACTGGACTAGCTCTCCGCCATTTTGTGCCGGGCGATGGCTTTTTATGGGCAGCCCTAAAGTCCTTTATCACAGTTGTTACATGCAGGTGTGTGTGCCTGCACAACCGGCACAGCTTTGTAAACAAGAGAATGGAGAACTACACAGAGATTATGTTTTACGTTAAACATAATCCATCTAAAAATCTACCTTCAGTTCAGTTCGATTTTTAAAAATCTTTCTATTTAAAAAAATGACTTACCCTTGTTTTTCTGTTAAGTATGCAAACTTTTTCTACCCATTTCATATAGATTATTACAAGCCAAGGATTCTGTTTGTTGCTTTTTTTGTGTTTGTTTATTGTTCTTAAAGCCTGCATCCAGTCAAACATTTAAGGTAAAAGATAGATAAAAGCTAAAATGATTTTTCAAGTAGTCAACTTGTTATTCTTCACTGTTGGCAATGGTAAAGGTTAACTTTCTAACCAGGTAATCCATTAAGCTGTTAGCTAAATGTAAATTGTTATAATAACGCTTGAGGTAATCTAAACAGGTGTGCTTATAGAGGTATTTGTGATATTGCACCATCAACTAATCTTCATTTTCCACTGAATAGCATTCAGCAAGCTTCCAGGATTGTTGTCAATTCCCATCATCATTGAAGCTTAATAGAAGACTAATGGAAATATCTACCTGTTTGATCATAATAAAAAGATTACCTTAATCATCTAAAGAGTTATATAAATGGCTGATTTGCACTTTTTAGTGTTGCATTCTCAACAATTATTTATCCTTAAACTACTAAAATACATGGTAAACCACTGCAAACACACACCCAATGACTGAAATATTACCAGATCGACAATAAAGCCACTTAATCTTACAGTTTCAACATCTGGCTGCCGTCACCCAGAGCTGTTTTACTGTAACTTGGCTTTTTAGTAAAATCAAAATCACAATGAATTTTCTACTGCTGGTTCAGACATGCCAAACAGACTCTTCAACTTCCTCTGTTTCCATTACTCTGAATTCTGCTCCCAACTGGTTTGACTGGTTTTGCATCCATTTCACCAAGGAAAGACTTAGACAGGTTGTGAACAAGAAAGACGTCCTGCATGGGTAATGACATGCCTGCGTTAATTTAGGAGTGACTTTGTGTTGCAATCGCTGTAACGGAAGACTTTACCGGACTTTCCTGTAACAATCACAAGCTTTAGCAATGCAAGACTATACCTGAGAGTGAGTCACTGACTCCCTCTCCCGAAACTAAACCACAAACGAATTTAGGAGGCTGTTTTTAACAGTGACACAAGCTGCTCTGCATCAAAATCTGACTTTAATGGATTACAATGGTTTGGATCATGAGTATGAAAGCATTGTACCTGTGAAATCTGCTCGACAGAACCAACTGAAAGAGGTTCTCTCTGTGTTTCTGACACATTCCCAGAGGGGACTGATGGGTCGAACCTCCTCCTCATATTGAAACTCGCGAATCTTATACACCTTTTTAAATCAGATGTATGCTGTTTAGGCAGGGAAGATGATTTAGGCTGATGGCTTAGCACCTCATAGACTTGCTTCCACCTCTTAGAATCAGTCCTTTGTAGCTCTGGTTCTCCCTTAAGGTTCAAGGGTGTGGGTTCTTTTTCGGCTCTGCTGGAACACATGTTTGGAGAGGAAGACGAAGAAGAAGGCAAAGAAGACGTGAGAACAGGCGACTGAGATGTTGAAGCCGGAGAGAATCTGTCCCTTGGTAGCTGAAAAATCTCAATTTCTGTGTTGTCCGTTGACAAAAAATTGCCTGAGGTGGGAATTGGTGTTTCACAGCTGGCCGTCTCAACTCCAGAGTCTACTGATTCTGAGCGTGGGTTTACTGCCATGTTGGAAACAGGTGCAGGAGGCCCATCAGCGTTATCCTGATGCCAGTGTGACTCCGGATGAGTTCTCTCCTCATACACATAAACCTCCATAAGGTCACCGAAGCTCCTGTACAAATTCATCTCCGAAAGGTTCCAGTTTTCCCCCTCTAACCGTTCCTTTTGAGCTGCAAATGAAAAGTGAACAAGACTCACTTTGAGGCAACCTGAGCAGGTGAGGTGATGATGTAGGTTTAAAAAAATTCCCTATGATCTACCTCAGTTGTTTTTGCCACACCTCCAAACACCACTGCATGCACATACCTGCTTATACCTGTTTCTAAAAACAAGGTAGGGAATTCAGCTCCAACTATATTTGAACTATAATTTATCCTTTAAACTGTGAGAACACATGAACAAGCCTCAACATGTTTACAGTATGCCGGGAAGTTGTTGCATTTATAAGATGTTATTGGTGATGTCAAAAAGAAACTACAATCTTAAGATCTGCTGCTTACGTCTTTCCAAAATGCTATCCCACATCACACACTGTTAAATTTGTATTTTACCCATAAGGGTAAATTGTTGTGGTGTGCATGTGACGGAAAGAGCTGAAACAGTTAAAGCTATTTTGTCACATCTACAAAGCAAACAAAACTGGATTTATCAGAAACGGTAGGAATGTGTTGAACTGACTCTCCTGTCTGCTGACATGACTGGCATTCTTCAGGGAGGAAGCTGCTCAGGTCATCTGATCTGACGCACAGACTCATAGTTCTAGAACAACAAAGAAAAAGAGTTTTATTGCTTTATGAAGGAAATGGGTTCCCTTTTTTGTGGAGATGTCGAGTGCAATGATATACTGTACGTGCTGTACATGCAAACTACTTTTATTTGCATAAATATTTATACTACGTTAATTTTTATGCAAAAACTGATGGATTGTGTGGATATTCTGGTCAACACAAAATAGCACATAATTGTTTATGAAGAAGGAAAACTGCTACAGATGATGCTTCTTGCCTACAGCTATCAACATCTACAACAGCTTGTTGGAAAAAAGCTGTTACTACAACATTTAATTTCCCTTTAGGATAAGTAAAGTATTTTGAATTGAATATGAATTGAAATTATGGAAATTATTACCTCGAACTGAAATCTAGAGAAGCAGCTTGGATCCAGAGTTTAGGTAGGAGAATCTGTCACAAGAAAAAAAAGAATTATGCATGTCACAAATCAGGTCTTTATTAGTAAATAAGTAGAAGACATTTTGAATAAAGCTGCTGGCCTTCATCTGCAAAGAGAATTGCTTCTAAAGAAGGTCACCAGTTTATGGGCTCAATGCTATATGAGGGTGAAACATAGAAAACTTAGGGTCATTCCACATTACCCTTAACATTCCATTTTTATGGTGGTGGGAGCGTCATGTTATGGGGATACACAGAGGAAAACCTCATCAGTGTTATTAGGAAGATGCAGAGAAATCTTGGGAGAAAATATGTCTGAGGCTGCAAAAGAAAAATGCTTTAAACCAGAGGTCATAAATTAGCAAATCCGGACCCACCTGCTGGCTAATCAGGACCCAACATTATTTAAAACATTAATAAATTACCGCATGTTGTCTGAAGTCAGTGTCTAACTCCACTTGCGCCACTTCTCCTGTTGATATGGTAAAGCCCTCCGGAGCGTCCAGGACCAGGCTAGACGTGATACAAATTATGAGCTGTCAGTGTGGATCACTGCAGCGAGCCACTATTAGACACAGCAGGCGAACCTGTGGCAAACCAGGTGATGGGGAAGGAGAAGACGATGAGACAAAGAACGCAGAGAAAGTGTGGACTGCTGGAAGAAGTGTGGTGAGTTAGTGTAAAAAAAGTGAACTGGTGTGCTTAAAGATCACCCTGCACATTTTGAGCATGTTTGGCTCAATTCTCCAGCATGAACCTAATCAAAAATAAATATTGATCCAGGCTCACGAAGGAGCACCTTAATATATGCTTGAGAATGTCTTTGTCACCAGTCAAACCCAGGTTTAAAGCCTTGCAGGGCAGTTTAAAGCCCACTGCTCTCATTAAGCCATAAAAGAAAAAAAGAAATTACTAACGGTCAGTTTAGGTGTTTTATAAAATATGTGAAGGAGGAAATTGTCTATATACCAAACTGAACAATTGCTGTTCTCTACTTCAATAACAATTTAGATTTCAAAAAGGGAAAATGTTCATTTTTATTTATTTTTTTTATTATTATAGTTTTTTATTTTTTTCATGTATGTATTTTATTCATTCAATGTATAACATGGATACATAAAAACCTCATTTTATTTTTGTGTTAAATGCAGTTTAAAGTAACGGATTATAATTAAAAATTTCTTTACTGGTTGATGATTTTTTCTTTATTTGGACCCCGCTGATTTTTAATTGTTAACCCCTTCTTTAAACCATGTTCTTTAAAGGACACCTTGCTTAGTAAAAAGTACCCAAAAAGTTTATTTAAGTACAAGCAGAAAAAGCAGTCTTCCAAGAAATATTCCGAGAGTACAAAATAACTTGGTTAAATAAGTAATCAAGCAAAGATTACTTGTTGACTCATTACATCTGTTTTAATGTTTAATGTAAAATTTTGTAAGAGAGTTTTGCAGTAATGCGCAAAGCTAGGTATTTCAAAGTGTAAAGAGAAATTAAAAACAAATAATAATAGTACAAATAAATAACATCCTTGAAAAATAACATATTTGGGAAAAAGAAAAACATGAATTTTTTATTTTCTTACATAAACCTATAAAAACCCATCTTTATAGTAGGTAAGGCATTCATGATTGGAAAGGATAAAGAAATTGCAGTGAAAATATTTGTTTTTTGCATACTCATAGTAGCATGACATTTTACTCAAGCAAACAAACAAACAAACAAAGTTCTCACCCGAACTTTACTTAAGTAAAAGACAGAAGTACCATTAGGTGCAACTAGTAACTACCCACATTATTAGGAGGCAAACAGAAATGTGAACCATATTATAAGTTTATCATGTTTTCATGATATCTTTTTATTTTTGTTAAATATATTTTTGTATATTTCTTATCATTAATTATTTAAGTGTTTCTCTCTACTTCTCTTGACATATATTATTTAAATCCCTAAATTATTCCTCATATAGATTTCGTTTTTTTTTTTTTCTGCTTGAATCCTGAATCCACCAGGGGTCGTAGTTGAGCAATTTACAGAAATCCAAATAAGTTTCCCGTTTGTGCAGAGGTCAGGCAGCTTGATTTCTCTTTCTGTTGGGGTAACTCATAAAGGCGTAAAATAAAATAATAGAAAATAAAATAATGAATAAAAGTTTAATTTTTATTTTCATGACTTTCCCTGAGAAATATAGGAAGCAACCAACAGGGTGAGTTTCAGTCAATACACTAATCTGATTAAGGGTTTGGTACAGAAGAGGATTAGGGACACACAAAAAAAAAAAAGTTAACTAAGTTTTACATTTTATTTCAGTTTAATATGGGAAAAAAGTCAGAATTCTGAGATTAAAGTCAGAAGACTTAGACTTAGACTGATTTCTTCGTTATTTTGTATACACAAGTGTAAAACAAAAATAAATTTCGTTTAGAATAGCTCTCTGGAAAATTACATTTTTTTTAAACTGCAACCTTGACAGGCACGTGCAGAGGGGGGGGCTAAGGGGGCTTGAGCACCTGCCCCTTTTGCTCCATGATCCCAATGTGCCCTTTTGGTCCCTTTTTTTTTTTTTTTTTTTTTTTTTTTTGACACATGTACTGAAATTGTTATTATTAACTTTTTTTTTTTGGCAAGAAAAACAATACAATAAGCCCTCCGATCACATTGTTACCTTTGACCTTTTGCAGGTGACGACGCACTTGCCTCTCGCACAGTCAGATAAGGCGGCTAACTGCGGAGCTAAAGGTAGCGAATATTCCACATTACACTGTGGCCGCTGCTCATTTGGCCCTAAGCAAGATCAACCATGATCGGACGGATGGCTGTCTTCAGTCTGCACCGCCTCTCCAATGTCAACCTGAATAGAGATGTAAGTGAAACCAAATGAGCCCCATGGATGATGCAGTATTGTTTGATCTAAAACACTGTTTACTCTGTGCTTTTAGTCTTTTACATTGAAAATTATGTTTTTTAATTCACAAAAAACTGTTCTGTAATGATTACATAACAGTTTTTTTGTGAATTAAAAAACATAATTTTTGGAGAAAATACTGGAGTAGGCTTGCTACTTGTCAGACAACGAAAACTTTGAACGTTGTATAATTTCTCTACTTTAGCAAAGAGTAGCAGTTTAAACGGAGGAAAGTATAGGACGCGGCGCGCCTTTCTCTGAAGAACTACTGAGCGGGAGGAGACAGCCAGGTGAAGAAAAGCTGTTCTTATCTATCGATTCAGTATTTTTATCATACAGACATTAGGCTGTTGTTCTTGTGCTATGAGCTAGCTGCTAGCTAATGACTTTGCTAGCAAAGCAAGATAACTAAAAAGCCTCCCTGTGTCGTTAATGATAGTAGGACATTCTTCAGTATTACTTATGCAATAGGGGCACATCGCCCGTCAAAAACCTATCATCTCCATAATGGATATATGTCTGATTTTCTAATTTCCTTTGCTGCATGATGTACATTTCATTTATTCTAGCGTTAGGTAAATGTATCTTAAAGGAGAACTCATCCAGAACTACCATGATAGATATATGATAGATATAATGTATGAAGCTGGTGAAAACAAAACTGCGCAGCTTATGCAAGGAGGATCGGTTGTCAGACCTTCTTTTGTTGGCAATCGAGAAGGATGTGCCAATCATTCACAGTGAGGTTATTAAAATTTTTAAAGACATGGCTAACAGAAAACTGCTGCTGTGAACAAAAGAGAACAAAAATAGCAAAAATGCTTAAAAGTTGGAAATTTGTTTTTAAACAGTTAAATCACCATGACGGAAAATAAGTTTTTGGATCATAATCTTGGATTTAGTTTGGGGGAAAAAGAAAGGCTGAAATAAATAAGACATTGACCTTCACTCAACACAGAAAAGATGAGAAAATGAGGAAAAAAAGAAAAGAGAAACTGACAAGAAAAAACGAAGAGGAAAGATTGAAGAAAATGTATATAGGTACTTACAAAATACACTAAGACACAAACAGAGTAGGCTTTTCTCATGGTGACATGCATCAATAAAATGTTTGCTTTGTTCTTTTTTTTCTGCAGTTCCACATTAAAGTTTGATGCAGAAGCTCTGCTTTTCTGAATGGAGCGTCTCCATCTCCACTGTCAGTACAGCAAATCAGGCAGACATTCTTTTTTATAGATTACAGTACACTAAAGGGTTGCATTGTTCCCTTGTATGCATTTTTAACAGTTTAATTCTGTAAAGACAAAATATGTCTGGTGGTCCAGCTCTGATTTACATCTTTGGCTAAATTGCAGGTTTGAATATTGTAATACTTTCCTATAACAAAATAGACCTGCAGAAAGAAATTACTAATAAAATATTTTACATATGCATAGTTCTATGTTCTATGTAGAGATTTCCCTTAGCTTTGATTGTATGTATCACAATTTTGTAATTTATCATTGTTCATTAAACTCTGAAAGCTATGTGACTTTGTTAATATTCTGTCCTAAAATGCGATAAGATGTGCCCTTTTTTTTTTTGAGCACCTGCCCCTTTAGTGGTCTCTGCACGGCCCTGAACCTTGAAATATATATATATATATATATATATATATATATATATATATATATATATATATATATATATATATATATATATATATATATATATATATATATACATATACATATACCGTATATATATATATATATAAACAGTAATAAAAACATATGACTATAAATTTACAGTTCTAACATTTTCAGTTTCTTTTCTTTTTTTATATATATAATGATAAATATAATAAAATACAATACAATAACCAATTTTAAAAAACATTCAGCAGTCTAATGGCAGTGGGGAAGAAAGCATTGTGGAATCTGCTGGACCTGAATCCAATACTTTGAAGTCTCTTCCCAGAGGGCAGCAGGGAGAACAGTCCATGGTGGAGGTGTGAGGGGTCATTTAGGATGTTACGTGCTCGGGACACGCAGTGCTGGGATGAAATATCTTTAAGTCCTGCTGCTGCCTCCTCTGTATTTTTTGGGGGGTATACACATCACCAGCACTGTGTTTCTTTGAAATAATGAATTCTTATTAGGGCTGCAACTAATGATCATTTTGAAAATTGATTATTCTGTCAGTTATTTATTTTGATTCATCGATTAATAATTGAACAGCTTTCTTAAAAAATACTTTTTACGAATTTAAACCGCGTGAAACTAAAACTTTTCCACTTGGAGAGTTTTGTATTCAGCATATTGACAGACAAGTTTTTTTTTTTGTATCCTCTTTTTTTGTTGCAATTTTGGTATAATTAATTATGGTAATTCAATTCAGTTTATTTATATAGCGACAATTCACAACACATGTCATATCGAGGTACTTTATAGTTCACCAGGTCTTACAGTCAAATTTATTCAAAGTTTTCTATCTAAGGAAAACCAGTTGATTGCATTGACTCAAATACAATCCCTCACACTAAGCATGCTTGTAGCGACAGTGGAGAGGAAAAACTCCCTTTTAACAGGAAGAAACCTCCAGCAGAACCAGGCTCAGTGTGAGCGGCCATCTGCTCACACTATATGTTGATCATTTTTATTATTCAGTACTGTTATATTTACTATTTTATCATTCTGTGTCATCTTTTTTGCACAGAGACCCAGACCACCATTGACAGCAAAGATGGACAACAAGTTCCCCTACAAGCCTGTAAACTCCTTCATCCCTTAAGGAAGTCCTTAAATAAAATGGATGATGATAACCTCCAACTTCATCTCAGATGCAATAAACAACACAATGCAAACTACCTTGCATAAGATTTTATTATTATCTAGACGAGACGTTCACAGCCTCGGTGGAGTTTGACACATTATGGTTATTTTCTACAGTTGATGTCAATCTTTAAATTCTGGACCAATTTCTCAGCCAACATTTATACACTTTTGAAAAAGAGTTTGACATGGTTTTGAGTTTCCAAGCTGGAACATTTTGTATTTTGGCACACATCTATCTTTTTCACTCAAAGCTCTGTATAGATGCATTTGGGGAAAAGTTGGTTTTTAAAGTTGGACTTATAGGTTGTCTTGGGTGGCATTAGAACGAGAAAAAAAACACCCTATAAAAAATGAAAATAGATAAATATCTGTCATTTGTGCTATAATTAAGCTTTCTGTTGAACATGAGTAAACATACTTCTCCTGCTAAGAATGGGGAGATTATTTTACCTATTTTTTGTGGGATTATGCAAGCAGGACATTTCATCCCATCTTGACATCAGCTAGTTCTGGCAAGGGGAGGACCTTGCCCGGGGAGGCATCTATATGAAAACCAACACTGGTTCTAAGTCTAAATTTGGCTGCATTCTATCCTTAGAAAATATATTGTTAGTGTCAAAATATTATGGAAAATTCCTTTTGGATTCTGTTGCTGCTTTAATCAATCCCATTTCCAGCAGAAGGACATTTACACAAAGGGCATTTTAATAATAGTTGATCAACTGATAAATACTTAATCAATATCCAACCACAATGACATACTGTCATCAATGAACAACTGAACAAATTGTTCTTCACACACAGCAACATTTTTCCATGAATGAATAGTTCTGGCTGCTTTACTAAAGCAAAAGGATATTTTCTAAACTGTATTAAGTTATTCTGACTAAATGAAATGTGGTGAATATCAAATTACTTTTGAACTTGTAACTATAGAATTTAAACATTTGAAATATTTGTTTTTTACACTTTAATTATCATACAATGAGCATCTTCTGTGAATATTGTTTGGGATGCAAGATATCTTGGCTTTAACATTTGTTTTGGTAATTTTCAAGCATATCTGTATCATCTGATAGGTAAAACTGGGCCGATATTAACACCCACTGTTTATTTTCATGTACTAGCTGTTTTGTTTCTTATGCAGCTCAGGGTTTGTTATGATGTCCAGAGATTAGGGAAACATATATTAAATGATATTGGTAAATATGAGATATCGTCTAAAATTATCGTCTATTTGCCCAAATTTTCCTGTTGGTGTATTCGTAAATATTCCGAAACTGGAATTTCTTGTCCATGTTTTTGCTCACATGTATATTCTCTTAGCAGACACCAGCAAGCTTCTTTATTGCAGAATCGGTAATGTTCATTTATATTACTTGTTTTCCTGCTCTTTAATTTGACTTTTGTGCTATGTTCTCTTTGGAATTGGCCACGGGACCTTTCTTTTCCTTTAATAGGAAAGAAAACCGATTTGTTCTTACAATAAACACGCATCAAAAGGCTTCATGAACTGTAAGCTGCACTAGAAACTGCTCTTTCAACTAGACAATCCAAGATTCCTCAGGAAAATTATGCTATTCTTGAATCACATAATACACTTTCAAGCTTCTTAGTGATAGTTCCATACTGTGGGTCTATTTTGCTGAACGATGTAAGAAATTCATAATAAATTATTTACTATTTGTTTGAGACTTAAACATTTGTGAGTTCTAGCAGGACAATGATCCCAAATGGCTGTCAGAACTTTTTTTGGATAAATGATTCAAGCTAGACTTTACATATATATACAGTTAAGGGTTAGGGTTATTCATCATTATTTATCAATCGCTTTATCCCAAGGGGTGCTGGTGCCTATCTCCAGCTGTCTACAAGCAAAAAGCGGGGTACACCATGGATAGGTCGCCAGCCTTATCGCAGGGCAACACAGAAACAAACAACCATTTAGGCACACACTCACATCTAAGGAGAATCTAGACAAGCCAATCATCCTAACAGTCATGGAGAGTACCCGGAGAGAACCCACGCATGCACAGAGAAAACATGCAAACTCCATGCAGAAAGACCCCGGGCCGAGAAGACCCCGGAACCTTCTTGCTGCAAGGCAGCAGTGCTACACACTGCACCACTGAGCAACCCTTGTTGCAAAGTCTGTGCCAGGAAATCATAAATTCACATTAATTATACAACATCTGGCAGGCACAGATCTTAATTCTGTTAGAGGAGTCTGGCCTGTAGACTGTTGCCTGGTACTAATGCACACTTGAGCTAATATCAGTGGGATTGAGGATAAAAAAACAAAAAGCCCTTTTCTAACAGGAATATATCTGGCATGTTAGCGAGTCATGAGATTGTTGGATTCATCCCATCAAGGCGCAGTGCCAGGATACATGGGAGTCAAACCAGGTCAATGTTTGCAGCATACTTTATGCAACAAATTTAAGACCTGTTACATAATATGCCAAGAAAACCTACCAGTGGGCTCAAATAAAAACAGAATAAAGGAACACATGATCAGCTCTCTATTATCACAATAGAAAACAGCAGGAAAAGGATTGCTCAGACACCAGCATATTAAAAGCGAGATGCCTCTGTGACATGAGCGAACTCTGAGCTCATAAGAGAAAAGATAAAACTGGAGGCATTAGGAAGTGTTTCAGGGCTTTATTGAGAGACTGATTGTCACAGGCAATTAGAGGAAGCAGACTAGAGAAAAAAAAAGCAGAGAAAATGCGAAAAATTAGAGCTGAAACAGATTTTTACACATATTACAGTGCATTAGAAATTGTACTTTCACTAAATGACACAAACATATTTTTCTTCCGCTTTCTATCCATTTATTTGACAAGCGGTTTGGCACACAGGTACTGTAATGGCTGAAACAGCCACCAGAGGGCTCCTACTGTACTTCTGCAGCAAAACAATGAGAGAAAAAAGTGACATTTTGAAAATCAACTGTACAACTAGCTAGCTGTGGAGCAAGAGCACCTACAGCATGTTTATTAGTCCATGAACCTAAATTTAGTCCATGCAGAGGATTTGACAAGAAAAAAAGGCTAGTTAGAAAAAAAGACAGTGTGTTTGTTTTTTAGCACTAAGTGTCATTTTTTTTGTATCTAGTGCTGAAGTGAAACCCTGATCTATGCAGGGGTCAGTGCACATAAATTAAAATCAAGGGGTAAAATATGAGCACCAAGTCCTCTTTATCCAGAATGCAGAGGCCATTTGACATCAGGAAAAAAATAAATAATTCTTTTTATTTACTCTATCAGCCTATATGACCAGAAACTACAGAGGGGGGAAAACTAATAAAATATTTTTATTTAAATATTCTGTGTTAGAGTTCTTTGTATGAAACAAGTTAACTATTTCGGTGTTATACATTTAATTTTTTATTTTTTTTTACCTGTTTTGGTAAAAAAAAAAAAAAAAAAAAAGAACCCAAAAACCTTTAGATGTTCATACAGAGTACTCTACACGTTTTCTGGCTTCTCTTATAAGGATGTGTAAAAAGCTTTAAATAAATAAAGCTTTATACACATTTCTGTACAAAGTCCTGTTTGACAGCAGGTCAGAATTTTCTCATATTAATCATTATAAGGTTTGGGCACAAAAAATATTATTTTATTATTATTCACCTGCTAAAAGACACAATTACGGCTCATTTTTAGGTTTCTGTCAGAAACAATAAGACTCATATTTAAAATGTACTGTTATTTTTAACCACAATGCAATTTGCTCTAACTTGCTTCATTATAGGAAAAAAATAGGTTCACAGTATTATAGGTCCTCTACCATACTTATCAGAAAACATGATTTGCTATTGCAGATATTGCACATATCAGGAAGGCCAGCTTTGTGCTTAGATGCCACCTAGTGGGAGACAGAAGGAATCTTGCAAAAATAACATCCCTGTCTGACAATGTCTCCCTCTCCATGCATGAAGCCACTTCAGTGAAAGACTGCTGCATACCAAATGAATTATCGCAGATCCTTCCCACCAACAGCTGTGAGACTTCATAAACATCACTGCTCCGGCGTCACTGTTTACATAAATGCTTCTATTCGCCGTATTTTTATTCATGTTTAACATAGCATGTATTCAATTTGTGTTTATGTTAATTTATTGCTTTACTATACATAATTTTATTCTTTATTCTATTTCTTATGATTTTAAATTGGTGACAATCTCACTTTAAATGTCTTTTACTTTGCTGCTGTTGTGCTGACATTTTTTCCATAATGGGACAAAAAATAGTAATTTTCTGTTCTATTTTCTAATATATTCAACTTTTGTTTTATGATGGGTCCATTATGAGTGTTTGATTCCATAAACTGAGTCCCAGACAGATATTATGGTAAGAAAAAGGGTATTTTCCAGGAAATAGTCTCATTTACGGTATCTGGTGGTAATCTGGTATGGAGACTGTGATCATTTTACGCATCATAATATTAACAAGTGGAAAGAGGAACTGATTACAAAATTAGAGTTCTTAGAAACTCTGGTCCAAAAATGTAGATATTTTTTTTTTCATTGAGTAAATACTGTTTTATTACTTTTTGTGAAAAAAATTAATACATTTCTAGATTTTGGCTTTGACTTTTACAAAGGGATGCCAAATGTTTAGCTGTACTCCTATAGTTATTTTTTTGTTGCTTTGATGATACTGAATGAACTTTCTAAAGGGCATTATTTTGAATTCACAGTTTGGTTTCATCACTAGATTAATATTGTAATTCTGCATATAAAAATGATACGTTTCTATCACAGCATTTTATTGCTTTTAAAGACTGAAAATAATCAAAACTTAATAAAAATTGGCAGGTGGTTGTTACCTTTGAAATCTGATGCTTCGTTGTTGCAATATTTTGTTATCATAAAGAAGTGTAATTGTGCTTTTTGAATGCTTTTCTGGTACCTAATCTCCCACACATTATGTTGTTTTTTCAGCAACCAGAGCCAGTCTGAGCTCATCCTAGCTTTATAGATCTAATGGACTGGGCCAGAAGTCCAATCTGCGATCTGTCCAAGTGCAGCCACTGAGATGGTAGTCTGTGTATAGAGAGAAGGAAAGTACAGGAAAAAGTTAGGGTTACTGTAGAGATTATACACGCTACTGACAAAAAGAGCAAAGATACAATTTAAAATCAGTTTTTTTAATCATTACTATAATAATAATTTCAATCGTTTTCATTACCTTTGTCTTTGTGCTTTAGAGTGAGACTGGAAACTCTTCTCTGCTCTGGCAGAAACACCAGCAGCTCCAAACAGTTTTGCCCAACGAAGGCTGTTCTGAAAGGGAGTCTCTACACGGTCAGAGCTTGTTGCATTTTGGCTCCCATTGTCTTTTTTCACTTCTCTCTCATTCTTCCAGCCCTCCTCATAGATTTTCAACATTGTACCTCTATGATCTAGGCTACAGTTTGCCACTTTTGATACACTATGCACAGGAGCAGAAGCCAAAAGCGGACTCCTGTTAGTTTGCATGGCCTCATAATTCTGCTTGCAGCCACTTGAACTCTGACTGCTGAGAAACTCCTGCTGCCTTTGGTGTGTTTGACTGTTTCGCCTGCTGTCTTCCACCTTTCTGTCAACCTGTAGCTTTGGCCAGCTGGTCACAAGCAGGGCCGAGCATGGCTGAGGTGGGAGAGCATCACACTCCTCTGAACACAGCTGTGTGTGGCATAACAGTCGCGGCTCCAGGAGCAGGTTGAGGTCAAATGGCAGCACAGAGAGTGGCTGAAGGAGGAGGAGCAGCTCCTGGAACAGGGGCTGGCAGCGACTCAGTGAAGTGAATAGAAACCCCCAGGTGTGATAGTAGGTGGTAACCACATCTGTGAGGAAAGAACACATGGATTCAATGTAAAGAAGTATCTTTAAATATCAAACACGTCTAAAAGAGGTTTAGAAGTTTTCTAATTTGTCTGCTATGGTTAAGTGTGCTTCAATAAGCAATATATTTAAAAGTCTGTCAACCACACCACATTATTACAGCAAGGGTAGTTTGTTTATCTGCAGTAGACCTTTTAAAATTGCATTAAGTTTTTATAAAATTCGAGTTAGATTTGTCCATTATCTTAAAGTATGTGAAATTTCTTGCTTTCTATTGTTTGTTTATTTATTATATTACTGTCCCAAACCTAAATGCAAAATAAAAATAATGATGTAAATGTTGAGTTCCGTTGTATTAGGTCCACTTTTCTTAATTACCTCCTAATAAAATGAATCTAGTTACCTTCCCAATCAACTTACTTTGCCTGTCAGTAAAGTATTCTCACCATAAATACAGCTTTTTTTGTGAAGGCTTCAGAGGTTTTGAAAATTCAATCCAAAAAGACAGGGATACATTTGATAGATGCATCTCGCTTAACACTGCTCAAGTCATCACCTGAAAATAGAGCAGCTGCCAAGATGCGACTATCCACCTAAACAGACAGGCCTGGCAAGAGCAGGTTTATTTAAAGAAGTGTCCACAAAAGATAATTGTGTCTCTATTCTATTGCAATCTTTGTTTCCTTTATGACACTCTACGACATTCTCATTACACCAGCATGACCTTGAAACATGGTGGTGGCAGTATTGTGCCGTGGGGACACTTTTCTTGAGCAGGGTTAGGAAAGTTCTTCCGAGTTGGTAAAATAAAATTGGTCAAAGTTAGAGTGAATGTGGGCCATCATGGAAGAACCTGTTAAGGGTTTCAAACGACCTGACATTTAAGAATTACGTTAAAAATTAAGAATTACATTTACAGATATAGCTGGTAGGGTCATGTCCAAATACCCTTTCTACAGTAATTGTTGCAGCACTAATGCACAGTATACTTCTGGTTTTTACTGTGTAGAAATATCTGCTTGAAGTTATGTGTAATACTTAAGAAAAGATGTCTTGGTAACTTGGCAACAATGCTTCAACCAAACAGGTTACAATGTCTGGCTCTCTGGAAACCAGAAGTGGTCGTAGTCGTATGGATAGAGATTAAATGAAAAAAGCGCTGCAATTTTTGTCAGTTTAACAGCTTCCCTACTGTGTTTCTTGTGCTGTGCATTAGCAGCATACTCACCTTTTTGACTTTGCAGATGACTGAGCCAGAACTCCAAAGCTCTCAAGCTGTAAGGGAGAAATATGACGCGATATGAAATAACAGCAGAGTAGAGGTTACAGTTCAATATAAAAAGTTCACCTAAAAGATCATAAATAGCTTTAGTTTTTACTTTAAAAGGCCCATGAGGAAGGCTCGTAATCTCATACTGTGGCTGGTGAGCTGGGGACACTGTTTAATTTTGGAAACAAGGCTGTAGAGAACCTTGGTGGACGGACCTAAAGCAAAGATGCAAAGACTTAGAGACCATAAGCAAACTGACTGACTGGTTTTAATTTAAATCTGCACATACCTATTCTTGTAGAGATGTCCACCACATTCCAGGAATGATTGCGACGCTGCCCTATTATGAAATCCAGCTTGTGATCTCTCAGACCGTCCTCTAAAATGTTCTGAATCGCAGGACACAAGTGTTCAAGGACGAGGCCTGCTATAGTGGAACTGTAGGAGCTGTTACCCAGACGCATCTGTAACACAAGGAAGAGAGGGACAGAGGCTGTGCTATAATGTGTGTCCTGCTGACACAAGTTATTTGACTCTTGTGCTGAATTATTGGCATCATGCTTTTCACAGGGACGTTTTGTTCTACTTGCTTAGTTCTGCTGACTCTTACCTTTTCTTCTGGGTCTCTGCTACTTCCAAAATGAGCCATGATCAAATCCACTGCATTGCTCACAGCTCTCAGCAAGCCTGGACACGATGGATGGATGGATGGATGGATGGATGGATGGATGGATGGATGGATGGATGGATGGACGGACGGACGGATGGACGGACGGACGGACGGACAGGTGATGGATGGATGGAAAACAAATACAAAGGGAAATCTCATTCAGAATCGAAAACATCAACATCCTTTTTACTCTCCTCTTTTTCCATATGAATCCAGAGCTGGATAATATTTATAGACAGCCTAGGTTCCATCCGAACCTAGTGTTTAAATGATTTTAAATGTGAACTGTGCCTGAGTACAAATAATCTGTAGCATCCCTTATTACAGTGCTTTTGCCCTGCCTCTCTTTCTCCATCTCATGTAGAGCAGCCCAAGAAAATGTCACAGTAAATTCTTTATGCATGTTGAAGCCGCCTGCAGCTCCACACCAATCATATTCTTCACTGCTGATGCCTCCATCTATGAAAACATGTTCTCAAATAATCAGACTTCATGTTATTAACTTTGCAAGTCCCTTTCCTGGTGGCATTAGGGCAAAAATACGATTAAGTGTGATATAAATATTTAGTACTACTGCATTAGTCTCTGTCTTATCTGGAGACTGCAGTCTCTCTCTCTCTCACACACACACACCAACACACCCCCCCACACACACAAACAGAGACTGGAGAGCATAGAGCTCAGCCAATCCTGAGCAGGGATAGTTAAAAATAGGTCATGTTTCAGAGGAAGCCCCTTTAGGGTATTGAAGGCACTGTTGCAGTATTTTGAGGTTTGATTGCTTCTTTTAACAACTCATCATTGGCAAGATGGCTCTACCGTGAAGCAAGTATGATTACACCAAAACAAATAAATTGATATATCTTCTAAATAACACAACATCAATGCATTTGTGGGCAATTGTCTTGAGGTAACTCTCACCTTTCCTCTGCAGATGACTGATAGACATTGACTCATAAGATGTATCCAGTGAGAGGCAGAACTCTACGGGCGGCCTGTCGCTCACGATCAGAGCCTGGCTGCTCTGGCTCTGAGTTGGCATTGGGCTGGGTCTAACAGGCTCTTCAGTTTTCTTTTGGTGCAGGCCTGAAGAGAGGAATGAGCTTAAAGAGGAGAGGCATGCTGCAGCAGTGAGGGACTGATCTTGATGGAGCTTTAGCTGTGGTCTTGAGGGTTTTGGAGGTAGTAGGGACACTGGCAGGTTTGAAACCACGCTTTCAGGTGTTATGGGTAACATATGGGAGAGTTTTGAATGAAAATCAGTGTTAGTAATTTTGGTTTGAGCGGTGACTTGGTTTATTTCTGGTTGAAGGCTAAACAGGTCCTGGTATGTAGGGATCCTAACCAGGTTGGGCTGATGGCTTGTTGTTCCAGGGTTTAACCGTATTCTTTCCTGAGACTGAACTACTGCCTCATGGCTGGTCTCATTGGCTGTTGGTTGATACTTTTGACTCCACGTGTGTCTGTAGCTCAAACCTTTTGGACTTGGGGTGCAGGTGGAGCAGGTATCAGAGCTTGAAGCAGCCTCCAGGAATACTGGGCAAAGACTCTCCATAGGTGAGGTTTGCAGTTCAGATAAACATTGGCTTCTTTTCTCCTTGAACTTGACGCCATTCTGGGAGCTATTAGGTTTGCTGCTCTTATGATTTAGGTACTGATCAAGCAGGCCTCCTAAGTTACATTGTCCAGGCTGGATCTGGGGCTTCTCTGTGTGAAGCAGAACAAATGGCTGGATGGGCAAAGAAGTTGGTCTTTGTAGCTTACTGTAGCGTACCATTTCCTTGTCACAAGACCAAACACCTGACAAGCATAGGGCATTATAATATGAAAAAAAAAGATTAATTTAAATCTTTATTTTTCTCTTGACATGCATTGTATGTTTTGTTTTTATCCATTCCTTGTCCAAAAGAAGAAAAAAATCAAACACTCTCCTCACCCATTTCAGTAGCATCTGCATCAGTGTACTCTCTGTTCTGAATCACAGATGGCTGGGTGGATTCAGCTCCTCTTTCTTGGCATTTACTACTATGGGGGCTACTCTGGCCGCAGCATGGTGAACAAGGCATGTAGGAGAAGCTCTGGGTACCGTGCAAATGTTGCTTCCTGCAGGGGGCTATGTTGGTGGAAGTTGTGGTAACCTGCTGATCGCTTGCCTTAAAAAGAAAACAGACTAAATGAAAAAAAAAAAACAAGATGACTGCATTCATAAACACCTACTGCACTTTTAACTAATCAATGAAGTTTTGGATTAATATCAGCAAAGTTTAGATGCTGTTTTCAAGAGAGAGAGATGGTTTCTAAATCAAAACCATTTATAATATTTTCAACATATGGAGGCACAGATCTGTTTAGATTTAAAAAAGTTGACTTGATTAACCTTTACAGATACGATATACGTGAAGGGTTACGTGTCATGTAAGGCTATAAGAGACAGGTTAAAGAAAAATCAGGACTATTTTTTCAAAGCAGCATTCATTTTATTTATTTATTTGTTTGTTTATGTATTTTCAGTTCAGCATTCCATAAATAGGAATTTAAAATATTTTATCCAGTAAGCCCTAAATTATATTTTTATCAACATATTTTTACAGAAACAAAAGAACCCACCATTTGTCCTGTGATAGGGGACTCAAAAATATTTTTTGCATCAGATGTTCATCGTCAAACTATTTGTTTTTAGGCATTCTAGTTTGCGTTCATAACAAACAGATAACCAAATGCTGCACCTTTTTGAGGTTACAAAATTAAGAAAAGTTTTGAAAAAGATGTAAAATGATTATCAGGCTCATACTTTTATGACTTTTCCATGTTTAATAACATCCATGTTATTAAACATGGATGTTTGTACAATAAATGTTCTAAATGAGATTTATTTTCAATTTTTCATTTTGCTAAGATATAATAAAAAAAATGAAATTCATTATTTACAAAATTTTACAGGATAAATCTGATATAAGCACAAGTATCAAGTATATTTAGATTTAATGAAAAACAATCCCTTTTACGCTTTGGTTTTAAGAGACTAATAAAGCACTAATATTGTTACCTTTTCAACACCAACCTCCATGTTTTCTTTGGGTGGTCCTTCTTTGTTAGAACCAGGAGGTACTGGAATGGTGCAGCCTCTGCCAGGCTCTCCGGGACATCCAGTGAGGCCAGAGCACGCAGGGCTTGGGGACTGGGATGAGAGGTCACAGGTCACAAGCTTATAGTACTTCTGGTTTGTCTCCATAGCCAGTCTGTCCTGGCTTTGAATGCACGCGGTCAGGTCTGTAACCTCCAGAGAAGAGAGGCAAGGAGCCATCAGCTCTAAGGAATAAAGGTTGCAGTTTGAGTCCATGCCAAATGGTTTGGGATCAGCATCTTCTTTCTGGGCCAGTTGAGGAGCAGGTTGGAGAGAGAGGAACACAGAACCCCCTGAAATCTGACATGAATCAGCAGCAGGACTGCTGAGATCCTGAGGTGTGGCAGGATTGTTGCTTTTATTGTAGATGGTGCAGAAGTTAACCAGTATGCCATCAGAGCTGTTACATGAGGAGTCAGTGTTGTCTTCTGTTTGAATGTTGGCTAGCAGCTCTGGGGAACATTTTCCATAGATATTCTGCTGTAGGATGTCTGAATTCTGCTCTGAAGAAGACAGAAGAGATCTGCTCACAGGACAGCGATGGCATCTCTGATGCAGTGAGTCCATCTGGTTAGACAGCCACTCTTGGTTTTTTCCCATCCCCAGCATTAACCCTTCATTGTTCCATTCAACACCAAGTTCTTCGTGAAGAAATGCATCAATTCCTCCATGATTCAGTGACCAGTGGGAGTTTCCATGCAGCGCAAAAGAAGAGTCCTCATGATATTTGTGGAGATTATCTCCATCCCTGTCCTCTTCTTCCTCCTCATCCAGCTCTGGTTTGGGAAGAAAGGAGTTGTGTGAGCGCAGGTTATTTCCAGCTCCACAGCTTCCCTCCTTGATACTGGATCCTATTTCTTCTGGCGATGAGTTGGACTCGTATTTTCCGCTGCTGTCGCTGGTCCCCTCTTCCTCCACCTGATTCTCACAGAGACTACTGTAGCTGCTGGAAAAAGGTCTCCATCCTCTTGTGAAGGAGTGATCTCTGACAAGAGTGTCCTGCTCTGGGAGGGACACTGCTCGGGTCAGTCCTGATGAGCATAGCCGGCTCGGCCTCTTGGCTGATCTGGACAAGACCTGGACTGGAAGCTGCCAAGCGGGAAGTTGCACCACAGGGAAATGACACGCTATCAGTGTGTGACCTGGTAGACTGGATGCTCCAATCATGCTGTCCCCATGTCCCGAAAAATATCCTGAAAGAATGAAACACATAGGGGTTTGTTTGGCAAAAAAGGCAGAAAAATTATTTTTGTCACATTTTAAACTTCAGCAACTAAACACAGACATTCAATCTGAAATACCAACTAGTATATAGACTGTATGCATAGATATACACTCACCGGCCACTTTATTAGGTACACCTGTCCAACTGCTTGTTAACACTTAATTTCTAAGCAGGCAATCACATGGCGGCAACTCAGTGCATTTAGGCATGTAGACATGGTCAAGACAATCTCCTGCAGTTCAAACCGAGCATCAGTATGGGAAAGAAAGGTGATTTGAGTGACTTTGAACGTGGCATGATTGTTGGTGCCAGAAGGGCTGGTCTGAGTATTTCAGAAACTGCTGATCTACTGGGATTTTCACGCACAACCATCTCTAGGGTTTACAGAGAATGGTCCGAAAAAGAAAAACCATCCAGTGAGCGGCAGTTCTGTGGGCGGAAATGCCTTGTTGATGCCAGAGGTCAGAGGAGAATGGCCAGTATGGTTCGAGCTGATAGAAGGGCAACAGTGACTCAAATAACCACCCATTACAACCAAGGTGGGCAGAAGAGCATCTCTGAACGCACAGTACGTCGAACTTTGAGGCAGATGGGCTACAGCAGTAGAAGACCACACCGGGTGCCACTCCTTTCAGCTAAGAACAGGAAACTGAGGCTACAATTTGCACAAGCTCATGGAAATTGGACAATAGAAGATTGGAAAAACGTTGCCTGGTCTGATGAGTCTCGATTTCTGTTGCAACGTTCAGATGGTAGGGTCAGAATTTGGCGTCTACAACATGAAAGCATGGATCCATCCTGCCTTGTATCAACGGTTCAGGCTGGTGGTGGTGGTGTCATGGTGTGGGGAATATTTTCTTGGCACTCTTTGGGCCCCTTGGTACCAATTGAGCATCGTTGCAACGCCACAGCCTACCTAAGTATTGTTGCTGACCATGTCCATCCCTTTATGACCACAATGTACCCAACTTCTGATGGCTACTTTCAGCAGGATAATGTGCCATGTCATAAAGCTGGAATCATCTCAGACTGGTTTCTTGAACATGACAATGAGTTCACTGTACTCAAATGGCCTTCACAGTCTCCAGATCTCAATCCAATAGAGCATCTTTGGGATGTGGTGGAACGGGAGATTCGCATCATGGATGTGCAGCCGACAAATCTGCGGCAACTGTGTGATGCCATCATGTCAATATGGACCAAACTCCCTGAGGAATGCTTCCAGCACCTTGTTGAATCTATGCCACGAAGAATTGAGGCAGTTCTGAAGGCAAAAGGGGGTCCAACCCGTTACTAGCATGGGGTACCTAATAAAGTGGCCGGTGAGTGTATAATTCAGTTTGGATTAAATAACAAACAGTTAATTCAAACTTGTGCATCAAATGCCTATGCTTTAAAATTATCAAGGTTTTTCTCTCCCATAATCATGTCACCTTTAAAAAGGATTAAATTAATGATTGTTTGCATTTCCACAAAAAAAAAAAAACTATGGATCACCATTTAAATTTTTATTGGTGGTTCAGCCCTACTTGCAGATTAAAGGATAAATATTCCTTGTGGAGCTGTTAGGGTTATATTTTCCACTCTTAAACTAACTTTGGGATCTGATTAGTTGTCAGAACAATAGGCAAAAAAGAAATACTAAATAAATAAACATTTTACATGGGATATTTACCATCTTAAACAACAAGGTAAAAGACAAAAACAAAAAAAAATCTGCATGGTACGGCCCTCACAGTCTGCACCACCAGTCCTCTGTGATGTGTGCCTCCAGGCTGCAGCCGAATGTTGCACTCTATAATTCAGTCGAATTCTAACAAACCCCCCCTATTGCTTTCTCCTCTCGGGCCAACCACAATCAAAGTGAGTTAGTCAGCTGCTTTGTAACTAGGGCAGCTGTGCTGCAGAGATACTCTGCAGACACTGCTGAAGTGTAAAAACATCTGCTTGTTTTTTTTTATATTTTTCAGTCCAGGACATGACAACAAAATAACTCATTCTTTAAGAGGTTCTACAATCATAAGGTGTATAAAACACACTACATGTTCCGCTTCATCCTTATTAGCCCTTATTAACCTAAAAAAGACAAATTAGCAAATTTACTAGGCCACTATCACAGGGATTAGGTGAGAAATAAAGACATGCTGGTTTGGAAAATGTAGATGTTTATTATACTGCCAAGGTGGAAGGATATTAGCAGTGAACTTCAGAAAAAAAATTTTTATACCCGGTCTGTTAAGAGTTATGAGGCAATATTCAAATACATTTTTCCCACTCTCTGCAGTGAGAGCAATTGTTCAGTTATGGACATTTTACCTCAGTCACCTCTCCAGCTAGGACATTTTTTTTAAATTCACCCCAAGGTTGGACTTGTAATTCTCAGGCCTTATAAAGCACGACAAGAGAAACGCTGAACATGTATATAAACTCCATTTATCAAAACATCTGCAAAAATGTCCTTTGACAGAAGACCTTTAAGTAGATATGTTTAGCTGTATGATATAGCCCCAAAAATGTTGGGGCTGCATTATATGAATTTTCAATATGAATTTAAAAATAAATGTTATATCTAATCTAAACGAGATCATACATTTAATCAGCAATTTAAAAACAAACTCCATCAGTTGAATGAATTCCTTTATTTCTTTAGTTTATAAATGATTTTTACACTTTAGAGACTTGCTGTAATGTTAAGTTAAAGAGTGATACAAAAACTAAAGAAGGAATTTAAGATATAGTTAGAAGATACATTTGAGGACAGAGTTTCACTGTTTTTACACTATATTTGTGCTCTTTAGATACCCATAACATCACATTTTTGTGTCAAACATCACTAGCATGAAAACATGAGTTTTCATGTCTACAGTGCACAGTGAAAACACAAAACAACCACGAGAGAACTACCTAAAGTATCATACAAATTGCTAAGTTCATAGAAAAAACATTTCTGTTCCATAACTAGCATTAGGAATTTGTAGAATAAAATTATCATTCACAAAATATGTTAATTTTGGAACTATTACAAATTTACAGATAAGAATATGATAAAAAAAAAAAAAGTTGGAACAGAAAGTGCAACAAAAAAATAATGTGAATGGATTAAAATACAGTAACCTCTGCCTTCAAATTCAGAGAGATGTAATGGTTTGTACAGACTATTTTTCTGTAAAGTTTGACCAACTAAGAAAGAAATAGGTTAGCCAATATGAAAGACTGCAGAATCCAAGTGGATCAGCTCTGTCTTCATCTGGCTGGAGCACAGAGGGATGGTTGTGATTAACAGAACTCCGGATGTCAGTCGCTTCGTGCCAGCCATCTAACATTACAGATTGGAGTCAAAGTTAATGAATCCAGAGGCTGAAGCCCGCTGTGATTATAATGGCACTTGTTATCACCGTTTTCAGCCTCTAATGAGACGCCATGCCAAGTCAAAATTATCTGCATTTATTGAGTCAAAGAGAAGGAATAAGGGGGGACTTCAGGATAAAGATTCATCTCAGGAGAAGGTTTATGTTACATGATAAATGATGGCAAAGGTAGTTTTGCACCTGCAAAAAACATGTTTAGTCCTTGAACATTTTGTCATTACCACCGCCAAGAAGGTTATGTTTTTAGTCGACTTTCTATGGGTGTTACTTTGAGTGTCTGTCTTACCATCTGTGTACAAGATAACTTGAAATATTATGAACAGATTTTAATGCAATTTTTACCAAAGGTAGATCTAAGTCTGAGAAACAATCCATTAAATTTGGCAATGATCCTCATCATATATCCGGATGCCGGAATGTTTTAGAGAATTTTTTTACATTATTTGGCTAAATAAGCAGTTTCCTCCTGAACCAGAGGATGACTGCAGTGACTATTGACAGCTTCAGCATCGTACTCAAAAAATCCAGAAGTATTATACTGAAGACAACAACGCAGGAAAGGTGAGCCATGCCTCGTTCAAAGTCTCAATCTGCTGATCAAAGAAGGAAGCAGAGTGCAGAGTTAATGATAAAGGTGAGAGCAGAACAAACACCTGAGGCTGCAGAAACATGCTGTGCCTTATTTATAAACCTATGAAAGGATTTTAAGTTAATTGTTACCAAAGGTTCACCTCATTTTAAATAACAATTCATTTAAATGTGGTAATTATCAAGATCATGCGCCTGTTTTAGCTATAGGTGGAAGTCACAATATGGGGCAAAATTAGTGGAGGTCTGCACCCTCCGAGTGCATTTCTAATTTTTCTGTAGATTTAGCTGAAGAATTTGTCTGGGTTATTCGCCTATATTCATGCTTTGATACAATCCATTCAGTTGGAGCTCTGGCCATGATTAGAGTTATTGTTCTGCCAGAAGATGAACATAAACCCCAGACTGAAGTCTTTTTCTGACTCTAAAATTTTTTATTCCTGGATTTTTCTCTCAGATCCATCCATCTTGCCACAACTGTGACCTGATGCCACCACCACCATGTTTAACTGTGAGTTACCATAGCTATTATACCCAATTAATACTTTCCTTGTTCAAACTGTTTCTGTTAGTGGATGGAGATGAATTGATAAGTTTGAACTCTTGCTGTATAACAATTTTCAGATAATGGATTGAACAGTGATCAGTGAGCTGTTTAAAGCTTCATCTATTGTTTTTCACCATTTCAAACTTTCACCCCAGAACCTGTCCAATGTTTTACTTGGTCTTAATGATACTATTTGAACTATAATATTCTTAAAAAATATTTGATAACTTGATAAAACAGCTGTATTTATGCTGATATTAAGGTGTAATTAATTACAAGTGAGTTCTAAAGACTATAGTTTAAATTGAGTGTATTAAAGAGAATGGATATGCCTCACTTTTCAGTGTTTTTTTTTAAGGTTCCAAATGCATACTGACTTACCATTATGCTCTAATGTGTCTATTTTCTGCATAGCAACTTTAAGCTTTCCAAATGTAGGTGGTGATATAAAAAGCTTTTTATTTGTCTTAAGGTGTTTTAGGATTCAGAATGATGTTTAGAAGTGGTATACATAAGGATATGATAAAAAAAATAGTATGCATTGAGTCTATTCAAAATAAAAAATACACATGTTACACATGTTTCTTTCTTGCTTTTTTTTGTATTTCATCTTGGCATCGCATGCTCCGATCTCAAAGAAGAGAACATTCTGGAAAGTTAAAAGATGTTTTAGATATTATCTTTTACATGAGTTACATGCAGTGCAAAAACGTACATTCTTTTTTTTAGTTTTTTTATTTATTTATTTTGGTTTATAGTGTTGATACTGCTGCAGTCAGTTGTTTAACATCATTGCTGATGTGATTTCTTATTCAATAACACTGTATGAACAGAGAGCAAAATTAATTGGAGCTGATATTTGTCCAAGGCTGTCCTTTGAGACAGTGACTTCTGTCAACTACATCAGTATACCTTCCAATTGGGAGCATGCATAATTCAATTAAATTTATATAGGATGGAGTTCATCTTTATTTGTGATATAGGTTTGATTTTTAAGAAATTATGATGATACCCTGCAAATATCCTATGATTATCAGATAAATCTATATTCAGGGACCGGATTTATATTTGTTCTTCTCACTGTCCTATAATTAAAAACTAAACACTAAATACAATGTACACTCACTTTATCCCAGGATTGTTTAAATAGGACAACATAGGAAAAAAAAGGGGGTTGTGCACACATGACCAAAAAAAGCATCCATGCCCAGAGCAAAGCAAATGCCCAACAGAGGAACAGCATAAAAATAAATGGATTTAGTAAGAAACAGGTAGCATTGCTTATGTATAAATATATTTATTAAAACCTACTTGAAAACAACAGAGTTGATGTCCGTCTTCCTCTTGTGGATCCCTAAAGTCCGAAATCATGAAAAAAAATCTCTTGGTTTACAAAAACTTGTGCAGTTTTTGAATAATATATATAAAAAAAACAAACTATTATTAAAATCTTCCTATTTAATCTGTGGTGGAAACATGAAACCGGTCCGGTAAGCAGATCCGGACACACGCGCGCGCACACAAACGATTATCATCAGTCTCCACGCAGCCACATCAGTATGGCTCAGCCTGCCGGAGATGTTACGTCACGACTGCTATGGCCAATGAGAAGACAGAAGAAGGTCTGCTCCTAAAGTATCCAGGACACAAGGTAGGATAAACGGCAGAGCCATTGCTGTACTGTTCAAATCATTTTAATTGGCTCCGTTTTTCGTCATTAATGTATAATTCTGTCATTGTGGTTGTTCTCTGAGTGAGCCTCAAACATTTACAATTTTTTTTAACCATTTTTAAGCTGATAATCTCAATAAGTTAATTAATCATTTATTCCTTAATTTCATCGCATCTCACCATGATGTTTATCTTTTGAAGATTTTTCAGTTTCCTTAGTTTTGTCAGGCATCTCCTATTTAAGTGCTTTTAAGTTTTTACTTGTGTTACATTTAAAAATACCAAAATGTGACAAACAAGCAAAAAAAGAAACAAAAAATATTCCCATTACTGTATTATTTTATAGAAAGTGTAAACATGTAAGAAAGAGCTAAAATGGGAACATAAAAACAAAAAATAAATTCATATATATAGGAATTTAGAATAAAGCTAACGATAACAACAATAAAATTGTTTAACAGCACCAGAGGTAATCATAGTAATCGTGTAAATAGATCCTTATTTTTCTTTATTGACACAGGGTTCCCTCTGCTGGTAAAAGGGTTAAAGAGAAGAAGCTGCACACACTAGCAGTAAAATTTCAGATGCATTGATACCATTTTAAAAAACCACTAGAAGACTTCCAAGCAGAGGTGTCAACTAATGAAGTACAAATATTTCGTTACTGTTCTTAAGTACACTTTTTAGGCATCTATACTTTACTCAATTAATTATTTATCTTCCTATTTCTGACTTCTACTCATTACATTTTCACACAAGTATCTGTACTTTCTATTCCTTACATTTTTTAAAACAAATGTTACTCGTTACTCTTGGCTTCGGTTTAATGTTTCTAAATATTTATTTCACGTCATGTTCGCCATCCAATGCAGATCATTGGTGCCATCCACATCTAGTGAAAACCAGTGTAATTGGATGGGTCATATAATGCAAACACTCATTGGTTAGCTAAAGGAAATTATCAGAAGCAAGCAGGTGTTCTTCAAATTGCAAATGTGAATTGTCTATGCCATGCTACAATATGGATTAAGAAAAATATGCTGAAATGTCTGAAAGGTCGAACACAGGCGAGAGCGCATCAGGAGATGGAGACCAACAAGACCTCCCTCATCCTCGGCCCTATGTCAAAGAATTTTTTTGAAAAAGTCAAAAAATTTAGCTTTCAATTCATATAGTGGCATCTGGTTGTTTTTTTAAAGGTTACTTTATACTTGTATACTTTAGAAGTTTTTGGAGCACATACCTTTTCACTTTTACTTGAGGAAAGAGTTGATATTTCAACTTTTACCAGAGTGTTTTTTAACTGCAGTATCTATACACCACTGCTTCCAAGTATCCATGTCCGTCAAACAAACTCTCTGAATGTATCTTTACTACGATGACCCTTCTATGTAAGTCTTCTCTTTATGTTTTCCTTAAAAAAAATGTATATTACAATACTTTGTGTATTATGTCTACATTGCTTTTAATGTAGCTGACCCCTGCAGCAACTCTACCAAGAATCACCGTCCTACTTTAATCAATCGCACAAAGAATAAAGACAGTTCTGAAGCCAAAAGAGACATCAAATAACATGATCAGTGAGTGTATGAAATGTCTTTGATATTGATACATTTTCAGTTCTTGTAATATGCCACGAAATTGAAATGTTTTAAATATGGTATAAGCAGAAGAGTTGTTCAAACTATTATCCATCCATCCATCCATCTTCCTCCGCTTATCCGGGGTCGGGTCGCAGGGGCAGCAGCTTAAGAAGGGAGGCCCAGACTTCCCTCTCCCCAGCCACTTCTTCCAGCACTTCAGGAGGAACCCCAAGGCGTTCCCAGGCCAGCCGAGAAACATAGTCTCTCCAGCGTATCCTGGGTCTTCCCCGGGGCCTCCTCCCGGTGGGACGTGCCCGGAACACCTCACCAGGGAGGCGTCCAGGAGGCATCCTGACCAGATGCCCGAGCCACCTCAACTGGCTCCTCTCGACGTGGAGGAGCAGCGGCTCTACTCCGAGTACCTCCCGGATGACCGAGCTTATCACCCTATCTCTAAGGGAGAGCTCAGCCACCCTACGGAGGAGACCCATTTCGGCCGCTTGTATCCGCGATCTCGTTCTTTCGGTCATGACCCAGAGTTCATGACCATAGATGAGGGTAGGAACGTAGATCGATCGGTAAATCGAGAGCTTCGCTTTTTGACTCAGCTCTCTCTTCACCACGACGGACCGGTACAGCGCCCGCTTCACGGCAGACGCTGCACCAATCCGCCTGTCGATCTCCCGCTCCCTTCAAACTACTAGCAAAGACAAATGTTGCTTGTGAGGTTTGTTCTGTTTGATCTAAGATAGATTCTGACCGTCACTCATTTTCAAATGATAGTTTGAGTTTCTAAGTTATTTTCTCACATATGGGCAACTTTAATGCACATTTATTTATGCAAACATTGTGTGAATATTTACGAGACGAGTTCAGTTTGTATTACAGAGGGATTCATGAGCAAAATAGATTTTTATGTAAAAACTGCAAATGCATTTAGATGACGACCATATTTGGTTGCCTAAAAAGAAACTGTCAAACAGATCAACAAATAAAAACTATATGTATACCAAAGAACAATTTGCATGTTCTTTTCCATTTAAAGGCGGTAAGAGATGTGAGGGATATTTTACAATGCTGTAAAATTGAAAGGCAAAGAAGATATGGGCAATACAAGCTCTTGAAAAAAGTAGAGTGTATTTGAATATTTACAATGTTACAAAAAGTACAAATAAATACATCAGACTAACATGTACCAATGAACTCAGAGCTCACAGACTGTGGAAGAACGTTTGTATTTTCTTATCAAACATACATTCAGATTACACAACTTGTCCAGTGATGAGGCTGACACGTGGAAGATGGTTTTACAGCTTTGTTTTTCTTTCTGTGGCTAAAGTTCCTCCAGAGGGGCATAAAGGGTATTGAAAAAATAAAAAAAAGGAATCCCTCAAATCTTTCAGTAGAAGGGAAATTTCACACAGTTTGGTCCATTTGTTTCAGAGTTGTGTTTCTGGTTCTTTTGCAGAGATGGAGTGTCAAAAGGAACATTTGTTTCTCCTGCAAAGATAAGGACAGACTTAATTACAGCATTAGGATTCTGATTGCACCATGCAAAATGCATGTGAACAAGTAATTCAAGCTTTACACAAATCTGATCACGCAGAGATGCTTAAATGGCAGAAATAATATTTTTTTCAGGTAAAATGAGTTTTAAAAACAGGTGGAAGTGGAACAGGTATATCAACACATTCTGGATGATCAGATGCCATGAAAACAAAACCTATTGCAGTAGAGAATTCATGAATGAAAGAATTCAGTTTTACCTGCAGTGTTTCGTACCACACTCTGAAGGATCTCTGCAGCTCGCTCCAACAGGTTTCATACTGTTCCAACGCCACAGCAGTGATCGTTTTGTCCTCTGGATCAAGCCATTCCAGTCGTCAGGAACAGGTAGTGCATTGACCTGCAAAAGTAAATATTAGACCCTTCAGAATTTTTTTTTTATTGATACAGGTTACAAATTGTTAATTTATAACTTAAAAACTGTAAAAATGGTCTCAACTAACCTGAGTCAGACATATAAGGGATAGAAAAACAGAGAGGATAATGATCTTTTCCTGAAGCGTCCTCATGCTGTTTTCAGGTGAAGCTTGTAGATACTCTTATCCAGGCTTGCTGTGCGGTTCCTCGCTCCTTGTATTAAAGGCCTTCATTTGGTTGGGGAGGAGTTAACCTCTAATTCATTCAATACATCTGTCACTGTAAAGGTGGATGTTTGGCAGAACCAATTGCCTGAGTCAAAATCAGGGTTGGAAATCTCTTGCTGAGTACTTATCAGTTTTATAATGACAGCCAAAGTCAAGGTTTATCTGGAGGTATCCAAAGTACACTTTAATCTGGTAATGTAGGACAGGTCCACGTCAGAGGTATCATTGAAGGCGTCGTACAGGTTCTGATAAGTGGATGTTCTGTAAAATGTATAGATACTTTTAAATAGTTATGTTAGCTTAGCTTAACATGGATGAAAGAAGTATGAGAAAACTGCAAACACACAGCAACACAGAATGCAGTGTGCAAACTGTAAAAAAAAAAACAGCTTCTCTCAAAGTACTTTATGAGTATCTTTTAAGGACCACAGATGTTATCAAAACTTCATATTCAGCATTGAGGGTAACATTCTCTCGCTTATGTCTAAAGATCGAATATAATTATAAGAAAGTATTTTCTGTATTAGCTGTATAATCATCCAAACTCTGCTTATGATCGCCTGGTTAGATGACCCTGCTCAAAGCTGGGCAGAGCTGTTTTCTGACAAAGGCAAGAAAATAACAATAATCACAAATGTTTTTTTCACATCTGATTTAAGAAGTTCATTTTGTTTAGATTGATTTGGATAACCGCCTTTGTGAAACTCCTGAATAGATTTTCTGTTTTTCTTAACATATGGAATGAATCCATCGTCCATCAATTATTTTTCTTTAAGCATTTTTTGATGTGAAATTTTAATCAACATCCACTGCGTGATCCTACAGCTGGACTAAAGGCTGTTTGTGCCTATATTTCTCAACCAATAAAGCCAAGAGATGGGAGTGTGGGAAGCCTTCAAGGGATTTTGTGGGTTCTTTGTGAAAGCCAACAGCCTGATCCTGCTGGATCAAGTAGGTAATCTCTTTGTTCTACAGCTGCACTTCTGATATGGGAAAGTGATGGTTCAATCTTGGCAAACCTTTTTTATTTTAATAAACTTTTGAGCATTTTTAAAGATAGGAGAAAGATAGCTTTGCTTCTTCACATTTAAAATAATGATTGTTCAATGATAAGTCAAATAATTTATCCCTAAAATAGATTTAATAGACTGACTGATTTATGAATGTATATAGTTTAATTGAGCTTTTCAACATAATCCTAGCTTAATTAAAAAAGAAAGTCAATTTCCTTTTATCAGTAACAAATAACACAGCTATCCATTTGAATACAAAAGTAACCTAAAACGTCAGTATCCAACAGCTTATACAAGGTTCTTAAGACATCTAATCAAGTTCGCCTCTAATTATCTCTAATGACTATATCATCCAGGTTGTTACCTTATTCTCACTAATTGAACAAACAGTTGGGATTTAGGTAAAAACAAAGTAAATAATGTTTGAATCACACATAATTTATTGGTTGTGACAGATGACAAGACAAAGTGAGCAATACAAATGGAACCATTTCTGTGAATTTTAGCATTGATTACACATTATGTTTAGACCATTAAGTAGTGGTGTAAAGACCCTTGACAAAGCAAGAAACATCAACAGTATTTGTCAGGTAACAGTAAATGGTCTAACTTATATCAGAAAAGTGCACAATAATTTTGTTGTGGGCAGTGTTAAAATGGACCAAGCTGTCTTTTGGCAAATAAGCCACTTTTAAAACCTCAACCCAGCTGGACAACAGTTATTTTCTCAAGCAACTTAGGCCCCGTCCACACAAATTTTTCACCAAACCAGCCTCTCATCCACACGAAACCGGCGTTTCGGGGGTCTGTAAACGATCTTTTTTTTAATTCAGCCTTCAGAGTGGGAAGATTTCACAACGCCGTTTTCGCGTTTCCATCTTTACGCTCTAACCGCATATTTTTTTTTTACACGCATGCGTCATAGCGTCGCCTCTAAACACGCATGCGCGACACAGTATCACAACAACAATGGCGCCGTTGCTGCTAATGCTACTCACCCTGCTGTCGGGCTTACAACAGAATCTTCTTCTTCTGGAATATCTCCAGGAAGAACAGAGCAATATCGACGACATAGTTCAGCACCTGAATTTGACTTAACCACGAAAATGGACCCGCAGGGCAACCATGTATTAATATTAGTGCGCATGCCCAACATTTCGTCGCTTATTTTTGCTTTGGCACCACAGCGCCACTTACAGGCCTGGCATACATTTTGCAGCGTTTTCATGCATTCGTGTGGACGCTCACATTTATTTTACGTCTCCGTCTTTACAGCAAACGTTTTGGAAAATATCAGCGTTTCGTTTTGACTTCGTGTGGACGGGGCCTTACATTTCCTAATAGAAAAAAAACAAACTAAAATGCATGTTATGACACATCCATAAAACTCAATGCACACTCCTTTTTAGCAATATCCAGAAGCATCATTAAAACAAAAACAAAAAAGAAGTGTTGAATTGGGCAGGTAAAAAAAAAAAAAAAACATTTTTTGTTTTCTGTTCCTACAAAAACCGTCACAGCAGGTAAAACCTATCCCTTAATCCTTAGGAAGCAATACTGTTTATGTGTTATGTCATATACTTTAGGCCAGTCCCATTTCAGCCCCATATCCCTACTTTTCACCCTACTTCTAAATGTTTTGTGTTCCTTTGAGGGTAGGGATGTCCCAACTCCTCTTGGCATGTAGGGGTAGTGGACATAAGAGGGGTACGTAGGGTGAATGAATCTAGCCCTTCAGAGCGAGGGATCTCAAATGCTGGCAAGGGACAGCTCAACAGGGAGTAAAGAGATTCTACGGAGCGACAATTTTTTTTTTTTACTTTTAAAAGCCAAACAAAGCTGTCGGCATCCCTGGGTTCAACAGATTCTCCCAGACAACAGAGGGAAGATAAGACGGCATGCTTGAGCTAAGGCAGGAGTAACAGGAAATCAGTGCGAGATCACTGGCAGAGAGAAGACTAGAACCAATACGAGGTGGCCAGCCGTGCGCCCCTCTGGAGCTAAGGAACAACAGCGGGAAATCGTGGAGGAGAGTGGTAGATCGGAGAAGCCCGCTGGGCAGACAACGCACCAGAGGGGTTGAGATGCGGCAGTTAACGGGTGTTTGCATTGGAAGTAGGATGATGAAACAGTTCTTCTAAGACTAATTTAAAACAGCTTTTTTAAAAGCTACTCACAAACCTCTTAAGAGCGTTTCCCACTTGATCCTTAGTCAACATTATTTGATTTTTTATTTTTTATCTTCCATTTTATTAAAAAACTTTTTTTCCGCTCTCTCATGGTTGGACGTATCTTCCGCATGTGCATATGTAAATACGCAGTTGCTTAGTTACCCGAACACGAAACATGTAACGAGGGGTGTCCCAATTCCTACAAAGCCCTATGCCTTGTGGCTTCAATTCAAAGTTGTAATAGTAGTGGGTGTGGGCTAGTAGTAGTGAATAAAGGCTAGTGGTTGTAAGTAGAGAGAACATTGGGATTGGGCCTTTGTCAGGATCAAGTTATGTAGAATGCCATTGTTTTCAAACAACTGAATCCCCATTACATTACAACTCTAAAAGGCAAGAAACTCGCAGATCCAATCATCAAATAGTCATTGAGTAAACTATAAATACCCTTTGAGGCTCTCTCAAATAAAAACATTTAGTCTATACAAACCATACATACACCATTAAACATTATTTCAATGGTCATTGTATTTGCATATCCTTTTTGTACACAAAACCTTAAAACAGATTTTCTTTTCCCTAAAAAAAAAGGTATAGGAGTGAGTTGATTAGTAGAGACATGAAGGTAACAGTTTCATGCACAGCTTAAAGCATATTTTACGTAGAGATCAGCAATGTCAGTTTGTTTTTATTTTTTAACTAAAGAATTACAATTAGCTTTAATACTTTAAGATTGTACTTGGTTTCATTGAAAATCCCATATTTAGTTGTTAAAAAGGTAAGACTTATAAAAAAAAATGAAATGTCAGCAACAATACAGCAAACTTAAATGCTCGTTACAGACGCATAGGTTTCCCGAAGCCTTTGAATTAAAATATTAAAAAGAAAACGCATAGGTTATGAGTGGTGACCTCCAGATTAAAAAAAAAATGGCGTTTTTGGCAACACCACTCTTCTCATCACATATTTTGTTTAGTGCTAGGATGAGAGCAAGGGCTGACGTTCTGCTGCAGAGCTCTGAAAAACAGCAAACATTACAGTGTTTATTAGCAAACAACACATTTTAACATAAAAAAAAATACTTAGTCAACATTTTCTGAATACCATTTGTTCATTATTTCCAAATTAGCTTAACTTCATTGAAAAACTTTATTTGGTCCTCAGTTAAATGTTTAAATGTGGAAATTAAATGTTTTAAATTAATTAAAATCTGAGATACAAATATCTGCATAACAACATATACTCAAGTGTGAGCAGGACCTACTGAAACAGGATTACCTTTTCCAAATTAATAATCTATTCTTTCATGTAAATAAGGAAAACAAAAGCCAGTGTGTTAGCTCATGTGATGTTCCCTTTCGTGATCGTTCTGTGGTGCATGCCCACCTCTGGGAGTTTCTGTCGACACATCAAAAACATAAAGATTCCTCCCAGGATGATGCCCACTCCAATCAGCATGAAGGGAATGTTCTCCACGACGTTCTTCTGAACAGCAATCACCTGCAGCTTCTTGGCTGATGCATCGTCAATAAGAACGCTCTGGAGGTCAGGTAAAGGAAATCAACAGAAAGCTTTACAGTTCCACTAACAATACATAAATAATCCATATAACTAATTCAATAAATACAGTTAACTTTACATAAAGCAAAAAGCAATTTTAAGTCAACTCAAAATTAAAAATAACCTAAATTAAAATATTACATTTTTGTCAAGATGTATAAAAAACAGATAACTCAAATTTTTTTAATGGGTACTAATGAGGTTTAAATTCTTTAAAGCAACAGTTTAACCTTTTGACCCCAGTAGTAGCTTAATTTGAGATTTATTAAATTATTTTTCAGGTCAATATACAGCACCTGGTGCCAATTCTCTTCTCAGATACATCCTTTTGTAACATTAGAGGGTCAGATCCATAGCTAAATGAGTAATGTGACAGAATGGATGCTGAATTAGTGGATCTTTACAGCAGTCTGAGCTCCCCTTTAACACAAGAGCTAACTACACTAAAAGGATATAATCTAGAGCCCGTGTTTTCACTAAGACTAAGAAAGTAGAGCACCTGTTCTAAAGTCCTTATACTGGCTCCCTGTATCTCAGAGAATAAACTTTAAAATACTTCTGTTAGTCTATAAAGGTCTGAATGGCGTAGCACCTAAATACATCACAGACTTGCTATCAGTGTATGAACCCTCCAGACCACTCAGGTCTTCTGGGTCCAGCCTGCTCTGCATACCTAGAACCAGATGGAGAAGCAGCATTTAGTTCCTATGCTCCACTTATGTGGAACAAACTTCCAGAAAACTGTAAAAAGTGCAGAAGCCTGAGTTCCTTTAAATCAAGACTAAAAACACATTTGTTTAGGATTGCATTCGACTGTTAAACAGTTCAACTGGAACATCATTAGTTCAACTTTTTTATTTTCTTTAGTCCAAATGTTTTTAATGTTCTTTTTTGTTTCTGCATTTTTATTTTATTTTTTTTCCTACTTGCTTTGATTCAGTTTTATTTTCTTTTATTTTAATCATGTAAAGCACTTTGCATTGTCTTTGTACTGAATTGTGCTATACAAATAAATTTGCCTTGCCTTGCCTAGAGCTGTGAATGTGACGGTGTCTTTAAGTAACTACATGACCTCTCAATCTGCTAGTCTTAAAGTTTCTGCTTTCATTTCCCAAAACATAAAGTGTGACTGTTTGATTGGCAACACTGCAATGTTGCAAATGAGCTAATGGGGGTTAAACCTGGAAGTTACAGGTCAAGTGCCACCTGGTGGCTAACTGTAACACAGCATTGCTTTAAAGTTTGCTCATCTGGTTGTAAATTAAAAATAAATATTTTCTGACCTAAAGAGATTACTGTTTAATTGTTAAAGTTTATTCTTTCATCACTACTTTACCTTGTAGCAAGTTAACCTTAAAATTAAATTTAAATTTAGTTACCTCACGTTGGCCTTAACAGAAGTTAAATTATTGAAGTAATAATCACACTAGCAACTTTTTTTATATTTGATTATTCTATGGAATAAAAAAGTGAAAAAATCCAGTTAACATTTAATTTCTTTAATAAATCCCATCACAAATTACACTGATAACACCATTAATATTATATGTAAGACTAATATTAACAATTAAGCAAAAAACAAGAAAAAATGTAAATAAAACTGAAAAGCAACAAAACAAACGAAAACTAGAAAATAGAGGTCGTTTACTTTGAATATTGCCTGAAATTAGTATGAATCAAATTTGATTAGTTTTTACCTCATTAAGATACACCACAGGGAGGATCACTGTCGGCACATTCTCTGTTTGCCTGAAAGGAAACCAAAAAAAGAGCCAATGTTTCTTGTTTCTGACTGCAATAATGTCCAAAGATAGTTATGTTTACATATTTTACAATATAAGCCGATTTAGCTTCCATGTTTTAAGGAGAAAAAAGTAAAAAAAAAAATAATCCATTAAGTCAAAATGCAACAAAGAGGCAAAGGCTGTCAAACAATTAAAACATCAGAATATGGAAGTTAAATTAGTTTACAATTTGAGTTCATATATGGAGATTCAATATTTCTAATAAGAGGAGAGAAGTCAGGTTAAACTAAAGATATTTTAATGCATACTCCCTTGTCTGCCAATGACTGTGTCCCCAAAACACTTCTGTTAGCAAGCCCTGCAGGCGGCAGTGATCAGAAGCAGCCAAGCTTTCTTATAACATGTTGTCTATGATTCATGCATTCATTTTAATCCTCGAAAATAAACAACTTTAAAATAATGCTACGCATGTTTTTGAAGTTTTTTTTTCACTTACAGAAATCAGAAAATATTAAGATAAATATATAAAAACTTAAGAATTTTGAATATTTATCTTAACAACCAAGTGATCAGAGGTATGAGGTGTTTCACGTACCTCTGATCATGTGCCTTCAGTCATGCAATGACTAAACAAAATCAGTTGAATTTTGTTTAGTCATTGCATGCATGTGCATCAACTAAACAGGGAACTAATGAAGTTATGCAAGTCAGCATGTTTCCAGGTATGAAAGAAGGAGGAAAAGTAAAAGTGCAAAAAATATATATTGGATAGAAAGAAGGATAAAAATACATTCAGGCCTCTGAGCCACATCTGGCCCGCAGTGGGATTATAGTTGGCCCATCAGATGGTTATAGATGTCTATTATAACTGACCTGATAATAGAAAGCGCATGCAGAGCTAATATTAAAAATTCTGAGCTGGTCTGTTGGTGTAAATCCACCAAGATTACACAACGTCTTTTTTCTATTGACAGTTTCTTGGCTGCTTTAGACCATGAGTTAAAGCTGGGCATCTAATCACAAAAATAATAAAAACCATAAGGACATTAGGATAATTTCATTCTGTTAATTTCATTCAAAATGTTGAAACTAAAGAAACAGGGAGCAAGATTAAAAAGATGTAAAAATGTCTGCCAAAATAAACCAGTGGCCAGACAGCTGGGCTAAAAACATTGCTTTGGTTTACCCAACCTTTTACCCAAAGTAAGGTAAGGACAGTGACCTAAAACTAAAAGGTTCTTTTCAGGACAGACTTTTTGTGATTCTATGAACATATACCACAGAAGCTAGTGTAACCGAAATACAAACAAGAAAACCAAAGAGCTTTACATTGCAAACGTAAGCCCTTCTTTTCTCTTTTAAATTGTATTAAAAGGTGAACTTTTTCCCTATCTCTTAAAATAAAATCTATATGAAACTTCTCCTTATGATGCACAAACAAAAAACAAAACACCAAGCTGGTGTTAGTCCTTTGTATTTTGGAGATAGCTTAAGCAGTAAGAATGACAAGAAAGAAGGAAAGTCAGATGTCATACATGCACAAACAACTGAGAAAGGTTCCTTCCAAAGGTCCTTAACAGAGGGATGATGGAAAATTTTTTATTTTTTTACTGGCAGACAGCCCCTCCCAGTTATGAATAATCATTCAGTTGTTGCTTTCATTTAAGGCCAATTGCCACAGTAAGATTTGTGAGTAACAACCTGTCAGCTCAACTTCCAGTGAGCTAATGCGTGACAAGCGACAGCTTAAGGAAGTGAGCTGATTACCTGAAGTCTGGAATTTTCTCCACATAGACGTTGATCTGGAGGCGTTTGGCGGCTCGTAGGATGATCCCAGTAAGCTGCAGAAAACAAAACCAAAACCTGTTAGCACAATGAAGACAGCCTTGTATCTCGTCTGTGTGTCTTAATTCACCTGCAAGGTTTGAGATGGAATTTTAGATCAAAATTCAAAAAAATATTTTTTAGAATCACATTCCTCTCTTCCATTAATATTTAACCAATAAACACACAAGTTACCCCATTGTTTGTTTCAGATATGTCTAAAATTAAACAACAGATGATGGATTGACAGACACATTAACAAATGAATGGAAGCAAAAAAAAAGATGGATACAACTTAAATGCAAATGGGACAAGAATTGTTTACTCTCGACGGATGTTTTTTTTCCATACAACTTTCTTTTTCCATATTTATCCTTATCTTAAAAATCTAGTTTCAATAGATTTCTGGTCTTTTATAAATTTTTCTGTCAGAACTCTTCCAGCTTAACATCTAAACATTTAAGCCTAATTACATTAATATTGACTATTTAAACCAACTACTACCATTTAAAGAAGAATAATGTTACTCTAAATTATAAGGTCAATGTCAGGCTTTAATAGCACAAGAAGAGTCTTTAAGACATACAATTTTAATCCGTATAATAAATCAAATTATATTTACAGCTGTTTTAATTTTGGTTATAGCACAGCTATAAGTAGGACTACAATAGGTTGCATTATATTCCTTACAAAACGCCATAAATGCAGCCGATGAGATCAGAATAGAAGAAGACAGTACAGCTACATAGCCAACTGGTAAAAATAAGTTGAAACTCAAACCAGCACCATTCTGATTAAATGTCAACCACCCTACGTGTTAAGCTGCAACACACTCAACTGTGCATTTCCTTATAGAAAAAGCATCTGCACAGATCTGAAGACGGTTGCACATTGATCATAGGTCTTTGCAAAGTCTCAGAGATCTTCCATGGCAACAAGTAGACTACAGGAAAACAGGATGGAGGTAAACCATAATTGGTTTACAGGGTTCAAACATACACTTAACGCTATAAAAGCTTACGTCACTGTTGGTTGCAGGTTTCCTTTGGATGATAATGCACTTTTTATTTTGGCAGATCTGAAAGCTTAGCACCAGTGCAGCAATGCAAAAATGAAATCCTTGTTGCAACCCTTAAAAAGCTGATTGAAAAAGGAAGCTATGACAGGCTTAAGGTTCAGGTTAACATTGGACAATTATTACAACATAGTATGATTGTGTAAACAGATAAAAGTTCATACTTTTTGAAAGGGTCACGCTTCTATTTTTAGAAGTCAAGGCTTCTATTTCAAGGACTGTTTGGAAATGTCCTTTACTAGCTTTGCAACAAAAAAAATGTTTGCAGAACTTTGCCTTTGTCTGTAAAAATAATTTCCTTCTAACAAATAAAATGTCAGAAAAAGAGAAAAATAAAACACATTACACTTTAAGGCAAAGAAAATTAGCTCTATTTAAGTTGTTTTAAAGGAATATACACTAAAGCTGCACATTGATGAGATTACAGGTGCTTACTGTTGTTAATCCATCTGCCACTTATCAATTATCCATGCCGAGATCAATCAGGTTATTATAGAGTGAAAAGATGATATCAGCTGTCAAAGCTTATCGTTGGAAGATTTCAGTACCTAGTACGTCTGTCTCCAGGCTCACCACAGACTAGCAGCGGTTAAAAATGAGATATTTCACCACCTAGTGGGATCATATTGTGCTGCAGACGTTACAAATCAATTAACATGATAATTAAATATGTTAAGGAATCAAAGGAACAATAATCAATAATGATAACTAAGCATTCAAATCGGAGCAACCCACCAAACACAAATGATGCTGAAGGTACTGTACTGTTGAGACAATCTGTGCTCTGCTTCTATTTCTGGCATCCTTGCTCGCAGGCTGCTGCTCTTTTGCCAACATAAAATACCAAATGCTTCGCTCTGTTTTGTAAACCTTTGGAACTCTCCTATGATTGGTTCAAGTACCAGGAAATAAATAAGGGCAACACACCATGCATCCAAATCGTTCTGGAATGTGCCTCTAGGTTTAAAAGAAGAAAAACCTCACTGTGACGCTGCTGATGGAGAGGATCGTTTGTTTACAGGGAATAATTACTTCCATCTTGGTTAATAAATGAGAATATTAAGGTGAATTATGCAGTAAATCTCTAATTTATTGCTCCTTTAATTTATTTAAATTCAATGAAATTAGGTTAAATCTTACTGGATTGATATCAATGGCAGTCTGATGCTCCTCCTTCTTAGGCCTCATGCCAAACACGTCCTTCACAAATTTCTCATCAGCCTGGTAGAAGTGTGGTGAGGACATGATGATGGGAGCTCCTAAGCACCAGCAAGATACAAATATGCAAGCAGATCATCGTTAGGGCAATTTCATTAACCACCAAGGCCAAAATATTAACCCCCTCATTTCCCACCTTGTTTACACATGCTGACATTGAGCAGGCCTGAGCCGAGGCAGTTACCGGCCGGCACACAGAAGCCCGTGTTGGCCGGGTTCACGGTCAGATTGGCAAAAACTTCGAAGGGGGGGGCAAAGCGATAGCCAGGGATCCCCTTTACAATCATATCATCGGTGTAGACTGCATACAAAGACCTTTAAAACAGAATCACATGCCGAGTATTCTTTGGAGGCAGAGATAATTGTTTAAAGCTGTAGCACAGAGGACCGAATGAGTTTATTTGGGCTTCCAGTAAATCGGCTTACCGCAAAACAAAACAGCTCTTACAGTTAGCGTTCAAAGGTTCACATTATCTTGGCACTTGTTCATTTTATAATCAGGCTAAGCAGGTAGAAGGCCTGTATACTGAACTTCCTCATATTTGTCTATTTACTGGAAAAGAGAGGTTACATAGATGCTTTATGTAGCACTGATTTTCAGTTACTTCAAAAACAATTCAAGCAACAGTAGTGTCCTTTATCCAATCTCTACATCAGGATAATGTTGCAGATAAAGCTTAGGGTGAAAAGAGTGAAATGTTCACTAAACGTCTTTAGCCAACAATTGGGTCAGAAGGTAGAGATATGCTGCATCAGCAAAATGGGTCGGAAGGGATAGCAGAAGTTACTTATTAAAATGCCTGGTTTTGCACAGTCACACATAGCTTTTTTCTTCACAACACAAAACTGTTTTATATTCTAAGATCCATGCTTGCCGTGGCAGCAGCTTACCTGCACAGGTCAGAGGAGAACATGTAGAGCACTTCGTTTTTACTGATGATTGGGTGGAAAGAAGCTCCGTTGGTTCCGTTGATCATATTGCACTCATCCGACGTCCACCAGTCCAACGAGCTGCATCCACAATCCAAACAATTACAATTGTTTTATTTTGTAATCGGAAACAGTTTTATATGCAATGAGACTGCCTGAGCTTCACAACTAAAATAGTAAACACAGAAAAAGTATCGTATAATTACTGAGAACTCTGGAAAGGAAGCGTAAACATATCCAAACCTAATCTCTTTAGCTACTTAAGCCATTGTGAAGCATAAAGGATGGTTGAGAATTGTGATGATTTGGGCTTTTTGGAACTTTGTTAAGAATTCAAATTACCATCAAGTATTTAACATGCCATAGCATGGCTGCTGAGAGGGCAGTGAAAATGGTTTAACCTTTGAGATCTTTGCAGAATTAGTTAACCACAAAAACAGTACTAGACGCAAAATTAGCAAACTGCTGATGCAAGTCACTCATATGACCCATTTCATTTAAAACAGTCTACAAAATTAGTGACGGATTAACAATAGAGACAATGGGGGGGGGGGGATTACACAAAGTGCTCTAAAAATAATAGATACTGATTCTGGGTTTATCGAAACCTGAGGGAGTAGATTACTTTACTGAGATACAAAACAAAAAAAGGCATCTACCTTTTCCCATTCCATGTGTCCACTCTTGCAAAGTCCTTATAGTTCTGCTGGCCAGTAAAGAACAAATATTCTCCATCGTCTGAACCATTGTTTTTATAGAAAAGTCCAAAATTGTCATCCAGATTAGGATCAACCACTTTGAGGGCTTTAAGCAGGCCGTCTTCATATCCCCACAGTAGCTCCGCCACAGTGTGGGTGGTGAACAGGCCAATTTCTTGGGAGAGCATGTAGGCAGAGATCAAGTTGGCTGCAACCTTATTATCCTTAAATCTTTCCATTACTGTCTATAAGGGAGAAAAATGCAGGTGAATCATCTTTTTCAGCAGAAGTAAAATAACAGGAGGTTTGTAAAACCCATAAAATCTTCTTTTATCTTAAATATTGAAAACATATCGAACTATTAATTGCTTATTAAAACATGTTTGTTCATTTGATATAAAAAAAACTTCTAAAAAGCTCAACAACAGCTAAAATAATAAGATTTTATTTAATTTCAAAGCTCTGAGAATCATGAATTGTATGGAATCAGTTACTATAACAGCCCCATGAAGCATGCTTAAACATAAGTTATTGTGTACATTCAACAATATTTAAGCTCTTTTAATAAAGATATATTCGTCTTTTGACTAAAAACCAAAAAGGTTTTAAAGTTTTTTTACAGTTAAATAAAATCTGCTAAACATTTCCTTTTTCTTTTTAACCTGTAATTTTTTTAATCAAAAGTTGATATTTTGCTCTTATTTAAAAAGAGAAAAAGTTACATAAACTAGAGAAACTTATATGTAACTGAATTACTGAAGAAATAAAATAGCTTCTTATTCTTTCGCTCACCATAGCAGGGATGTTAACTGTTCTGATGAGGTCACTTTCGGGACCTCTGGACATGTTGCGCTCAAAAAAGTAGGTTTTAGGGTTGACGGCTGCAACTCTAGTCCCATTACTCTGGAAGACCACCTCCTCCATGGGCCGGTGTTCTCTGTGCCAGGGGAAAATTAGACAATAATATACAGCTTGTAGTTCAAATTAAAGAAAAACAAGAACTATTATAATCAAATTATTTTTACACTCAAATAATTTCTTGTACATTTATTTCAATTTGAATTTGCACTTTTAAAATCATTAAAAGTACTGTAGAGCTGCAGGTACTGGATGAAATAACTGTTAACTGATGATTTTCTCACAGATGTTATGGCTGGTCATTTAAAAATGCCATCTGGGCTATGCAGCAATGGTTGTATAATATTTCTCAAAAACATCTTCCTTTTATCTCATATTCCCGCTGTTTCTGCCATTTTTTTAATGGATCTTTCTTTTAATATTCTATTTATTAGCCTCTAATGTAATAGTATTATCTTAACTTTCTTAGCTTTCTGCAACAATCTGTACTTACATAACCGTATGGAAGCATTTAATAATTGCACTTATTCACAAACTTTTACATAGGTATAAATTGGAAGGAAATGCTAAGTGTTTTTAAAACTATTCTCGATATAAAAGGATTTGAAATTTTCTTTTAATGCCCCCGAATCATAGTGATTATTATAGGGCTGCAACTAATTTTAATCCAATAGCAAAAGGATCCTTAAAATAGATTTTTTTACAGAATTAAAACAAGTGAAACTAAAACTTTTCCACTGCAGGAGCTCTGGGAAGAGGATATTAATGGACAATTAAAACAAAAAAATTCTAAATACTAAATATTTATATATTTCTTTGCAGTTTAAATGTAATTACTGCTCTAAGTGTGTTGCTCTGTCAGCTAAAGGCGTGTTTTAGAGTCTCTATACTCCAGTTTACGATTAATCAATTACTAAATCAATAACTAAATCATGATCAATCAAAATATTTGTTTCAGCCCTAGAAAGTTATATCAAAAAAGTTGAAGTAAATATAAGCTTCCTTGCTTATAAAAGATATCTTTTAAGACCAAACAGTCAGGTGGATTTTTATTTTCCTTTCTAGTAACCCAGTTGCACTTTGGAAAACAGTTTAGTTCCACCATTCATTTCTCATCAAGGAATTGGTACGTTTGCCCTGAGGCCTAACTGCAACCACCTGTAGAATTGTTTGTGCCCTGAGCTGCTTAGTCTGTTAAAAGAAAAAGAAACAAAAACAAAATAAGCGGTTCTGTTCTTCTTTTTGGTTTTAATGGTGGCGGGCAAACAATAGGGTGAATTACCACCAAAGCCCAATAAAGGGTGGGGACCAGGACAAACATGCTTGAGAAAAGACAAAACAATTACATTTAAAGTAATCCAGTTACCAAGAACAAAAAGCTTATATCATAAGTACTTTTCCTTAAAATAGTCTGCTCTTTTTACCTGTTCAAAACTCCTTATTAATTGTGTTCTTTCTCTTATGCATACAGATATAATCATACGCTCTGCCGTTTCCACAGAATTCACAAATTCTTGTTTCATGTTCACATATGAAATAAAATGTTGAATTAAAATCTTTAGGTTCAAAACCCAATCTACTATTTATTTTCTGTATTCTGTCCCTTTGAGTTCTCCCTTTAGCTTCTTTATATTCTGTAAAACAGTCTTCATTTGATCCTTTCTCCCCATTTTTCCTTGATCCTTATTTTAAATAATGCATTTCACCTTTTATTTCCAAATTTGGATTCCTATATCACAACCAGCCTTAGCAGGCGATGCTTTCTGCTATATCCTTTACTTTCACCCCTAAATGTGCAGCAACCCATCACTGTTCTGCAGCTGGCCTCTCACCTATATGTGTATGGCCCAATCTCCATCACAGCTGGCCTCTCCCCCTTCAGCACCTCCTCTGGGTTTGTCAGATTGAAGAAGTAAAACTGCATGTAGACTGGAGCAGGAGGATCTAGCCAAGCCTCAAAAGCATCTGTCCCATTTCTCAGGACTACTTCCTAAAGGGGACAAAAGGTTAAATAAGGGTTAAAGCATCTGACCTCGAATGATCAAGGTTGAATCATTTGCACATGATGAATTGTCTCCCATCACATGACAAAGAAACTGTGAAATTATCCTTTTATTCTGCAGAGGTGAGCATTTAATTATGATTGCAAAGGGAATAACTGTTTAACTGTATATAAATGTTTAGCTTGTTCATGACGTTGCAGCTATCCTCCATTTTTAACATGAATATTTTCCCTAATCAAAATTAGGACACAAAGTGTTTAATACATGTAGCTATAACGCAGCATTAGCTGCAACAACTCCAAATGTGGATTAATTATATAAACGCAGCACATGAATAGTCTAATGAACCTCCTCAGCTCAAAACAAATGGTGGAATAAAGAGATACATTCAGAATAATAAAATGTTGAGCTAACAAATAATCAGCTTACCGTTTTAACCAGCGACTGCATAAGATTTGGAAACACGTTGGATAAAACTAAAGCGATGCCGATGATCAGCATGAGCAAAGAAGACGCCCCGATGCTGTAGATAAAACATGGTTTCAGCGGCATTGTGAGGCAGCAGAAACTGTCTGAGCAGACAGAGGAGCTACTGACAGGGCTGTTTTTGTTTTGGTTCGGGGGTGAAAGCGTCCGTCCCAGGAAATTGTTCGATGGAGCAAAGAGTCACTTCCGGAGCGAAACAGATTCCTGTCACCATTTCCGGTTTCGTCAGCAATTTGCGGTTTCTTTAGATCGTTCAGCTGTAACGGTGCAATTTAAAGTGGCTCTATTCAGTTTGGTTAATGTTTTTTTTTGTTTTTGCTGCATCAAATATAAAGCGTGTAGAGTTTTAGTGGCATAAGATATGATAGAACTTTTAAAAGAAAATTTTAAAATATCCGCTTAACGCAAAAAAACACAACAGAGGATTAATATCTTGAGCATGATAACTCTTTCGAAACTTACATAAACCTTTATTCTTTGTTATCAAAATAGAATAGAATAGATAGAGTAGATTAGAATAGAATAGAGTAGATTAAAATAGAGTAGAATAGAATAGGATAGATAGAGTAGATTAGAATAGAATAGAATAGAATAGAATAGAATAGAATAGAATAGAATAGAATAGAATAGAACAGTTCAGCAGTCTGATGGCGGTGGGGAAAAATCTGATGCAGAATCTGCTGGACCTGCATTATATATTCAATGCAAATCTGGATGTACATATATATATATATATATATATATATATATATATATATATATATATATATATATATATATATATATATATATAGATAGATAGATAGATAGATAGATAGATAGATAGATAGATAGATAGATAGATAGATAGATAGATAGATAGATAGATAGATAGATAGATAGATAGATAGATAGACAGATAGATAGATATCTTATGACTTATACATACTTTTCCTTTTCCCCACTATCAAAAGTACAAGGAAAAAAATTTACTCTCTGCATTTAGCCCATCCCCTTGGGAAGCAGGTGGCTGCCATTGTGTGGTGGCCGGGGAGCAGCGTGGGGATAAGGGTCTTGGTCAGGGACCAGAGTAGCAGTATGCGAGAGTGGGGCTTGAGCTCAGAAGCTCTGGATTCCAAGCGAAATGCCCTAACCACTAGGCCGCCACTCCCTCCTCAATTGAGGAGATTCCAAGATATACAGCACCTTATGTACAGTAAAGTGGTGGCAGATAAAGGGCGGTTTCGGGTTTGTTAAATAGATAAATAGTAAAGGTTATTAAAGTGGTATTACATCTGGTTATAGTGAATGTGAACAAATGTGAACCTATATGTTGGTGTTTATCTGTTCTATATGTCGTATATGTGAGTAGTATAATATACCCACTCACACATTAAGGATTTGATGACTGCATATTTTATAGAAAACTACTGCACACTGTAATCTAAAGCTGTAAAAAAAAAAAATTAGCTTTAATTTTCAAAAAAAAAAAAAAATGGAACAAAAAAATCAAATCAATATTTTATTTAATCTGTAAAAACATGGACCATTTACTTTTTTAATGCATGGTTGTGTTTTTCATCTTGCATACAAAACTTCCAGTATTTAATTTAATTTTCTTTGTTTTTAAACTAAAATGTCTTATTTCAAATTAACAAAACATTTGATCCCAATTTAACTCCAGAGACTTCTTCTCAACCACTGATAAATTCCTGATACTAGAAAGCAGACTTGCTTCACCCGTCTCAGCCCTGAGCTGTGGATGTCTGCAGTTCCCCAGATTTTCTTCCTGTTAAAAAGGAGTTTTTCCTCTCCACTGTCACTACAAGGATGCTTAGTGTGAGGGACTGTCTTCGAGTGAATGAGTTAATACATTCACCAGTTTTCCTTAGATAGAAAACTTTGAATCAACTTGACAGTATGATCTGGTTGAATAGTAAAGTGCCTTGAGATGACATGTGTTGTGAATTTTCGCTATGTAAATAAACTGAATCAAATTGACTTGCACTCATGACCAAGCCTGTTAGTTCAGCCGGATGGCTTAATGGTCAAGTCTTGTTTCATTTGAAGTTGTGTCAAGCTTTCTAGTTTTAAATAAAATCTAGGGCAAGGCAGTCTTGGATGCAGGAGACTGCCCTGGAAATGGAGGGTTGTCGGTTCAAGCTCCAGCTTTCAGTGTCGTTGTGTCCTCTGGCAAGACACTTCACCTGCATTGCCTTGATGGTGGGTTAGGGTGACTGTTCAGCCACTGTTCAGCAGCCTAGCTTCTATCAGTGAGCCCAATGGCAGCTGTGGCTACAATGTAGCTTGCCACCATCAGTGTGTGAGTGATGTGTGCATGCTGGGCTCTGGTCATTCTCCTGACTTGAGTAAAAAAAAAAAGTACAGGCAATTTATCATTGAAATAATGAATTGGGCAGAGTTCTTTGAAACATTTTAAGGTTGTCATGCTATTAAAAACAAAACACTTCGAAACCTTATCTCTCTGTGACTCCTAAGGTGGTGTGTTCCACAGCATTTTTTTAGGGATTATTAGTTTTACAACTTTTAGTTTTTTAAAAACTTAAAAAACAATATATTTTGTGTTGGTCTACATGAAAAAAATCTATAAAACGCTTTAATGTGTTGGGTACAATAAGGTGAAAAAATTAAGTAATTTCCCCTAATTTCAAGGTATTACTGTATTTGCTGTATCAAAACTATGTTTACTCAATGCTTAGACATAATACACCGCATTTTTCCTCTATTTTTCTTTACAAACATTTGTTGTCAGGGCAACATAAATGAGCAGGGAAAAATAAACCTAACTTCATAATAAAAGCATAAAAAGCCACTCAACCTAAAGTTAAATAATAGTGTTAAGATGTACTTCCACTAGATGGCGATGTCGAACTGCTTTCTCAAAAGCTTTCTATTTAGTTTTAGTTTGGCAGTTTGCATAACTTACTGAAATTAATGTGGTTATTGAGTCAAGGTTTACATTGAAACTGATCCCAAAAAAGATGAACAAAGAGTGAGAAACGGTGTTTCAGTCTGACATAGACTTTTACTAATTTTAACAAGAAAGTGTTTAGCTTATTTTTTATATACAAATTGTAAAATAGGTTAAAAGTCAACCACACACCGTTTACAGACATTTGTTATATTTCTCCCGTGTTCTCTGGTGTTATTTTTGTTGTAATATTTAGATAATGAGTAACCAAGGAAACATTATCTCATCTTTCCACATACCCTTTGCTGACAAACACGTTTGTGCTTGCATTATTAAGTTCCATTGCACTTGTGTGTCAACACATTGGGTTTAATTCATAAAGATATGTTCGAAGGGCAAAGTTTTAGACTTACATGTTCAGACATGGAGCGCTGCAAAGCTAAATCAATATAATTTATCTTCTTTCTCAAGGCTCATTTGGGCAGGTATCACTTTGTGATCAAAGAATTAAGATAATTAATTAATAATAGAATGTTTTTTTATGGAGAAATTACTGTAAAAACAATCTCAGGGAATTTTACATGAAAATAAAGAATTTCAAACGTGGTGACATTTTTTCAGTTAGTTTTAAGTCAGATGTAATCTAAAAGCAAAGAGCACAACTGAAAGGAAGTTGATCAAATCAAATTGAGGCCAGTCAATAAAAAGATAACAGTCTAACCTATAAAGAAATAATCAGATTGGACATAATTTATCTTATTTATTCCTTCATTCTAGGCAAGCACCTTGCAACAAATGTTGAGAATCCACTTTTTCTCAAGAGAATGAAATCTTCTATTCCTAACTTGGTTAAATTAAACCGTGATGAAATTTACCTGCCCCAAATGATTAATCTCTGACATTAATTAATAATTTTCTTTCTTTTTAATGTTTTTCATTCATTATTTTATCCTGCATGTATCATTTGACCTGCTTTTGTTTTTGTACTGTTCAGCATAAATAAGTTTTACAGCTAATTGGAATTCAATAAAGCAAAAGAAATGCTTCAAATTAAAATGTATAAATTGAGACTTTGTTTATCTTTGCTTTAATTCATTTCATTGCATCCCATATCTCCCACTTCCACCCTGCTCACCATCCCTATAAGAAGACAGCATAATAACTGATCTAGTCACCCATTGTTTGATTGTGGAGAACCCACGGCTTGACAGGACAGGAAATACACAGATAGTTATGCTTTTGGCTATAGCTACATAGAAGTGGTGGTTCTAGACCAATTTCACCACAGGGGCCTGGGTGGGTCTTTTTTCTTTTGCAATTTTTTCTTATGGAGGCAAAGGAATACAACAAAAAGTACAGGGAAACAGTTCATTATTTTAAAATAACAAAAGAGCCAAAAATCCAATCACAGCGCTTGGTTCCCAGCCCACAGCTGAAGCTAAATGAATGCCTTAATTTTTAAAATCATTATTAAGCTATGAAATTAAAAATTAAACAAAACGACATTTATGACCAATTATTTAAAGCTTCTGTGCCAAAGCATATTATCATATAAAGATGATTTGGTATTATGTCTGAGCTGCTTTGCAAGGAGAAATAGGCAAATGTTTCCCTCTCTCTGGAAGAGTCATATCCTGACAAACTTTGAGATGTAATTGTATAGCAAAGTATCCTGTCTGCGTGTTTGTTTGTTTATTTAAAAAAAAAAAAAATTTAAGATGATAAAAAATCTTTACTTTTCAGGTTTATGCCCTACATTGTGGTATTCTATGAAACAAGACGTTTTTGTAATTCATCATAGTTAAAGGTTGTACTGTAATGCTTTTAAATAAAGAAAAGTTAGAATACTTTTAAACGGGAATGCATGTTTGTATCTTAGAATAGAATAGATTTCTGATTCAACTGTGTTTAACCCTTTATAGGGCAAGCTATCATTTCTGATCACTTGCATACCCCTTACAAATGGAGTCCCCTCTGCCATCAGTGAGGTCTAGAGGAAAAAAGATCTATATCCAGCCATTCAGCAAAGATACTGATACAGTGCTTTTAATCTTATTTTAGGATTTGACCAATTAAATGAGCCCTTGAAAGTCAAGAAAAAATTGTAAAAAGTTAAAAAGTCAAGAAAAAAAGGTAAAAAGCTAATTGAAAAGTTAAAAACTTAATAAGCCTGGTTAACAATTATATTTAGGTTTATAAACTAAAAAAATGTAAGTGCCAGTATCAGCATTAATGCCCCTAAGTACCAAAACAAGTGTTTCTTTCACACTCAGATTGTTTTTCATGAATCTTATTTTTTTCTTAACATATTCAGGGAAGTTGACGTTTCTTCTTTTAAAATTGACATTTATTTTTGCCATCAAAATATTACAAAGGTAATAAGGTCTTGTTCTGGATTCCAGTAACACTATTGGCTTGAAAGGTGGATTTTCAAAGGATTTCACTGAGTGCCCTATAAAGGGTCAAGATATTTGAATGCGTAAAGAACTTAAAATTTGTAAAAGCAGTTAGGACATAACACTGTATCCTACTGCCATACAGGCCATAACCAGTTCTACAGGGTCACTGGCCCCTGGTGGCCCCTGTCTAAAATCACCCATCCTGCCAAAATTTGCAGGGTTAAATAATAAACCTTTCTGTCTCAGTGAAAATCATTTATTTTTGGCGGAATGCTCCTTTAACAATGAATGGAGCACAATGGAGAGCAGGGGCGTGACGTCACGCTCCTAAAACGGGCTCCAGGCTGAGGCAGCCTTTGAGTTCATTCCAGCCAGAGACCAGACGGAGTCCAGACCCAACTTTTACTGTTTGCTGGCTGAATCCAACCGCTGCTTCTCAATACACCGTTCGGCCTGACTTGTCTTCACCCCGGCTGGCTGTTTAGTTCAGAAGCTGATCAGTTTTGTCCCGAAAATAAGAAAGAAAGAAAGCCGTTGTTTCTTCCTATGCGTCCCAGCCTACCCGGTGCGTCCAACGCGCACAGTAAGGTAAGGTCTGTTGGTTGTTGTCTGTGCGGCGCTTTTACTAAAACCTGACAACTGTGAAGAAATCTCAGCGATGCTTTGAACGAGTTCCCGTTGAATCTCTAAGCTGATAATGCATCGCTCTTTGCTGTACATGCATGATGCTTCACGCATTGAACAACCAGTTAAAGCTGTGCACGGTGTTCACATGCTGTAGGAATTGGGAAACCGTAGTCTGAGCTGTTTGTTTGCTCACTTTCCTTCTTTGTGGCATCTTATTCAATCAGTGTTATTTTCCAGATGAACAGCTTTGCTGTAAAGTATGGCCATTCTGCTTAAACTTTAGTGATATGAACAATCTTACTGGACAGAAAGATGTGTAAACAAAGATAAACTGCATTTTAAATCTTTACCATTGTTTAACTTATGCAGGCTACTCCTTTTCAGTTAAAAAAGTTGAATTTAAAGTTTGCAGGGGTCATGCAGGGGACACAGAAAGCAGAAAAGGTGCTCTGGTTTGGTCCTTTTGTCCTTATGTGATTTAAAAAAAAAGTAAACTCCAAATTATCTTAAACCTGCTACCTTTCTGCTCCCTACATAACTTATAGTGAAGGCAGTGTAGGATGATCAGTTAATGGAAATACAGGAGTTAGAAATATAGGACAGAAAATGTTTTGAGGAGGTCCATCACCCAGGACAGTGACACTAATAATCAGTTAGTTAGGACAGTTAATAATCTCAGTCAACCACTGTGTGTTCTTCCCTTAGCTCTCTACTGTGCAAAATTTTTTTTTATATCTAAGGGAAACATATTCCAGGACACTACAACTTTTTTTTTCATTTTTTTAATGTTTTGTTGGTACTATATAGAGTCTTTTTTTATATTGTCTGTTGTATTTTTTTATCTTTAATGGCCAGAATTTCCTTGAAGGAGTAATCCCAAGGGATAAATAAAGTTGAGTCCAAGTCTAAACTTGCTGGCAGAGCTACAACGGAATAATATAGCATAACCTATCCATTTGATAGAATGGCCTAGTTAAAGTCCAGGCCTAAACTGATTTGCAAATTTGTAAAAAAAAAAAAAAAAAAAAAAAAAAAGTCAAAATCATGTTTGCAAACACAATCAACTTTGACTGAGCTGCTTTGCAAAGAGAAATAGGCAAACGTTTCCCTCTCTCTGGAAGAGTCATATCCTGAAATACTTTGAGTTGTAATTGTATTCAACAGGAAATAGCAAGGTATCCTGTTTGTTTGTTAAAAAAAAAAAATATATATATATTTTTTTTGAGATGATAAAATCTCCTTTACATTTCAGGTTTATGCCCTACATTATGGTATTTTATGAGCCAAAACATTTTTGAAATTGATCATAGTTAAAGGTTGTAATGCTTTTAAATAAAGAAACGTTACAATACTTTTAAATGGGACTGCATGTTTGCATCTTAGAATAGAATAGATTTCTGATTCAGCTTTTTTTAAGATGTTTGAATGCGTAAATAACTTAAAATTTGTAGAAGTAGTTAGGATACAACACTGTAACTTGGCATAAGCCAGATTGATACCGTGTGGAATTCAAATTGAACTGGACGTATCGATCTAGAAAGAAGGAGGGACATTCAGGAGAATTCTTCGGGCTGATTGGGTACCTGCCTCCAATGTAGAGTTTTTTTTTTGCAAATCATAGCAACAAATTTGTTTAACAACTAGTGGAGTTAAAGGTATTGTGGAGGATTTTTGCAAATTTTTGGAAAGACCTCCCTGTACCTGTTCCCGGGAGGGAACACCTATTAAAAGCATGCAAGAGCGTGAATGAGCCCATTTCTCCTCGTGCACGCTCTGTTTAAAAGTTCCTGTCTGCATCACTCATACAAGCTTACTTTCAAAAAGATTTGCAATTTTTCCGCTATGTCAGTCTTACACCCGGTAAGTGAAAATGGGGACGAGCACGTAGGACAGCCTTATGTAAACATATCACCAGAATGATTGACAATCAGGCGGACCACTTATTTTGATGATCCACCTGCAAACAAGAAAAAGCGAAAGCAAAAATTACATTTGTTTTGCTTCTGCCTAGGGCTGAAACAATTAATTGGATCAATCGTGATTAATCAATTATTGAAATAATCGTCAACTAATTCAGTACGTGCCTTTAGCTGACAGAGAAACATGCTTTGAGCAGCAGTTATACCATAATTGTAAAAAAAAAAGTAAACATTTTGAATTTAAGACATAATAATTTTCATCCATCAATATCTAGAACCCCTCAAGTGGAAAAGTTTTTGTTTCACCTGGTTCAATTTTGCAAAAAGCCTTCTTTAAGGAACCTTTGGCTATCTGATTATTGATTTCTTTAACTGAAAGAAAATAATCCTCAGATTAAACGATTTGCTAAATAATTGTTAATTGCAGCACTACTTCAGCCACTGGTTAACGCGTTGACGTCATCCAGTGGCTGCTTTTCATTGGGCTGAAACATTTCTGCACCGAGCCGAACGCATCTGTTGGCTCCTGGCAAGAAGTATTTTCAGGAGTTTGTGAATTCCCAAATCTTGCGACAATTCATCTTGCTTGCGAGGTAAACAACACTGGGTACCTTCCACGATTTATCACGCCCTTTTCAGAACACACAGCATGTTCAGCCTCCGTTAACATTGCTGATATTAGCTGAGGTGAAACTGATTTTCAGTTATTCTTGTCTACTGAGCTAATGCTTATAAAGCTGTCCCCCCTGGTGGGACTAATAAAGTGTTCTAAGTCGTTATTAAGTATTGTAAGGTTACAAATATGTGTTGGTTTACTCATGATATGTAACCTGTGAATCAGTAGTGATGCTATATTTTCAACTCTTTCACTGTTACCTAGTGGAAGAAAAATCCCCCCTAAGCACTTAATGTGTCAGACTTCTTCAGAGTCACATATAAAATAGAAGGAGACGCCTCTGAGGCCCTGTTTAAACATCTGTGTTTTGTTCTTCGCAGGAGATCAGCGAAGCAATTTGAGTGACTGACTGCATGGATCGGACTTAACATGAAGAGCCTCAAAGCCAAGTTTAGGAAGACTGATGTAAGTGCTCAGACATATGTTCTCGACTGTATTGGCTGTGCGCTCATATGTATAAGTCTGTGAGCGGTTTGACTCACTGTCTATGTATGTTTGGCTCAGGGATTTCATGAAGGATTTTTTTGGCAGAATTTCCCAGCTTTGAGGCCAACAGCAACCTATGGCGTATTGATAGAAAAAGGAAACTGGGAGGAAAGAAATAAATACTGTTTATAGATAAGGTCTGTGCAATCCATTTGCGGCTCTCTGTAGAGCTCTTATAACTGAAAAAGCATGCAATTTATATATATATGTACCAGCTTTTCAGTTCATGTTCGTAGTATTTCTGACATCCTGACAGAGAAAAAAAATGTTATTCATGGGGAAGAGATGGACGTCTGCACTAAGCTGGTCTACTGAAGTCTATCCAAACTCTGAAACCCTGAGAGTGCTCTCTATTCCAGAACAGGATTTCATCCTGAAAACTATGAATCAACCTTAAGGGAGGAACTTCTCCCTGTCGGTACAGTCATTCATTTGCTCCGGGTTTGACATGCTCTTACAGCCACAGGAAGTTAGGCGTCTCCACACCGTCTGAGTCATCTGTTGTCATGTTGACCCCTTATGACACAAAGCCTACAGGAAAAGTCTGTAATTCTGAGAAGTTTTTTTTTTTTTTTTTTAGGGGGGGTGCAAATGTGTGTCAGATATAGAGGAGTTAAAGAATGCTGAGTAAATGGCACATTTGGTTTATGTTGACAGTTTCCAGGAGATTAGGAGTGTGTGGGAATGGCATGTGGGAGAGTTACACACTTGCTTTCATTGAGTTTTCCCAAAACTTATTAAAAAAGAATCACTATAGCCTCGGTTTGTGATGGAGGTTTAATCAAAACCCTTTGGTTGCAAGTTTTGCAAATCATTGTGCAGCCACTTCTTGAGATTTGTAAATGTTTTGCAAACCGAGTCCGCTTTATGGAGGAGTACAATGGTGTCCATTGTTCCTCTAAATATTGAATACACAATGGTAAGGTCAAATAGTTGCCTCTCAACAAGTAAATGAACCAAGTCTCACCTTTACTACCAAACAGTTCTCCTGTTATAATACAGGTTGCAGATTATAAGACCCTGAGCTGATGTTGAAGCAAAACGTGAAAACAGCCAGTCGTAGGCGGTGGGAGAGAGGAACGAGAAGAGCTGTGGATGTTGCTTGGAAACACAACTGACGCTATATCAGACATGCCTTTGTAGACCTCCCACTCATACATTGTCACATTTGCTCATAGGATGATTCCAGCAGGGTTTGTCTCTTGCTTTATGTATCATAACATTTTTATCTTAAAACAGTGACATGATATAATATAGACAAATATGCAACTGCTCATTGATGTAGCATTAGCCACGGGAAGCATGGAAGCAGCTGTGTTTTGCCATATCTGCAGAGCATGATTGGGTCTTTTAAAAACAAGTCTAGTTTTGTGGTTTCTGTTGGATGTAATGCAGAGTGATTAGGACCAGGTTACTGTCAAAAGACTACATGCCTCTGTTAGAGTTTCAGGTTCTTCTCCTTACTCAACTGAAAATGAACAAATCTGTAAAGTTTTCAAACCTAAGATATAAGAATAAGGCAAGGCCAGAGAAAGAATTAGGTGTTCAAATGTATCTACTGTGTCTACTGTAACTCCCAACTTTTATATCTAACCTTTAATGGCACAATAATAGTTAGATTACAACTGGATGTTTCTCCAGAATAAATAAAAAAATACATTATATATGTTACTTATAAGGCTGCCAAGAGGCCCACAGCTACACTGCATGAGATGCATCATTTTCTGGCATACTAGATGAGTAGTAAGCCAGAAAGGTTTAAGCCTGGCTTTAATATAAGACTTAAACCTTCTAAAATGTGTTGTAGCCTTAAAAAAAAAAAAAAACAATTCTGAATAATGTCAGCAAAATAAGACATTATCAAGTCAAGATGTAGAAACATAAACTCCTACCAAAGTAGCCTGTAATAATAACACTATATTGACTGAAAGACAAGATGTTTAATGAATGTATTAATTTAAATGTCTGCACATTTATGCCACCAGGTTATTGTGTATTTTTTATATAACCCCCAAATTAACAATTACATCTTAAATACATTTGTACTGGATACATATAACTATATAAAGTCAAAGTTTTTTTTTTTCTAACAGCAGCTTGCCTTTTAATACTTGCTGTCTCCAGAGAATATTTCTGTACATTTTTATTTTTGCATTTATGATTTGACCATATTTAGATAAAGCTTAAAAAGTCAAACATTTTTTTTTTATTAAAGAACGCAGCCTTTTTATTGCAGTGAAATCTTGGCAGTTTTGCAGTCTCCTTGCATAATTAAATAAGACGTTATTATAAAAGAGGAAAAGGTTTCACAGGGTAATGTGTTTATCCTTGCCAATGGTCGTTCCACAGCTTTTTATAGAGAACCGAAGCACTTTAATAGAAAGAAAACATCTCATGGGTTCTATTTTAGGTTTTGTGTGTCACTGACCGATTGCTCAGGAATTTACCTCTCCCAACCTCCACTACCACCCTAAAACTGTCTGTTTTTTTCCCCTTTTACATAAATAACAGAAAGCTAGACCCGTTGTAAATAGCTTTTTGATGAAGTAAACATATTTCCAGCCCGATAACCAGTGCTGGAGTCTGTGGCTGAGATTAGGACATTAATGAAATGCTTCTCTTTAAGTGCCCTCCTCCTCCAACAATGTGAACTGAGTGGAACAGGCTGCCAAGGCTTCACTTGAACACCTCCACAACACGAGGTCCAAATGAGGCAGATATTTAAAAAGCAGGAGACTGTGGGAGAGACCGAGATGTTATTTTTGAAACCGATATAGACGGATAAGAGCTCAGTGATAACAGCGAAGGATAACATTGGGATTTTCTTTTTTATGGTACTATGGAGAGCACAGCATAATTGCATGTAAATTACTAAGACTGTGATTAGAATAGATTTCTACTCGTATCGGCAAAAGCTTCAACTTCATTCATTAATTCACTGTTGGCTGCCTCCTGTTTTATTGGCTCAGGGAGCCATTAAACAGGAGAGCAGTCCATTATGGAATTTATTACATGAGCTTAAACTGAACTAAGAAGACTGATGACATGTTTTAATGTTTAAAAATAAGGTGCATTAAAATTAGGGTGGTCAAAAACATAAAAAATGCATTTATTAACATCCAAAACTCAATGTTTTCAATCACAATATTTAACAGGCCTTTTTAATAGGATCACACATTCTTTTAGTTAAATAAGTGCTCAAATAAATATAAAACAATTAACCCAAATATATCACATTATGACAATAGTTTAAGTTAGTTTCAAGTACTTTCAGAATGCAAATAATGTAGAAATCTAAAATTAACTAGAAAAACGCTCTGAGATCGCAGACCTATGCAGAGTAGCACATTTTGCCCCATATTGTTACTCAAACCTTTAGATAAAACTCGCAATGATCTGGATAATTACATTTTAATGAATTGTTCCCTTGCATGAGGCGCACCTCTGGTAAAAATGTCTTTAAAATCCTTTCAATAAGATAATAAATCGGGCACAGTGTGTGTTTGCAGCCTTTGGTGTCTGTTCTGCTCTCTTTCTTCATCCACTCAGATCGAGCTTTCAAGAGAAGCTTAGCTCACCTTTCTTGTGTTTTAAATTTTTATTTTTTGTCTTTATTATAATACTTTCAGACATTTTGGTGGATCTTCACCGGATCTTCACCGAAATTAAACGGATTGTTTCTTGAACTGAGATCTACCTTTGAATAAAATCTCATTAAAATCCATCCAGAACTTTCAAGTTATCTTTTACACAGACAGACGGAGAAACACACAAACTGCAATAAAATTGGGAGCGTAAAAAAAGGTCAAATTAACAAAAAAACTCTACTGGTTAGTATCGATACCGTGCGCTTAGTATTGTATCTGAATATAGCATTTGAGTATCAGTAATTTTGACAACCCTAGTTAAAATATTTTGAAGGCATGGACACTATATTTTGTTTGGGTACAAAAAAGGATATTATTTACAGAGAGGTTGTAAAAAAACATGAACAGAGTGCTGGAGAAATATCAAGCGTTTGTTTTGTTTTTTTCTCGTAGAAACAAGCCTATAAGAATTTTGTTGTAATTTTGATGTTTTTTCGCTTTTTTATTTTCTTAATTGAAAAAAGAATTTGATTTGTAATTGTCCACTTAACTGGTAAATGGTTATGGCTTAACCAGCTAAAAGTAAAAGCATTGTACTAATTTGCTGTCCACCAATGATTATTCACTACTGATATGTTTCAGCATATTTTGACCTACCAGTATGTTTATCTTGACACATTACCTGTATTAGAAGTGCAGTGCATAATTGCTGAAAGCTGCCAACACTTTATTTAAGCAGCATTGTCCATATTAATTTATTTCTGTCCAGAGTAGGTGAGAAGAGACGGCGATCATCATACATGCCTTGTACACTGACCTTTGGCTAAATGTATATTTCCACTTAAATTCTGTGCATACCATGTCCTAATAAGGAGGCTGGTTTGAGCTTTGAGCAGGTTTGCAGTTATGCAAGGACAAAGTGGATCAGAGGAATCCTGCAATATTTCTTAGTGGACTTCTTCTCTTTTATGTGTGAGAGCTGTTTAATTAGCTCTGTAAAGAATTTTTTTCTACTTTATGTGTTCTGAATTTGCCTTACTTTTGAGAGTTATGTATTATTATTGGTCAACATTTATAGGGAGGCAAACTGTGACATCATCTCTGTTTTTGTGTGTGTTATCTCTGGGAGTCTGGTGGAAATAGAGCAGCATACAACAGACGGTGTAATCTGGATTCTGGGAATCAGTCTGGCCAGCAGCCACAAAGAGACTTGGAGGCATTCAAGCTTTGACCTCCACAGAAACTGTCCTTAAATTATCTTAAAGATGTAAGAATAAGTCACAGATGGCCATTTAATAAAGAATAATAGTACACTATTGGTCTGTATGCACT